TCACAATCTTTGCAAAACCATACAAAACACTGACTAAAAACACTCAAAACAAAAAAACGCAGCAAAACAATCACCAAAATCAATTTTGACACGCGTGCTGTAGGGATTTGCGGTGCCGAGCGAAAGCTACCTATGCAAAAATCACAATCTTTGCAAAACCATACAAAACACTGACTAAAAACACTCAAAACAAAAAAACGCAGCAAAACAATCACCAAAATCAATTTTGACACGCGTGCTGTAGGGATTTGCGGTGCCGAGCGAAAGCTACCTATGCAAAAATCACAATCTTTGCAAAACCATACAAAACACTGACTAAAAACACTCAAAACAAAAACACGCAGCAAAACAATCACCAAAATCAATTTTGACACGCGTGCTGTAGGGATTTGCGGTGCCGAGCGAAAGCTACCTATGCAAAAATCACAATCTTTGCAAAACCATACAAAACACTGACTAAAAACACTAAAAAAAAAACGCAGCAAAACAAACACCAAAATCAATTTTGACACGCGTGCTGTAGGGATTTGCGGTGCCGAGCGAAAGCTAACTGTGCAAAAAAATCACAGTCCTTGCAAAACCATACAAAACACTGACTAAAAACACTCAAAACAAAAAAACGCAGCAAAACAATCACCAAAATCAATTTTGACACGCGTGCTGTAGGGATTTGCGGTGCCGAGCGAAAGCTACCTATGCAAAAATCACAATCTTTGCAAAACCATACAAAACACTGACTAAAAACACTCAAAACAAAAAAACGCAGCAAAACAATCACCAAAATCAATTTTGACACGCGTGCTGTAGGGATTTGCGGTGCCGAGCGAAAGCTACCTATGCAAAAATCACAATCTTTGCAAAACCATACAAAACACTGACTAAAAACACCCAAAAAAAAACGCAGCAAAACAATCACCAAAATCAATTTTGACACGCGTGCTGTAGGGATTTGCTGTGCCGAGCGCAAGCTAGCTACACAAAACCATACGAAACACTGAATATAATCACTCAAAAACAAGAAAGCAGCAAAACAAACACCAAAATCAACGTTGAGAGCCTAAGGAAATACTATTTATCAACAATGCATGGATTTTTCCTGTTGCTGTTTTTTTCTAGGAGACAGACACGGCGGACCGATAACAGTACCACCGTGTCGTGTCTGCTACAATCAGAGATGGCGAGATAACAATAAAACAAGGAAGGGGGGAGACAGTGGACCGATAACAGTACCACTGTGTTCAGGGACCGATAACAGTACCCCGCTTTCCCGGCGGCCGATAACAGCACGCCGAGTTGAGATAAAAATGATTTCACTCTAAGCTCGGCGCTTGCGAAAATGCGAGTGAGGACGTGTCCATACCTGCACGACGCCAAAGATAACCTAACGAACGATTTTTAAAGTATTTTTTAAAATATTGTAATTCAAAGAGCACGATGCCTATGATCTACTATCAAAAGGGATGCTTGGGGATGGCTCGGGCTCGTGATTTAGTATTGGGAGAGGCCTGGGCTCGTGATTTAGTATTGGGGTGAGGCTCGGCCTCGTGATTTAGTATTGGGGGGATGCCCGGGCTCGTGATTTAGTATTGAGGGGAGGTCCGGGCTCGTAATTTAGTATTGGGAGATGGCCCGATGCTTTTTTAATAGTTTTAAAAGTTATAAAAGTTTTAATAGTTTTAAAAGTTTTAAAAATTTTGAAAGTTCAGGAATCTCATGGCAGGTTAGTATTGGAGTGAGGTCCGGGCTCGTGATTTAGTATTGGGGGGAGGCCCGGGCTCGTGATTTAGTATTGGGGGGAGGCCCGGGCTCGTGATTTAGTATTGGGGTGAGGCTCGGGCTCGTGATTTAGTATTGGGGGGAGGCCCGGGCTCGTGATTTAGTATTGGGGGACGCCCGGGCTCGTGATTTAGTATTGGGGTGAGGCTCGGGCTCGTGATTTAGTATTGGGGGGAGGCCCGGGCTCGTGATTTAGTATTGGGGGAGGCCCGGGCTCGTGATTTAGTATTGGGGTGAGGCGCGGGCTCGTGATTTAGTATTGGGGGGAGGCCCGGGCCCGGGCTCGTGATTTAGTATTGGGGGAAGGCTCGGGCTCGTGATTTAGTATTGGGAAGAGGCCCGGGGCTCTGGCCAGGAAATTCCCGAACTTTTAAAACTTTTAAAACTATTAAAACTATTAAAACTATTAAAACTATTAAAAAGGCTTCTTTTTAATAGTTTTAATAGTTTGGGAGGCTTTTTAAAAGTTGAAACTATTAAAACTATTAAAACTATTAAAAAGAAACCTTTTTAATAGTTTTAATAGTTTGGGAGGCTTTTTAAAAGTTGAAATTATTAAAACTATTAAAACTATTAAAACTTGAAAGGAAAAAAGCCTGGCCTGGAGATTCCCGAACTTTTAAAACTTTTAAAACTATTAAAACTATTAAAACTATTAAAACTATTAAAAAGGCTTCTTTTTAATAGTTTTAATAGTTTGGGAGGCTTTTTAAAAGTTGAAACTATTAAAACTATTAAAACTATCAAAAAGAAACCTTTTTAATAGTTTTAATAGTTTGGGAGGCTTTTTAAAGGTTGAAATTATTAAAACTATTAAAACTATTAAAACTTGAAAGGAAAAAAGCCTGGCCTGGAGATTCCCGAACTTTTAAAACTTTTAAAACTATTAAAACTATTAAAACTATTAAAAAGGCTTCTTTTTAATAGTTTTAATAGTTTGGGAGGCTTTTTAAAAGTTGAAATTATTAAAACTATTAAAACTATTAAAACTATTAAAACTATTAAAACTATTAAAACTTAAAAAGGAAAAAGCCTGGCCTGGAGATTCCCGAACTTTTAAAACTTTTAAAACTATTAAAACTATTAAAAAGGCTTCTTTTAATAGTTTTAATAGTTCGGGAGGCTTGTTAAAAGTTGAAACTATTAAAACTATTAAAACTATTAAAAAGAAACCTTTTTAATAGTTTTAATAGTTTTAATAGTTTTAATAGTTTTAATAGTTTTAATAGTTTTAATAGTTTTAATAGTTTTCATAGTTTTAATAATTTTAATAGTTTTAATAGTTTTAATAGTTTCAAAAGTTCAGGAATCTCCTGGCCAAGGCCGTTTCTTTTTAATACTTTTAATAGTTTGGGAGGCTTTTTAAAAGTTGAAATTATTAAAACTATTAAAACTATTAAAACTTAAAAAGGAAAAAGCCTGGCCTGGAGATTCCCGAACTTTTAAAACTTTTAAAACTATTAAAACTGTTAAAACTATTAAAACTATTAAAAAGGCTTCTTTTAATAGTTTTAATAGTTCGGGAGGCTTTTTAAAAGTTGAAACTATTAAAACTATTAAAACTATTAAAAAGAAACCTTTTTAATAGTTTTAATAGTTTTAATAGTTTTAATAGTTTTAATAGTTTTAATAGTTTTAATAGTTTCAAAAGTTCAGGAATCTCCTGGCCAAGGCAGTTTCTTTTTAATAGTTTTAATAGTTCGGGGGGCTTTTTAAAAGTTGAAACTATTAAAACTATTAAAACTATTAAAACTATTAAAAAGAAACCTGTTTAATAGTTTTAATTGTTTGGGAGGCTTTTTAAAAGTTGAAATTATTAAAACTATTAAAACTATTAAAACTAATAAAACTATTAAAACTTGAAAAGGAACAAGCCTGGCCTGGAGATTCCCGAACTTTTAAAACTTTTAAAACTATTAAAACTATTAAAACTATTAAAACTATTAAAAAGGCTTCTTTTTAATAGTTTTAATAGTTTAGGAGGCTTTTTAAAAGTTCAAACTATTAAAACTATTAAAACTATTAAAAAGAAGCCTGTTTTAATAGTTTTAATAGTTTTAATAGTTTTAATAGTTTTAAAAGTTTTAAAAGTTTTAAAAGTTTTAAAAGTTTTAATAGTTTTAAAAGTTCAGGAATCTCCTGGCCAAGGCCGTTTCTTTTTAATAGTTTTAATAGTTTGGGAGGCTTTTTAAAAGTTGAAACTATTAAAACTATTAAAACTTTAAAAAGGAAAAGGCCTGGCCTGGAGATTCCCGAACTTTTAAAACTTTTAAAACTTTTAAAACTATTAAAACTATTAAAACTATTAAAACTATTAAAACTATTAAAACTATTAAAAAGGCTTCTTTTTAATAGTTTTAATAGTTCGGGGGGCTTTTTAAAAGTTGAAACTATTAAAACTATTAAAACTATTAAAAAGAAACCTTTTTAATAGTTTTAATAGTTTGGGAGGCTTTTTAAAAGTTGAAATTATTAAAACTATTAAAACTATTAAAACTTGAAAAGGAACAAGCCTGGCCTGGAGATTCCCGAACTTTTAAAACTTTTAAAGCTATTAAAACTATTCAAACTATTAAAACGATTAAAACTATTAAAACGGCTTCTTTCTAATAGTTTTACTAGTTCGGGAGGCTTTTTAAAAGTTGAAACTATTAAAACTATTAAAACTATTAAAACTATTAAAAAGAAACCTTTTTAATAGTTTTAATAGTTTTAATAGTTTTAATAGTGTTAATAGTTTCAAAAGTTCAGGAATCTCCTGGCCAAGGCCGTTTCTTTTTAATAGTTTTAATAGTTTTGGAGGCTTTTTAAAAGTTGGAATTATTAAAACTATTAAAAGAAAATTGTTTTTAAAGTTTTAATAGTTTAGGATGCTTTTTTGAAAGTTCAAAACTATTAAAACTATTAAAACTTTAATACAGAAAGCAGCCATGTCAGATAGTACATAAAGGTTGCTCTTACATATATATATATATATATATTACAGTCAAAGCCCGTCTCGCTGCGTTTTGCGAAGTTCTCTGTGCGACGTGGACAGGGCTGCGGCTCGCAGGCTTTTGTGTCTCTGAGCCACGTAGGACATCTTTCTGATAGGCGCCACGCAAGAAACTCGCCAGCGACGATGGTGGTCATGCCGTAAATGTGTACCGTGTGCGAAGACGACGCACGGCATCGTGCAGTGGAGGGCAGAGTTGAGGGCACTGAGATGCACTGAGTGCGGCGAGGAGCTGCCGACGCCGGCCAGCTGGCCGGGGCTCGGAAGGCCCGGAAGGCTCAACATGGCTCAGCGACATCCTGAAAACAGCGCAAAGAATAGGCCTATACTCGTACTTAAGGTGAAGGCTAAGAAGGCACTTAAAGAACCTTGTGAGTGTCTTGGATATTCTGTTGGACGTCACCTGTGTGATGCGTGACTTATCCAGGCGCCCTGGAAGGGCGCCTCAGCCTCGCCGAGAAGGCACGGAGCCGAGAGCAGTTGTTCGATTGACCCTTAGACGCGACCTTTTTTTCCCTTTTATCTTGGTAAGCAAACAAAGAAGAAAGCATCAATGATGGATGAGCTCTGAGGACCTGCGACGAGCACTGCGAGATGTCGTGGCACCTAGACCCCGGGCTTTCAAAGAAGCAAAAACCTCCAGCAAATGGAAGAGAGATGCAACTAACGTCAAACGTGTGGGGAGGTCGACGACCTGGAGCGGGCCCGGGGGCCCAAGAGAGCGGTGAGAGATGTGGAAAGGAGGGGAAAAGGAGGGGAAAAGGAGGGGAGGTTGCCGGGAGAGTCTTGGAAGAGTGTCACTCAACGTGCTTCTACCAGAGTTCGGAAAGACCAATCGTAGTTCGAAAGCGTTCGGCTGCAAGAATTTCCAGCGAAGCCCGGAAGGTCGCCGCTGGGCCACTCCGGCACCTGGAGCAGCGTGTGGCTTCCCTCGAGGCAGGCCTTCAAAAGTTATGTCGAAGTGATGCAAATGCCGGAGTGTTCCCGTTGTGTCATGAAGTGTTGATGTGGCACTGGAGTGCATGAAGCTCATTGAAGCTCTCATTAACCCATCAGGCTCGTGAGGAACCCGAGGCGATGGCACCGGGGCTGTTTCCTCAAATGCTCTTCGAGACCCGATGGCTTTTGTGCTGTGCAATATGTCTAAAATGTGCATATGTGCCATCAAGTCGCCGTGAAATGCTTGAGACTAGGTCAGGACAGCAGGAGAAGCGCATCGACAGGCTGGAGGCCTTAAGAGCCGTTTGCTGGCACAAAGCTTGATTGTCGACGCTTTCAGTGCTTGGGGGCAGGCAGACTTGGTGAAGTTGCTTCAGCCCTAGCCTGCGGAAGCAACGCATTGTGTGTGTCGCGGGCCCATACGGGCAGCACCAGTGCTGCACCAGATAGCCGCGACATGTGAGGTTTCGAAAGCTCGGCACGACTGTGAGCGTAGGGGTTCAGGCAGCTACCGCCCCAAAAAACCACATTTTTTGCAACGATGCTACCTGGCTCTGTTGCGGTGCCACCTGTCGTATACCGTCGTTTTGGAGGACCCACGAGCTCGGCAGGGCGTGCCAGAAGTGGTCCTGCGCGAGGCTGAGAAGCGCGTGATAGCGCGTGCAGCGCAGCACCAATACGGGCTCGAGAAGTGAGAAGTGATCGGCTCCTGTTCCTCTCCAGGTCTGCGGCGCCCGACACCCGAAGTTCAGAGCAGAAGGTGGCTCTTGAACTGTTCTTGATTTTGTTACTGTTTTTGTGTGGTTTGTCATTTGTGTTCGACTTCAGATTCGCAGCAGATAGCTTCAGTGCGAACAGGCAGCCAAATGTGCAGAGCCACCTAGGCATCAGCCTGAGAAAGGGACTGCGCAGCCCAGTGTGTAGATTCAAGATGCTGCAAGAGAAGGAAGTTCACGGCACAAGCCGCTTCAGCGCATCCAAGAGGGTGCTTGCAATAGGATGCTCTGCCCCAATGATAAGAATGCTCGGACAGAACGTCCAACAGACAACAGACGACAGTTTCGGCACCAGTACGACCGACCCACCCACACACACACCCACACCCACACCCACACCCACACCCACACCCACACCCACACCCACACCCACACCCACACCCACACCCACACCCACACCCACACCCACACCCGCGCGCGCTATACCACATCTTCCCCAACCTCGTCAATGTCAACAACATCGGGCACAACCAGCAGTTCAACGAGCACTTCCAACTCCAGCAGCTCCACCGCGACAAGCGCTTCTTCGACTAGCTCGAGCACTACATTGCATTCAGCCGTAGCAGAGCTACTTCCATCACCACCACCAGCACGACTTCCACAAGCGCTACCTATCCGCAAGCTTGTCCACTCCACGACTACTTCGTCATCGGCTTTATCCACTAGAGCGAGCAGCACCAGGTCCATGAGTACAACATCATCAAGCACCACAAACACACCTTCCGTCAACGCTTCGTCATAGATGTCGAGCACCACGTCTTCTTCCACCACTTCGCCACACTACACCAGCGTCACGACCCGTACAACATCCAAAAGCACCTCAACATCAATCACTGTCATCGAGCATGCAGCATGAGCACCATCAGCTGAATCAGCTGCTCAAGCCACAGCATCAAGTAGCAGCTCCAGTACGTCATCAACGAGCACCACCAGCACCTCGTTATCCTCATCGAGCACTTCATCCCCCACCAGCTCAACTAGCATCAGGAGCAGCAGTTCGACCAGCAAAAGCACCACACGCACCACACGCACCACTTCCAGTACGACATCCACGAGCTTCTTCAAGCACTTCTTCAAGCACAACACATGCACATCGAGCACAAGCAGCAGTAGTTCGACAAGCAGCACCACAGGTACAACCTCCACTTCCTCCAGTCTACACGGCACACAAACGCAATGCATGCATGAGAGTACGCGGCACAAGAGAGGGCTGACTTTTGTCAGTTTGCAGTATGCGCTGGGCTTCCTGGTCCCACTGCAAACGTTGACCTTTGGGTGCGATCTCATGGGACTTGGAGGTCCCACTTTCCCAGCGCTGCAGACGCTAAGCGGTGGCACCGACTTCAACCAGAGTTCGGAGTCCCCAACACACTATAGATGCTGATCTTTGGGATTTGTGACTGCAAACTTTTCGGTCACCTTCCTTTTGCTCGCCAGCACATCGGCTTGTTTGAGGGGTGCTGCTTTTTGCCGCTTTGTTCGCTGATGCGATGGTCGGTAGTTTTCTGGTGTTTTGCTTTTTGGTTTCGGGACACTCATTCAGCGGAGTTTCTCATTGAATGCAGATCTTCCGAAACCCTAGAGACGAGACCGGCTGCGGGCAGGTGACCTGGAAGTGTGACAAGGGGGGTGGGTGGAGGTGGGGATTTCTTGGCGTTCAGCCTGTCGTTTCACTAGCGTTTGTGCCGTTCGCCGTGTAACTTGCGTGCCTTGAACTCTTGAACTGGTCCGGGGGATGCTAGATCCAGCTTGATCCTGAGGCCGGAACGAACGCTGCAGCCTTCTGAGTTGGCGGGTGGGCGAGAGCTTCAAGAGATCGCTTCGAAGGCCGTGGCTGGTGATGTCACTTGTGCGATTGTGTTACCGCTTTTCGTGCCCTTTGCATCCCTTTGTATGTATGTTTTGGAGTGGGCAGGGAACGGTGCATACGTGATTCTTTGGCATGCATCTCTTCCCGAAATCAGCTCAAGCCTCTGCTCCAATTCTTCTATGCGCCGGACAGAATGTTTGCACAGTGAGTGCAAGCTGTGAAATCGTAAGGCTTGTGGGGCTCATGCAGCTTCAGGGGCATGTCAGATGGTTTGGGAAGTACTGTCTTGCCTATGCTCCCTGCCCGCGGCAGACTTGCTCGAGTGAAGTGCGACAAGATGAGATCGCATATGGGAAGTGTTTGAACCAGGCAAGCGGTGCCAAGAAAGCAGATCCAGCCACTGAGCTGCTTGAGGCTCGATGACTGTGGATGACTGTGAACTCTAGTCTTCTGCTGGGCTTATGTGACCTTAGGGTTTGGCGATGCAGGCGGTTAGCGATTCTGCAGGCCACTTTTACATCGCTGGGCCACTATTGCAGCATCTGTGGGAGGGGGGCGGGAATCCGGTCAATCTCAGCCTGTCAGGCACGCCGTCAGCCCCGCCTTCGCCATCGTCGCCATTGCCAAGCAGGCCAGCAAGAGCCTGGGACCATCTGAGACGGCACCGCTGTCGTGCTACAGCACCGTCCCGTTGTTACCGCATCTTATATCTAAGGTCGTTCCATTTCAGCCACCAAGCCGACGCCCTTCGCGACCGCTTCTCACAGTCCCGGGAGGCAACAGTGAGACTCTTTCGGTGAACATGACCGACTGCTCGGGTGCTGGAGGGAGACGCGCCTCTGGGATCGTTTCGGCCTTGGTCCGTCAAGGAATTGTCAAGGAATTGTCAAGGGAGAGCAGAGGCCGCGCATCTCAAGAGGAGACGAAGGCCGACTCCGAGCCTGAGCACCGGGAGCACCGGGAGCACCGGGAGGCACGTATCGTGTTACAGTGTTAAACGTCCTTAAACATCATGTCATGCGGTATCTGCTGACAGCTCTGCAAGCGTGGATTCTTTCGGATTGCCGAAGCTCTCCCTTTCGGACCCCTTAACCGACGGGCCCGCTTGCACGCCGGATGTTTGGGGTGGGCTCTGCCCTCGCTGAATGTTGCCATGCATACAGAACGAAACCAAGCTATCTTTTTTCTCAGCATTTCGGGCTTGTTACTCATCCCGGCTACTTTGGCAGCAGCTTCATTGTTGTTCGTCGCTTTTGAGCACGCCACAGCGTCGTTGGCTTGTTTATGTCTACCGTCTGCTTTGGCAAGACTGTCAACTGGCGATTACTGTTGTTGGCGTTTCTGCATACACACGTGGTTTATTTGGAGTGGCGGGGCAATCCTGCACTGCTACATCTACGAGCCTCGGCCTCCATGAAGTTTAAATGGCAGCTATATACTGTTACAAGAAATCTATGATCATGCACAACGCAACACCGCATTTGTGACCTAACCAAAAGACCTACACACGAGTCTCCCCTCTGTTTTGAGTGGTGCACTGTCGTCCTATACTGCACTTTGAAGATACCCGTTCCACATTCTACGTGTGTCTGCTTGGATACTCGTGCCCTTGCCTTCCCCAAACACCCAACAACCCAACAGACACCCTCCTGTCTCCAATACAGTTCTGCAGCCAGCACGCGCAAGATGCTTCAGGGTTTGGGTGGGCTGAGGGTCAGAGATCTGGGTTCCGTCCCCCAAAACGCTGGCAATACCTGGGCCCCTTCACAGATCGCTTTTGGCTCCAAACTGTTGGCATGTGTTCCTTCTGGACACGGTGAAAGATAAACAGCGGCTGAAAAGGGTTCGCAGACAACGCAGGTCAACGCCTGCCCCACAGAATCAAACTTGTGAGAGTGTCCAGAGATTCTAGAGGCAATCACGTCAATATCGCAGGCCTGGGGGACAGACAAAATGGCACTGTCCGCAGCTGTTGCAGCTGAAAGCAACGAGCCTTCCGAGGAGCAGGTTCTCGCATTCCTGTCAAAGCTCCAGCCGGAACATGCAGCAGCCTTGCTGGCCAAAGCTTCTCAGAGAGATCAGACGGCCGAGAAAGATCAGACACAGGTCTTGCAGGTGCCCGAGGCGGTGCTGGAGGGTGCTGGAAACGACAGAAGCGAGGAATCGGCGAAGGAGGCCATGCGCGCCATTGCTGCCGGCAACTTCGCTGTCGCGCAGGAGTTGGGTCCAAAGGCAGACTTATGTTGCCTTGGCGAGGATGGCTGGGGCTGTCTGCACTGGCTCGTGCACGTTGCCGGCGCCGCTCTGGGCAAGGAGGAGCATGCAGTAGGATGCCAGTGTTGCCATTCCTCGTCAGCAAAAGGAAGAGGCCCTGCCTTGGCATTACTTCACGATTTCTTGAGCTCCGAGCATGGACGTGTAGCAGTACATCTCCGAAACTCTCAGGGTGCCACTGCGCTTATGTTTGCTGCAGATGCTGGCGACGAAGAGGTGTGCCTCGAGCTGCTTCGGGCGAGGGCGGATGTTTCAGCAACAGACTCTGATGGTGACAGTGCTGAAGCATGGGCCTTGGCCAAGGGTCATGAAACTCTTGTGGACTTACTGCATTCTGCCGACTGATTGCATTTCCGTGCTGCCGCGCTGTAACAGCGGTGGATCTGCGGCGCAGCAGCTCAAAAAGTAAGCAGCTTCTGCTTTGTTGCACCTTGATTTCGCACACTGGTTGCACCAGAAACTTTCTTGCGACGGGTTGCTTGCTTGCCAGGCATCTGCTGGTGCAAGGCTGGCATCCACAGCAGCAAGCGGTGACATGGGGGAAGTCCACGGAGTCCACTGCTCTTCGATTTCGTTCCTTGCTGTTGCAACTTCTCTCATGGCCTCAGTCGAGATCTTTGGGACAATCTGTTGGCTCGCCCGAGCCACAATTGATGCTCAGAAGCTCACTGTTACTGTATGCAGCTGACTGAGAGTGAGAGCTTCCTTTGTGTCTAAGAGAGACTCAACATTCTCTGCGAGATTCTCAGAGTCTAAGGCACTATCAGCCCGAGAGGCTGGCGCAGCGATTTGCAACGGATACCAGTGATGGCCATCTCTTGGTGAGCAGTTGTAGGCATATGTGGGCGTATGTGGGCATTCCTGTGGCTCACAGCAAGAATTCACAGAGTTGAAGAAACCCAGCAGAAACTTGTATCCGACCGTCTCTCGGTACCTCAATGTGCTTCGTTCGCCGTATGGCGGCCCATGTGGAGCAAGGAGTGCCTGTGACAAGGCCACGAGCGCCGCACCGAAGGCACATCCATGTGTGCAAGTCCAACGTGGGACAGCTGACAGCCGCGGCTGCGGCCGCCATAGCGGAGACTTGGTGAAATCCTGTGATCATGCACTTGTGCCAAAGCGTATGGCAGTCGTGAAGTAGGAAGTTTGACGCGTCAGGAGACGACCTGCAGTTCCCAGAAGCGACGTATCCGGCAGCGGCTTCACAAGAAGCTGGGCTCCATCCTGACCAAGGCCGAGTATGCGGCTGCCGTGGAAACCTTCAAGGACATGGAGAGGCTCCTTATCAGTGACTTCAGTACTTCTTGCTGCTGCAGACAGGTGATTGTCTAGCTCGTGCCACGCTTGTGTGCCAGAATGAACGGCGCACACAGAGGCAAGTGGAGCTGACCAGCCAAACATCAGCAACAAGCACGGCAAGTTCTGCTCCTGGCGTGACTTGTCTTTCCGTCGTCGAGCTGTTTACTTTATCTTCAAATTCCTCTGCCTCTCTGATCCTTTGCACACAGATCTCTGGTACGTAGTGGACCCAAAACCTTCTACAGTTGTATATTCGTAGCACGTTCCTTCAAAGGCGCATGTTCAATGATGATTGTCTAGTTGCTGTGGTTCCAGCCCTAGCCAGTTTTCGTTAAGAGGTGTTAAACCAATGAATGTAAAGAAATACATTCAAGGGGAAAGTAATGGCTGCGTGTCCCCCTTCAGGGTTCCCTGGGAAGCGCTGGTTCCAAAGGCTGGCCGAAACGAATTGCAACACATGGTCCTGGGCTAGAAACCAACCTTGTTAAGCTTGGTCTCATCTAGTCTGCGTTCGATTCCTCCTCCTCTATTCTTGCAAGGGAAAGCAGGGAAGGAACACATGGACGAATCAAAGCCGTACCCAAGCAATGCCTCAACATCCATGGCACACAGGGCCTGCATTGAGAAAACCATCATTGCCCTTAATTACGTGGCAGCGTGTTGGGAAGGTATGGGAAGGTGTGTCAGACCACTTGTCTGAGGTCGGGAGTGAGGCAGCCACAGACTCTGATTTGGCCGACACGGAAGAGGTGATGGTTCCAGAGCTGGTCGCGACTGTGCTGACGATTCCCGTAGAGAGAACCTTCATCCACTTCAGAACGCACGAAGGGTTTCGCAGACGGAGCCATTCCGTCTAGGTCGGAATGGTATTGCATGCCTTGGGGCTGTCGTTGAGTAAGCCGTCTGCCCTAGGGGTCGTGTGATGCTGACCTGACGGTGGACATGTAAAGCCGGCTACTCACAAGCCCGATGTCTAGTCCCTGTTCCACAGCCACATCTCAATGCCGGAGGCTTGAGATGTGGCAAAACTTCCCAATTCCAGTTGCACAGTTGCACAACATCCGGAGGAGCGATCCTCTCGAGACACGTGCTATTGCAGTACGGCAGGGCACCAAGTCCTTTCGCACAGGCTGCGTCGGCTCGGAAAGCCGGTGTTTGGAGACCCGGTTTGCCGTCGCAGCATTCACATCGCAGGGTCAGTGCGGCTTTGGTCGGCACAGCGGCCTGCGAACATCCGAAGACCCAATGTGGCAATGAAAGAATGGTGTACTGTTTACGTGGCGAGGGCGCGAGGGCCAGAGGGCGAGAGGGCGAGGGCGAGCGTAGTCTCGTGCAACAACGAGCCTATTTGCATGATGCCTGCGCCCTGCGCCAGGACAGGCGCACTTGCTGGAGTTCACAGGCCCGCTCGCAAAGGCAGGGTGGTGCATGGGCCTTGCATGGTGCCGTATGCGTGCTGTTGAATGCTGTTGGACGCATGCCGCGGCTCAAGGAGGACTTGGCATGTTGCCGAACTTGAAAAAACGGCATTGCAGGCTAGGAAGCCCGTCTCAGTAATTGAGCAGACTCCAAAGTACCGGATCTCGAATCGGTGAGTGACCTTTACAAAGTGTTCGCTTGAACCCGCTGAATTAAAGTTCGTGTGCAGAGCGCCGAGCAGCTCCTGAGTCCCCTGCTGCCAATTGAGTGCATTGTGTGATCTAGTGGTATGCAAGCGCTCCATCCTGATTGAGCCCACCAAAAGTCCAAAAGCGATGACAGCTTCGCAAGGGGCGAACACGGAAGTCAAAAAACGATTATCTCCGACTTATGAATCCCCATTAGCTTGCGGCTGCAACTGGAGCCATCGTGAGTTTGTCGTACAGCACCTGCACCTCAATGGTGTTCGTGTTGGGGTTTCTTTCTTTTTGTTATTCTTGTTCCCCTGGCAACTTGTTATGCGGTGAAGGCTTCCCAGGTCCCCAGCCAACTGTGCAGATTTTGCTGGCCGATCTGGGCACTGTGAAGTGCGAGCATAGCTGTATAGTCATCTCTGCCAGCGGTTGCCATCTATGGCTGCATGGCACATGGTGTCACTCTTGGCACTCCTTCGGGTCACCGAAAAACATTTTGGCACTTTGATATGCTAATTCTGCTCTTGGGAGTGCTGCGCAGAAGTTGATCTTGAAAATCCCTTGAGTCCCAGCGCAACGCAATGATGCGCTACCGGACCAGTGCTAGCAATCGCTGAATGGTAGGTGAGCCTTGCAAAAGTGCTGCAAAAGCCGGAGTGTGTAGAAAAGGGCGGCCATCGCTCTGCCAGAGGGATATCGTGTGAGAATCCGTTCAGTAAATTAACTGCCGGCATTCATGCAGGCAGATGACGTGGCGTCGCGACTTCAGCACATCCCGAGCTTACTGCAACTCTGTTCCCCGGAGTTCCCGGTGCTGGCATGTGTACGATGCCGCATCTGGCTCGATCCAGTCCTGATCCTCTGTAGACTTGCAGAAACCAACAAGAACCAACTCTCTTCTAGTGACAAGATGTGATCCCTGAAGAAACTTGACTTGAAGAAACCCAAACAAAAACAGCTGTCCTGGCGATGCACTTTCTCTGGCTTCTCGTCGGGTGGGCATCAGTGGGTCAGGCTTCACTGATCGCCCCTTGAAAAGCAGCAAGAAGTGTCGCTTCGAAGAACATGTCATCCATCATAATCATGTAGGGGTCTTGTGAAGTATTTTAAGGCATTCCTGAAAGAATAGTAGGTTACCCGAAAGGTCATGATTTTGATCTACCCTCAAGTATAGTGTTCAAGATTGCGAAGAGCAGCCGAGGTATACGTTGGCTCGGCAGGCTGTGATTATGACGATAGCTCGTGTCATGACAGCGGGCACACAGCAAACACGGTCTTTGCATATGATGTGCCTTTGCAGCTATCAGCGCGTAGTTGAACAACATGTTGAACAGACCTTGTGCTCACAGCTCCATGCTGCTTGCTTCCACCCAGGTTCTGAGAGGTGGAACCATTGTTCCCAATCCTCCCTTGCACGTGGATGTTGGTGGCCTGCCTTTGTGGCTTACTATCAAAGAGTCAGCGGAGCTCAACTACAAATGCATGTTTGCCACACTTGCCGACAATCAGATCAGTGTGCTGCAGGATCCGGGATCTTCACTTACAGCTTTTGAGCCAATTCAGACACTGCCCTCTGGTGGTTTAACCCCGGTCTTTGCAAGCCTAAGCCTTGATCAAAAGTTCTTGCTTGTGGCAAACTACAACGGCAACGATGATCCTGCAGGCGCAGGCGTGTCTGTTTTCAGGATTGAGTCAGACTGCAAGCTATCGCGGTCGGATTTTGCCAAACACCAGGGGTCGTCGGTTGACTCCTCGCGCCAGCTTGCTGCCCACACGCATGGCGTGGTTGTGTCATCGAGACGTAACATCATCTATGCTTTCGACCTGGGTATGGATGTGGTCTTTTCGTACAAGTTCCCAGCTTGCAATCTTATTCTGCAGTTCTTTGCTTTCTTGTGGCCAGTTGGATCGGCAGGCGTTTTGGTGTTTTCAAGGCGTCATCGGGTCGTGTTTAGAGCAGGGTCGATTCAAGGCCCGCTTTCAAGCGAGTTGACACAAGTTCTGCGTGAGCTAAGTCCTCGGGGTCTGCTAACAGCCTATCTGCACCGCAATCGAGTGGACTCACGGACCCCGCTGCTATTCTCCTGTCTGCTAGTCTGTACGGGTATTGGGGTGCAGGGGCTTCTTGCCTAGCATTAAATGACAAATCCCTGCTTGTTGCACAAGTTTTCTACAAAACAACCATCGGGTGCAGTCGGTGTCAGGCCAAAGCCCAAATGCTTGATTTGCCTTGGTTTCATCATGTCCCACTCGTTCCATCCCACTAATGCTACATACCCTCCCACGCCCAGATGCCCCAGGCTTTCTGACACTGGCGAGCTTGAAGAACTCCATCGAACAGCCGCGCCGGGATTGGATTTATCATGACTTTAATATTTAAGTTACTTCTCTATGTGCCAGAGAATCGTCCGCCACCAGTGAAGCCCTGAAGGTGTTTCCAGCTTCCGGCCCTCGCCACGGAGTGGAGCATCCCTCGCTGCCTATTCTCTACGTCATCTGTGAGATGGGTATCTTGCCATGGCACGTCATCGATTTCAGGATACACGACACACGTTGCGATTTCTTGAGATGGTAAAATGCGCAATGCCCATGCCTCTGCGATTGGGGTCATTGGGGCCGCCCCTGCTAAGGCAAGTCAGTCCTTGTCTTCCAGGAGCCGTCCCGCTGCCTTCCTCTTTCTCTTGCTGTGTCTTGCGGCTAGTGCCTTTCTTGGAGGAACTTGACGATGGGCGCTTGGCCCTTCGACAGCTCAATCAGCTGCACACCCACGAACCGGATGAGCTCGCGAAAGCTGCCGAAATCGCAATGTCGGCTTCGGGAAAGACCCTGTATGCCACAAATCGGGGTGAGAAGGACTCGTCCAACACTGCCGGGACCTTATTAATATCCTTGGAGCATGAGAGAGATTTGAATAACATGAGATGTCCTAGGTGACCGTGTTCAGCATTCTACAGAACGGGCACCTGAAGGCGGTAGTATTCCGAGATTTCCTTCACAGCAATAGCCAGTGTATGCACTCAGAGGCGAACAAGATCATGTCTGTGGATATGGAACTCTAATCAATTTAGAGTTGCGTTTGATTTTGGGACTTGTTCTGTTTTTGGGGCTTGTGCTCTTGCTGTTGATTCCTGTCGCTGTGTTCCGCTTTCAGGCTTCTTGTTTTCTTGGTTCTTGATTTGCTGCTTTGTTCTTGGCCTTTTTGCCCTTTTTCTGATGCTTGCATGTTTTTGTTGTTGGGGCTTTCCTTCTTTTTCAGTCAAGGGAAGGAGTTTTTCGCGACCCCGACTTTGCTCCCAACCAGAAGCCCCGAGCCCACTTTAAATCTAATGTCGCGCATGTCTGTAATTTCCCATCATACTCACATTGCTGCTGGCGGCAATTAAGTCTTTCAGGACCTTGCATCGATGCCGCGAGGCTCAGATCCAGTGTTCCGTAAAAAATGTTGTGGCTTAGTTTGTGTTTTGATTTTTCCGTTGTGTTGATTATTTGGCTTGTTGCTTTGTTCTGCGCCTTTGCGTTTGTTCTCTGCTGCTTGCGTTTTGCTTGTTGTTGTGGCTTTGTCTTCGTTTGGATTTTGCTTCGTTTGATATTCTGCTTTTTGCTGATTGCTTCGTTCTATGTTGATGTTTGTTTTTTGTTGGCTTTGCTGCTGCGTTTCTGGCGCTTGGTGTTGTTGGCTGTGCTGAGCTGCGCACACCTAAAACTCACACGAGTGCTGAATGGAATAATAAAACCAGGGCAGAAACACGCACGAATAGCCACGTCGAAGAGCACGAAGCACGATTTGCAAAACCCTAGCACCACGCGTTGTTATCGGAAGAAGGGCGCCAAAGGAACCAAGCTTAAAACACCCACAGATAAAAATCACGCGCGGCTCGCGACTCCGGAGCCCGGACAGGTGATCCAACAGATCAAGGCTCCAAAGTACCCTCGCGGGATGACGCGCCTGGGCTATCTTGGGTGCTCACGAAGAGTGCCGTCCGCGCTTGATCGTTGACTCGTTGACTTGTTGGCTGAGGCTGGCCCATGATGACCGCATTTTGCTTGTGGCGGGGCAATCGAACAGCGACCTCACAGTGTACACGGTGCAGCCGGAAGGTGTGCTAGAGAGACACTAGGAAGAAACTGCACTGTGGAAACCTGGATCTTGTACCTGGGGAGTTGTGGAGTCTGCAGCCCCTTTGTCCGGCAGGAAAGCTCAGCGAGCAGTACACTTTGAGCAAAGGCTTGCCGCCACAGCCAGCAGCAATTGCAGTATTGCAAGAGCCTGTCGGGGAACTGTGACAGCATCCGTAGTTACTGGTTCCTGCCCAGAGCATCATCAAGAAACAAAGGCACATCACCACAGCAGTCTGGGTGCGGATCCATTCTGGCTTTGTGTTTGCTTTTTTGCCATCATCTGGCAACTTGTGCTGGAGTCCGCCTGTTTTCATCTTCCCATCTGTAGCAATAGCCACCTTATCAGTGATGCCGGGGCAGTGCTGGATTCGGTTGGCTGCAACGCCCACCAGACTTGACAGCACTGCCATACAACTTTGGCGGCATGTCTCCAGCTAATTCGTGCAAAGAGTCACGCTTTAGAACGATGAGCACTTGCGCTGCACAGTGCAGGACTTGAAGAGGTGATCTGTGAATCTAGGTTCTAGCTGTCACATCATGTTTCTTATTTCTGCTCGAAGATGCGAACAGCGCATGGCAAAAAACCTAGCAGAGATTTGGTCGTCGGCTTCCTCCGATCCTCCAGCAGTCGGAATGTTGTTGTCAGACTTCACCCATCCTCCGATCCTCCAGCAGTCGGAATGTTGTTGTCAGACTTCACCCATCTGTTTCTGGGCGTGTTCCGAACTTTTGTTGCTTGACCAAATCGCCTAATCCGAGCTTGGACATCGTTTGCTTTGGGGGGCTTCCTCGTTGCTTGCATAGAGGCTGCACCACCAGCATCGCCCGCAATGAATCAAGTATTGGCCCTAATCAGGGCACTTCTGACCAAGACTTTTCCATGCCTAGGCACCTTGCAGAGTCTCACGTGGACAATGTTCGCGTGGTATTTATACTGAGACTGTATTGTTCAGACTCCTTGGCTGAAAATATGGTGACCTTGGGACCGCTGTTGCTGAGTGTCAGGGGGGCATGCCGGTAGCACCGCGGCGAAAGAACTACCCCTCCCGACACAAGGAAGCAGGAAAAGGTGCAGTGGGCTTCCGGAAGGTGTTGCCGGTTTGCGATGTGTCGCGAAATGTTCCCGCCGCCTCGCTTGAGGTCACATCCCTCAGCAGCAGCTGCTGATCAGGCCTGAAAGGGAGAGAAGGAGAGGACAGGTTCATTGGGTTCAAGCCAGCATGGCCCTTTCAGCTATGAATCATTCAGAGGGCTTGCAAAGATCGGGTATATCTGTGCATCTGTGCATCTGGACTGGATGGTGCTCGCCTCTGTGTTCATAGCCTGGCCCATGCTTACAGCGTCACGTTGAGCCGGGTTGCGCCGGGTTGCGCCGGATTGCGCCTTAGCCTGGTAAAAGGATCAGCCACGCGAACAGTTGGAAATTCCCAGGCATAGGATCACAAGACCTCATGTTCATCCTTTTGCGCCACTCAAAAGCTAAACCATCCCGAAGACATCGGCAATCCATGACCCCATGGGGCGGCGACGCAGTGCTTTGGGCGCTTTTGCAGTGGGGCTCGCCGCGCTTAGTCAGGAAGGCCACCGCCCCCAGGAGGATTTCGTTGGAAGTCTCCCCTGCCGCAGAGCGATCCCAGGGAGGCGGCGCTGCAGGCCCCAGTTTTGGAAAAAAATAGGGTGATGGCAGTCTATTCGCGATGGAGGTTGAATTGTTGTGGTGTGCCTTGCAGAGGAAGCTGTAGCGGTAGCTGTGAGTTTTGGCAGGACCTGCACGTTCTCACAAGACGAGATCTGGGGCAGCTGGAATGCGTCCCTTGCCTTGCAAACTCACGAGATCATGCCTTGCAGAAAAGTGATTCCTCCTTCAGTCAGGAGCGTCTCAGCCTATGGCGCTGATGCACCTCGTGCGGGCTGCCTGCACTGTGTGAAACTTGCGCAGCCGATTTGAGCATTGCACGGAACATCGCTGGCTTCTGTTGCGAATCGTGCCCTGCCACCAATGCTGAGGGTTTCGCTGAAATGGCGATAATCCAGGAAATCTTTGAGCGCTGGGATAGGCCCACAAATCTCAGCAGGGGATGGTGCTGCAACTGACACAGTGCAAGTGGCACTTTGCATCTCTTGGAACACGCAGGGATGGGAGCGGCGAGCTTTCGCTGGAGGAGCCGGAGCCTGAGAGGGCACTGCCATGCACCGCTACTCCACTAATCGGCCCTAATCCTCCACTAATCCCCACTAGACTCCACTTACACTCTTACACTCCGCAACTCCCGCTTTGTTGATGACGGTGATCGTAATCATCGTAGACGCACCTTGCTTCCGCAAGATGCCTGACGTGGCGCAGCCCCTCACGCCAGTCAAGGCGAATGCTCCGCACTGCAATGCTTCGGCCTGCAAAACACCCAAGCGTGTTTGCAGTGCCAGTACCCATCACAGCTCTGCGAGGGGATGTCTCCACTTTATCAGTGCCATGGCAAGAGCAGCAAAGAGCTGAATGGAGGTCTGCTTGGCTTTGCCCCTCACAAACTGCCTTGGTTTCTGGGGCCGTGAGGCTTGGGCGCAGATGCCGACTCCACCGCCGGGTCGGGCGCTGCAGGCGTTCAGCAGGCATGCAAGGCATGCAAGGCATGCAAGGCATGCAAGGCATGCAAGGGCAAGGCATGCAGTGCCTCCGGCTCGACCTCTCCGCAAATAGCCGACGGCTGGTGGCAACAGCCACTTGTCGTGCAGGAGAAGTGCTTTGGCAGGAAGCGCCGTTGCTGGTGTGGGAACGTGGTGGGTCTCCACAAGAGAATTTCTTGAATGCCATAAAAGCCTTCGTCGATCTTCCAGATGACCTGCAAGATCTCATCTTGAGCTTCCACTGTCCAGAGGATTTGAAGCTGCCTAAGATCAATTTTCCACTGGCTGGCCGACACCGTCGCCTCCTCCTCATTCTCGAGGTATGCTGCTCTGGACTGCCGTCTGGCTTGGCGGGACTCTTTGAGCATGTCGCGTATACCAATCACAGCTGCCAACCGAATGCAGCCATTCGGGTCTCGGGTAACTCGGGTAAACAGTTCGGCCATGAGCTGCGCTTCGTGGCAATACGGCCAATTGCAAAGGGAGATGAGGTTACAATATCGTACATACAGGAGGGCCTTTTATCACAGCCCGTCAACAGTCGGCGGCGTTACTTGCGGCCTTGGGGTTTCAGGTGTGCATGTCCTCGCTGCGTTGCTGTTTATGACGACACACGCCAAATTCAGATTGGAGAACGGACGTTAAGTGCATTCTCAGGCACGGGCGTGGTTGCAAGCGCTGGGTCCGCTGGAGCCTTCAACTCCAAGGAAACGCGGAGACTGTTTCAAAGGATGGAGAGCCAGTGGTGGTGCGAGCGTGCAGGCTCCCGGCATGAGCAAGAGGCAGCGAAGGATGCCCGCATGCGACGCTTTGCCCTCGGTCTTGGGCCAGAGGCCAAGTGGCAGGAGCGAGGACGCCGTTTGCGCCGCAGCTGCTGGTTGTCAAAGACCCTTGACCTCCACCAGAGAACTCAAGAATCCTCACATTGGTTGGCTGCCGCCGTAGCTCGTGATGCCTCCGAAGGCTCCCTCTTCCAATTCTGAACATGAATGTAAAGGACCCCCCTTAAAAGAAGAGAGAGAGAGAGAGAGTTGCGGCATCCTACAGCATCCTGCAGCATCCTGCAGCATCCTGCATCCTGCAGCCCTGAAGGCTACCTGTGGCGAGCTGAGCCTGAAAAGGCGATCCAAGCTGCACGTCATTGGCGTCGCTTTCTTGAGGCCTCTCTGAGCGGAGCCTTGTCGCAGGAAGCAGCATTAGCCTTGGAATCGCAGGCCGAAGCTCTGCAGATGCAAAATCTGGCTGAGGAGGCCAAAGCAACATATCGGCAAGCCTTGCTCGAGGTTAAACCGTTGCAGAACACGTGGGACGACGAAGATTTCTTGGTGCCATACCTGGAAAGAAAAGTCGCCTTCATGCGCTGACACGGATATTATCCAGATATCCCAACCCAGGCATCAGCGTGAATCCAGTGAAGCGCGGCAGGATGCGACACAGGGATCAAAGACTTAAGTCAGCAAACCTTTGGCATCAGACTTGGCAGACCAGTAGGCCTTCGATGTGGGACCTCCTTTAAAGGACCTGGTCAGCACGGGCTTTGAGCCTTGAGATGGCGTGAGATGGCGTGAGGCTGTGATGGAAAAAAGTAAGACAGGTTCTGCGTTGTTCTGCATTGTTCTGCATTGTTCTGCCCCCAAGTTGGGCCAAGCCCACGTGTGCCTCACAACATTTGGAGCTGAGCTGGGCCTAGGTTTCGTGACGGCTTGCGACGCGAAGGCTCAGCTCTTATCGCAAGGCCGAGCTCGAGGAGCGGATCCTATTGGCCGCGAAGGTTTAGGCATGTTTTGGGCCATTTAGACTTTCGGGCTGTGTAGGGTTTTTTTTGCGAGGACCTCTTTCCGAGATTCGCTTCTGGAGCCCATTGGGGGCAACTTGTCAGAGACGTGAGCGCACCGTGAGCCTACCGTGAGCCTTGATGGGCATCTCCCACCTTGTGCGAAACCTGGATGATGCGTGTTCTTAAAAAGGGTTTGCCGTTGAGCCAAGTTGAGCCACTGAGGCTTCTTCCACCACACGTGGAGTTCATTGTCCGGCAGCGCAAACGCCGTTGGGGCTGGGATTGCAGGGTACGGCACAGGCCAGAAGTCGGTCTGGAGGCTGTAGTCGTATCGCCTTTTTGACCGTGCTGTGCCAAAGAGGGTATCCAGTATTTGCCACCAAAAAGGTTATTCCTGTCATCGAACTCACAAGATTTCTTCTTGTGCTTTGGGCATGGCATATAGGCCGCGAACAGGAAGTGAATAGGATCGATACTAAAAGGAGAGCAGCGGCAAATCTCTTGAGCTGCTGTAGCCGCTGTAGTGGTTGTAGCCCAGCATCCTGTTTCTGGACAGGCGTCTGGGATGCTGCGGTGCATCGCAGCTTAGCTCAAGCCCTTTGCACGTCCTCTGCACCATCTCTCCGCAGGAATGCGTTGAAATGGACCTGGAAGCCTACAATCCTTTTTCAACTCACTGGCTTATCACTCGAATCACTCGAAGTCGAGGTGTTGCGTGCTGGTCGAATGGCTGCCGGGTAGCCTGGAGTGATGGTGCCCGTCTCGTGGGCTCCGCGCCAGGGGCGGTGGGCCAGGCTGAGAGATGCTGCGAGAAGCTTTGGGCTCTGCATGGCTTTGCTACATGCTTTGTGCCTGCCACCTCAAGAACGAGAGAGGTTGCTTTGCTGCCCCTGCAGGCGATCCTGAATGGGGAGGGCCGATTCGTGCCAAAGCTGCATATGGGATTGGGATTGGGCTTCGAACGTTGAGCCCGATAGGGTTCTGTCGCCGCATTATTTGGGGAGCAAGCTGTAGCTCTGGCAACTGGACAGGCGATGCTCCAAAATTCTGTGTCTTGCAGGACGGAAGGGTTTCAACTAAGCGCATTGACCCCAGGTACAGTAGGCGGGGGTGCATCGGATGAGTACCGGATGTATTTCGAGACGAAAAGTCAGCAATTGCTGGACCCATGATATGCCATGGTGCTCCTTCGCATCTACGGCCATTTCGATGGTTGTGGGCCCGCCGCTTGGGGCGACTCCGCCAACCTCCTCCTCTCAGCTGCTAACGAGGCGGCATCGCTGAGGGCAACGGTGGAGGGGGTTGGGGGCGGGGGGGGGGAACCGCCTTGTCTCAGCCTCCTTGGTCGCTGCTTTCCGGAAATGTCGCCCAGCGACAGCTAGCTAAAGGTCCGTGTGAATTCTCCGTCAGCGATGCACTTTTGACCCTAACGCAGGATGCAAAAACAGCTGTAAGCACTGATGCTTCGGCACCCGAAGCATCCAGGGGCAAGAAAGGGGAGCTACGTAACATTACTGTAACCATGGGACTGGCCTGGTAGGCATCCCACCGGTGCATGCTGGAGATGAACTCTGTGTGGGCCACAGAGGTTCATGCAGAGCTTTACGAGGACGAGCAGGAAGAGACGCTCTTGTGCAGCAGCGGGCCGGTCGCTGTAGGAGGTGACGACTGGGTTTGCCTGAAGACAACAACTACTGCAGACGGTGGCCTGTACAAGTTCCTTTGCCATCATCTGAACCTGCTGAACCATCACTTGCCATCATGTGTAAAAGATGAATCTGTGCATCCGGCCGCGGGACCCCAAGCCTGCACGATTCCTCGCAGCTCGCCCTATAAGGCTGAAAACCTGCATCATGGACTGCAGCAACGGCTGGACATTATGCTTCGATGTGAAGGACTTTGCGTGATGGGCACGAATGGAAGTCGTAGATAGCCAGCGCCTGGAATGCATCTTCAGTTGCACCCTTTCTGCTCATGCAGGAGCGCCCGGACAGCACCGCAATCTTGACTCACGTTCGCATCGCATGGGCAGAGCCACGCACACAAACCTTCACAGAAGAGACTCCAGAGCCAGAGTCCATTTCCGAGAAGGAGTGTGGAGAGGTACTGGACCAGACAGATCCGGAGGAAGATGGACTACATCCGATGCATCGTCGCTTGCTTCACTTGTACCGTCGCCCCAGCGCAGAGCTGCTAGATCCTGCATTCTGGGAAGCCTTGGTAGCTGGAAGCTTGACTTTTAACCCAGCAAAGCCATTCGCCAGAGTCAGATGGGCAGATGGGGCTACCCAAGCATTACCGACAAAGCGAGACCTCTCCAAGCTTGGTTACGGAAGACTTCCCGTAGAGACATTTGCCGATCTTGACATTTGCTTTTCGGATTTGGCAGCTGCGATGACGCACTTGCAGCGGCGAGGCTTCCCGCCAGCGCATGCCTGAGTTCACATGAATTCACTCTCTTGTCTGTTGCGGCTTCGTTTTCTTGCACTTTGAAGTTTTCAGTTTCCTCGAATGCTCGCTGCTAGACTCTGCTGGAGGTCTTCCTTTTCCTGTACGATCAGCCTTGGCAACTCTTCCTCCGCTTGTTTGAGGCAGTCCGAGTTCTGCTGGACAGCGAAGTCCGTATCAGCCTCTCTGCTTCTGGGCATTGCAAAAAAACAAGTATTGCGAAGCTTAATGTCCCGGCAGTGTAGTCAGCAACGTGGCAGTGTGCTCAATCCCACCTGAGTTACTGGCACGTGTCCTGCCCAGGTTTTCGCCTGGGCCTTGCAAGATGCCTCTGAGACAGGGCCAGTTGGAAATGTGGGAAGCAATTTTGGCCGGGCACACCGAGACAAAAGCTATGCAGACTGCCACTTTCCGGACACGCGGCTCGGGATGGTGACGACCTGGGTACCACTGGTTCCTGTCACACGGAGCAGTGGCTGTATGTACGTGGTCCCCGCTGACAAGGATGCACTCTTAACGCGATTTGAGGACCCGCACCACCTTAGGCCGGATGACGCCACCTGCGCGCTTGGGGAGGCAACGGGTCGTAAGCAACGAAATCTTTCGGGTAGTACAAGCCTGAATTTAAGGGCGGGTGACGTGCTTGGCTGTGAGATTCTCCAACTTTATCTCCAAAGATTTCCACACTTTTCTCCAGGCCTTGCCTTGCGATGCCGGCGAGACGCTGGTTTGGAGGGCGAATTTGGTGCACTGGGGTGAGGCCTGCGTGTCTGGCCACCCAAGGAGAAGCCTGGCAACTGCCTTTGTTGTCCCTGGTGTTCGTGCTTGCGAAATGATGGAAACTCTAAGTGAAGAGTCCCTGGCTGCGGGTCTTGGTCTCGAAACGCGGCTGCGAATCGTGGTGAAGTCACTACTTCAATACCGCTCGTGGTTCCCTGACTTTGCCGGGCTCGCCCTCGACTGATATAATATGGAAGACCGGCTGAGCATTCACTCGAAGAGCCTCAAAATGAACGACATAGGCATGTGCGGGGCACGACTTCGAGCGGCACGACTTCGTTGGATGTTGTCCACTTGTCCTTGCAGACAAAAAGGTGTGCCGACGCGGAGCACGTCTCAGACTGCCGTGATGCAAGGGAAGACCCTGCACTGCAAGCGCCACTGCGCCGAGCAGACTTGTGGACACCGCGAAGAAGCGGTTCAGAAAAGTTGTTCCACACTGTACCTGTCTGACTCAGAACCCAGCTGTAGGTCAGGCTCAAATGTCCTCAGATGCCCCGGGGCTAAAGCGGCTAAGACATCGAAATTCGGGCAATCCAGAAATTCTTTCTAGGGCCGTGAACTGAGCAGTGCAATTTTTTGCATGGCACTCGGAGGCTCGGAGGAAGCAGTTCTTGCCGTGGTTGCTGTCTAGTGTTACTAAGGGGCGCAGCCTCCCTGACTTTGTACGGTGCTACATCTCTCAAAGATGCCCCTAAAGAGGTTGTCATAGGCTAGAAATCTGGGCCTGTGGCTGAATGAGGGAACTCGGGTGTTGCCTTGTTTGCTTCTTTATTTCTTTAAGATGTTCTTCCAGGAGTTTGGGACTACTTTTTCTTGAAAGGTGCCCCTCCGGAGCAGCAGGTTAGACATGGTGTCTTTGTCCAGTTGACCGTTCCCCAAGACTCTCCGACACGCTTCCAAACAACATACAACGATGGTTGCAACCTGGGCTCGAGGTCTACAACTTGTTCTCTCGGCAGCTGGCGGTTTTCGTGCCTGACTTCTGGGCTGCTTGGCAGAGATTGGCAAGAAAGAGTGGCAGAACCCCAAAGAATCGATGGAACGTAGCACGAGTGGCTGCCGTGTTACCTCCGAGGACTCCACGCACATCGAGGCCGACATCTTTTTGCAGCGCTCTTTCTGGCTGCGCAACCTCTCCGTGAGTCCTACTGCGGCTCCTGGGCTTTCACGAGCACGGCGCATGTGTGACGCATGTGACGCATGTGTGACGCATGTGACGCATGTGCGCTGCACGTGCTCGGCATCGAGGCATCCCTTTTGATCGCACTTGCCCCGCCGGGGCTCAACTTTACCAAGTTTTGGATCAGCGATGTCAAGGTGGGACCGGGGAGGGGAACGGATCGAAAAGACATGAAAAGACTCAAAAGATGCAGAAGATCCAGAAGATTCCAGAAGGCCAGGAGATGAGATGTCTTCCTTCTTTTCGGCCAGGTGTCCTGGAACAACCTCATGGCTCTTGACTCCAGCCCCATCGTGGTCGAAATCGAGCCTTTGTCGCCTTCAGTCTACAGTCTGTGTGAGCCGTGTGAGCAAAAGTGGCTCAGTTGTCTCAGTTGTCAGTCGATGTCAGCTTTGGATCCAGCCGATACTAAAGACTCAAGATCCAAGCTGCAACTGGTTACTTGACAACATCCACGATATGCTCTGCGTCGCTTTGCAGTGCCAACCGGGCCTCTCGATGTAGTTTCTCTCGTAGACGGAGCCGTCTACGGTGGCAACGGGGTCAACCTCAAGACACGGGCGCGGCCTGTGTGAGGCCGTGATTGATACTCGCGCGGGCTGAGGTCTGCGGCCATAATCGCCGCTGAGATGGGACAGACCCATCGTCCGAGCGAGTCGCTGTTTGTTGAGTCACCGAGTCGTGGCGTCTCTCCCTCCGAGGATTCCGTGTGGGCAGAGGCCGCGGAGCTGCCAGCGGGAAGCGAGGAGGAGGCCGCGAGAGGGGTTTGGGGTTGTAGGGCCTTGTAAATAGCAGAGCAAGCCAGACTGAGAGCAATTGCTGCTCCAGTGGAGCCCGCCGAGGTTGAAGACCTCATCTCCAGATGGTTGGACGTAGTGGGAGGGGTTCAACCTGACCCCTTTCAAGGCGGAGCAAGATTGAGCAAGTGTCATCTGCGCCTTGAAGCTGAAGGCTTGTGGAAAACAACCCGCCGAGGCAAATATCCCCTTTTGGACGCAGCCACGTTCCGTGTGCGTCACGTGGATCTTCTCATCGACAGTCCAACGCGATACGGGCAAGTGGACGTTTCGTTGCGAGGCCAGGGCGCCCCAGAAAACCGGTAGAATGCCAAGTCGCCCAGTGGCCCATAGGGATCCACGAGACCTTGTCACAGGGGCTTCTCGAACTTCTCAGCCAGGCCTGGAAGCCAGGGCCGTGAACCAGGAAGGGCGACAGGAAGACCTGACGCTCGGACACACAATGGCAACAATACTGTCCACCACCACACCTCTACACACATGTGCACAATGCAGCAGAGTTAATCAAAATAGTACGAATAAGAATAAGAGAAAATGATAGTCGCCACAATAGTATCAGTCGCCTTCTTTCGCAGGATGACCATGCTCGAGGATGGAAAGGATGGGCGTGCAGGGACCATCCGGATGTCCCGGCTCGTGGAGTGCAGCCAAGCCTCCGTGCGATACCGCTCGCCACCTGTAGGTGCCTGCACGCGAAAGAGATAGAGAGGGAGAGAGAGAGTGAGGGATGGTTTTGAGAAGTTGTGAGTCGGAGGATAAGTGGCACAACATCAGCTGTCAGAGTCTTGGCTGTGCTCTGCCCTGGTCAGTTGCATTGTCCAGCAGGCCATGCTTCGGACGACTTCTCTGCAGACTACCTGCCCCTCGGAAACCCAGTAACACAACTCTAACGGCGAGGTGGTCCAAAATTCTGAGCCCGTTTGCATCTTTCCTCTGCCCGAGCTGCTGTTGCCTTGGACCATAAGGCTGGAGCCAACTCCTCTCAGCCTGCTACTGCGCCAGGTGAAGAATGCGAGTTGGTTGCATTGTCGCTCTCCAATTGTGGCAAGGACTTGTTGTTGCAAAAGGTTTCCTGTCATCCAGCGTCCTAGAACAACCCCGGCCATCGAATAACAGAGAATAACAACGCCGAAGCAGAAGTCGGCTTTTGGCCTTTCAGTCTGCGTTTTCGCTGCAGCACGGCAGGTTCAGAACGAGGAAGTCTTGGGAAAACAGCTATGTATGTAAGGGTTGTGAGGGCTTCTCAGGGTGGTCTAGCGGATGTGTGTTGGTGGCGTTTGATGTGCCCCGTGCGGCTCAGGCCTCGGATCTGCGACACATTCTCCACCAGCGCTACACCATCACGTAGCCTGGAAACGAAGCACAAGATGTTAAGCACTTATAAGCAATACACGAGACACATGAGACGACATAAAATGCCAAAACACACGACACTGTTGGGATTGCGCCTCTCTTTTTTCGTAGAAAGAGCCTCTCACTCTCTAAGACTGACTGAGGCTCCCCAGCAGTGCCATGTTTCTTCGGTCTCCCTTCGGTGAAGCAGCTCCCCCATCGCCAGCACCCGATCCACGCCTGAGCCCTTTCGACGGGCCTACGCCAGAGTGGCCCGGAGTCCCAGCAGAGGGAGCTGTGATGAGCTCTGTGTGTCCATTCTGATTGTCCATTCTGAGTGCCTATTCTGTCATTCTCCGTCAATTTCTGTGCTCTGGCAAAACTGCTGGAGTCCCTGCTGGTCTCCAGTGTTTTTTGGTGTGAGGCGGATCCAAGTGGCGAGCCACGATCAGTCAGACTGGATCTTCTCAGCTTGGAGACTTGGATGTGCAGAGCCGGTGCCTGCAAGCAGCGGAGTAGCTTCGATCTGGGGCCACTGCTCTTTTAGCTTTGCCTATGCAGCTGCATGCCTTTCTCGCTATTGACAGGATGAGCCCGCCTGCTGCCAAAACTGTAGCTGTTGCGGGCATGGGCATCGGGATGGTGGCTCCTTGCTCGCAACTCGGTCACGGCGACGGTGCCTTTGGTTGGTGGTTGCGGAGCTTTATACTTGGGGGGAGGGGGGGGGGGTCGTGACTTAGTGACTTAGTGATCCCAGCGCCCAGACCAGGTGTTTACCTTTTTCCTGCTCAGTGTGGCGAGCAGCTGCTTCGTTGCCGTCAGGCTCGTGAAGCTTCTCGTGCCTTTGTTGTGCAGCCGGGCTGTCGCCCACAACTGGCGACTGGCGACGCCCCAGATTCGGCCACACGCCAAGCACCGATGTACTGCATCCTGCGCGCAAGCGCCGGTCGATACCACTCCGGCGGCACGCACGTGCGCGTGACGGACCCCCCCCCCAGCCGACCTTGCTGATGCTGCTGATGCGCCTCAGGACCCTGAGGATGCCTGAGGATGGAGAAATGAAGGGCCCATGGTGGCTCTCTGGGTAGGATCGGTAGAAGCGTTATTTGTCATCGAGCCGCGGATGTCGACGATGCTTTGTCACAAGGGTGACGCCGGGACGGTGACGCATCCAAAAGTGTACGAAACGCGCGAAACGGAACAGACGGCTCCCAGTGGTTCCCTTATAAGGCTCCCAAGGCTCCGAGAAAAGGTCGCCAAAAGAACCCGTCTGGTTGGAGATCTATTGTTGCGCTGCACCGTCTGTCGGGGCAGAAAAGGGTTTGAGGAGCGTGGAGAGGGAATGGCGCCTGTTGGGGTGGGGCGTGTGGGGAGTGTACCTACAGCCATGTGTGTTGCTGCACAAGTGCGACTGAGTATGCCATATCATGCCACTGTCAGTCTCCTTTCTGCAGGCCCCGGCCTTGGCTTCGCAGTTTCTTGGCTTATTGTTCCGAACTTTTTTGCTAGTATTAAAAAAAGCTAGGTCCCTGTGCAATCGATTTGAGTCCAAGCCATTCGAAGCTTCCGTCTCATGCTTTTGGCAGGATGGCTCCTCAAGGTGTCATAATGTGGTGCCACATGGTGCCGCAGTGTCCTTGGAGGTTTTTTTTGCTGACTAAGGATTTCTTTGGAGGATGACATTTTTGAACCTCCCTCCCTGGCTCTGATAGTGAGCATCGGCGCCTGGTGGGCCATAGGCTTGGAAGTAGCCTCGGCAGATTCAAGACTGTTTCAATTCAGGACACGTCGTTATGAAGGGCGACTCTTGTGTAAACAGCCTGAGCGCCCTTTCTGCTGAAAAAAGCTGCACATAGCGAAGTGCATGAAGTGCCGAGTGAGAGTGAGCGACCGCAGCTTTTGAAGTGCTGCAGTGTCCCTTGCTGCAAATGAGCTCCGGGAGCAAGCTGCGCCGAGAATTGGAGCAGAAGTGAATAGAAGTGATGTCAGCCAAGCAGCCAAATGCCGCAAAAGCCTTCATTAGCAGGCAAGTACTGCCAAGCTCCAGTCGCATCTTTGGCTGAGTCTGCACAGAGCCCCCAGAGCGTTAATTCAGGCGCTGCCCAATCGCACCCCAAAGACATGCTCCGAAAGAAGTCGGACTTCTGCTCTTGGGGCTGCGGGTGATTGAGCAGCATATGCCTTGGCAATTTTTTCCACAACCTTCCTCTGGTTTTCAGGTCATTGAGACTGAGATAGAGGTGTGGGGAGCGACAGCAAGCGGAGGGATGTGCTTTTTGAAGGCAACCTTGCCATCAGCCTCAGAGGTCTTGAACGGTCCAGGGCATGACCAGGGGATGGGCTTCATGGGCAATGACATGACCGTGGAGGCCTGAAAAATCTGTACCTTCCAACTACGTCCCATGACGTAGCCTCCATGTAGGAGCTCTCCTGCTTGGAGTGCCCCTCCTTTGAAAATTTGGGGGCAAGACAACGAAACATCTGCGGCGGAGTGGACCAACTCCTTGCTGAACCGTGCGGCGTTTGGCCTCGAAAGAAGGGGCTCAGGGCATTCGGAAGCTCCCCAGGCCGGGACGTTTCCCTGGACTCCGAGCGACTGAAAATGGGGGCCAAGTTCGCCAATGTTGCTCCATGTTGCTGCGTTGCTGCTCATGCCGGCGGGGGGGGGGGGGTCAAAAAGCCCGGACCGGTTTGGTGGGGGGTGCTGCTGGGGCCTTCCGGAGGCGAGCTCCTCGTCGCCGACCTTGGGCCGCCGCCTGAGTGCAGGCTTTGCTGTGATGGGTTCTTGGGTGCAGCTCCTTGTCGCTTCCTTGTATATTATAAATACTGAGATTTCATAGTACCGAAGCCAGGAACTTGAGGTAGGTATAGCGGTTGGCGAAGACTGGCTGGCGAAAGACACCGCTAAAGACTTCGAGCTTTCCGCATGTTTTTTTCATGCGATGCTCTGTGGCCTTGTGGAAGAAGCGGCGAAAGACTTTGGCACTTTCGACGCAGAAGCGCAAATTCTGCGTACAGGAGTGTTGTACAACCATCACCTCGATCAGCCGAAGAACGTGGGTGACGGGGAAGGCATCCTTCATCTCGTGATCCTCAGCCACACCTTGAACGCAAAGTACCTCTGTCGTACCACGCCTAGGCCTATCGCTTGACACACGGTCAGCTTTGTGGGCACTTCGGCTATTCTTCCAGAATTCTGCTTCTTGCTTGGATATTTTGAATGCCGTGATGCACATCGCATGTGCAAATTTAGCTACGCGAGGCAGTTGCGCGTCGATTCGCGTTTGACGGCTAGTTTGATGTCCATCTGTGGTGGAGTGTAAGCGGGCGCGGGCCTGGAAGGTAGTTGCCCAACGCGCGGAAATCTGCCTGGTAGTTTCCTTGTTTTTTCAGCTGGTTCTGGAGGGGGGTGTTTTTTTTGTGGGTGGGGCTGGGTGGGGGGGGATCCATGCCTACTTCCTGCGTTTTAACCTCTTTGTACAAAGTACAGCACAAGGATGTGGAACAAGACACGTTGTCACAAGCGTCCATGCCTGCCGCGACTGCCCAAGAACACTGGTATTGCATTTACAGCGTTTTATGCCAAAAACACTGGTATTTGCAGCGTTTTCGCCAATTTAACTTTGTACACCATACTGCACAAGCATGTGGAACAAGACACGTTGTCACAAGCGTCCATGCCTTTGAATTGGCGAACATGCCCAAGCACTGGAATTTACGGTGTTTTTGACTCTTTGCACAACATACTGCACAAAGATGTTGAACAAGAAAAGCTCTCGCAAGCGCCCAGGCCTTTTGCGACGATGCCCAAAACTTGCACTGAAAACCCCAAAGCAATGCGTTAAGAAAAGTAGTTTTAAGCAGAAACGCACTGTCAAGCAGACACCGCGCCCAGGCAAAATAGAGCGCGTTAGCCTGGCAGTTAAGACCCCATGGACGGATGTGGAGCAGGTGAATTCTGTTCATATATGGGTCAAACCATGAACTGATGAAGTGTCATGCTCCAACGATAACCGCTTGGAGTTCCGGCGCACAGAGGACCGAACAAACTTCCGACACCCTGAGAAAGTTATATTATACCCTCTCATGATCCAAGGGGTTTTCGTGCCAAGAAACGAGCATTAGTGCAGAATCCACGTTCAACGTTTCTGATGAGGTTCGGCCAACCTCTCCGACATCCTTCGATCCACCTCGGCAGGACACCTAAAAGAAGATGGCCCCGAATAACACTTGCAGGATTTCAACTGCGTACTCGGCCTGCTGACTTTTTGCAGTTCAACATTCTTAGCCGCCTTTGTCTCGAGCTTCGAGTTCCATCAGCACTGCACCAATGAGTGTGCGCGCGCGCCATTTCAGCAGTCTTCACAGTGTTGCTCACATGCGGCGATGACTATGCCTCAGCTTACCCGAGCAACGAGGCCTTCGCAGAGCATGTGAGCGGCACGTCTTCGCATGGAAGCTGGCCACCTAGCATTGCAATGACTCAGCGAAGCTGTCCAGGATCACTTAGAGGCATCGGGAGCTGTGTCAAAGAATGAGGTCGGACAGGACACTCGACACCTCTCCAGGAAGGGGACGCCCAGGCATGCCCGCTGCATTCCGCATGAAACCTGTGAAGCTGTGAAGCAACGGCCATGAATCAAGCATTTGGAGCATGAGTGATCTGTTGAAAGCAAAGACCAAGGGCATGATGATCACAAAGACAAAAGGTCGCTCGTGCGCAGAGCTCCTCGGGCAGTTCAAGTGGAGGTGTGCCTTTTTTGGATTCCAATCATGGCAGTGGCATAGAGTGGCACTCAGACTGGGCACGAACCATCCGCACCTCGGTAGGAGGCGAGCGGCAGCCAGGTCTTGATCAGCGACAAGCCTTGGAGGCAGGGGAAGCTCTGTATGCGCCCATTCGTATGACTCCTCAGTTGCATTCGGTTGAGTTGCCCGTGCGGAAACAGTGAGCAGTTGTGCAGTAAGCGGCGCATGTGGCAGCCTACAAAGCCTGATTCCTCCAGAGAGCCTCTTGTAAGCCCCTGGAACTCCTAACTGCTCAAAGGCTTTTGCGGGCGGAACCATTTTTTGCGTCATTCCTGCCGGTTTTTCTAACCTCTACATTTGTGCCAGCATTCTGCTTTCTCATTCAGTTGCATTATCGGTTTTGTCAGGCCTTGGTGCAAGATGTGGCGGCGGAGCCTGTCTGTGTACCGAGCCAAGAAGCCGGAATAAGAATAATCCGAAGCCCACCCCGGCTTCCTTGACGCTGTGAAGCAGCTAAGAATAGCGGTTGCAAGCCACTAAGTCACTGAGCCAATTCGAGCAGCTGCAAGCATGCAAGCCCTCTGATGTAATCGCTGAGTGGGTGAGGCTTTCTCAACGAATGCCTTGTCCTCAGCTTTTCGTTTGGGATTCGGTATAGTTTTTGTTTTTCAGTTGCTCCCGTTAGCATGGGCTCATGAACTTCTGCCGCATAGAACGCCTCTGCAAATGCCATGAACCCACACCGAACTACACCGAACGCCCAAGCTGTACTGCAGAATCATGCTGACAGCACTTCCAGAGTACTTCTTTGAGCTTGGGGCAATGGCGGGTGCAATTGCCAGCCTTGGAGGCCAGAGCCGTTTGGCACGGTGGAAGTACTCCGGCAGTACTGTAGCTAGCCTTGTGCCGAAGACAGAGTTTGTAAGCTGTTTTGGCCCGTGTGCACCACTGTTCCGCAATGGAATGCTGAAGTTTACAGCCCCATCCCACAGTGTCACAAGCCCACTCCAGCTACATGGCATGATGCGGCGGCTGATATCCGGTAGCGAAGGAAAACTAAGCTAAACTTCGTGTCGTCACTGGAGCGGAGCAGGTATTCTGGCCTTCGCCTCCTGTGCATGCGCTGGCGCTTCCTTCGCCGCACTCGGGCGCAAAGTCTTCGCCAAGTACTGCGGCCACAACATTCGATGGGTGCTCTCGGGTTCATGCGCTCAGCAGGTCAGGCTTCGGCTGGGCTCTCGTTCGCCCCTGAAGGTTCAAAAGCCTGTCGAAGGGATGGAACTGATCCAAGTGCAGGTGTGGCACGACTCCATGAATTCACGACCAAGGGACATAGCATAGGACATAAATATGCACATGTTCAAACCGGTGTGAAAGGTCATCCACCGGCATGGAGCTCGTTCTCTTTGGGCCCCTTTGCAGTGCTGGGCAAGGAGTGTAGGTGCCCCATCGGCGCCTCCTCTGCAAGGAAGTGGATGCAGAAGGATGCAGACATGTGTAACCGCGAACGCGAGAGTCCACGACAGGATATGGGAAGGCCACAAGTGTTTTGGAGTCAAGTCAGGCTCATGGATCAAGATTTGACAAGATTAAAAATTAAAACCCTCATTGCAGGCACGTAACCCGTGGTGTGCCAAGAATAAGCGCAAGTTGGCGTGAAAGTTCCGTTTTTGAAAATCGCAAGCGGCCTGGCAAAACAGGATTGGGGTCCGGACGAAATGGAGGTTCGCATGGCGCGCTGCTTTTCAAACTCCAATTTCCCCCCCCCCCCCCCCCCCCCCCCAACTTGCTCAGTCACAATCCCACTCACACGGTTTTTCTGAGGAGCTATGGCCTGCCACGGCCCGTATCGACGCGCCGTGATATGCAAAGCCCCAAAGCCTAAAGTAGCGCCCATAAACCCGCACCGCACAGCCGACAACAGGGTGGGGGTCTGGGCAGCTGCCAAGCTCATCCCGGCTCGGTTTCGCTGCGGTGCCTGGTGCCGTGAATTCAAAGTACGTTGCACTCAGAGCCACGCAACGGCCAAGGTCTGCCTAGTATGGTTGAGAAAATTACAGTTACACTGTTGCACTTTTGGCGGGAGCGCGAAGTGCCTTCACCGAAGTTTTGAAGAAAACAAAACAACTTCAAGGTCAAAATCATAAACGTCCACGAGTTGTTGAGTCGCTGGGGACATTTTGGGGTGCTGAAATGTAGACGCCCTGAGGACTCTTGCCTCGGTGGATTATGTTCTCCTTTCACCACTACCCCTGCAGATTCCGCATCACACGCAGCAAGACAGTTTCACATGCCATTTTAGTTGTGATGGCGCGTAGTTTGTGAGGAGCATCCACCTTTTCGCTGCCCCTCGGCATTGTTGGTTAGATGATAGACGTGGCAGTCGCAGACAGCCTCTGCATTTTGAGGCAATTTGCCTTTCTCCATCAGTGTGGGAAGAGCACGGCGCGCGTCTCGGAGCTGCCTTTGGCATCTTTTCGCCTCCTACGCACAGCAAGGCCGCTCACGAAGCACTTTGATCAGCCTGGGGGCTGTGGCCTCGGTTCACTGCTGGACGAGGCCCCAGAACAGCTCCTCTGTCGTCTAAGACAGGGTGCGAAGCAACTGGAGCAACCCACTGTTTTTTCGGCTAAGCTTCTCTTTTACGGTGCGGCTCTTGAAGTGCCGGTTCTGCGCGATTCTGCGCGTGTCTCGTGTCCAGCAGTGCGGCTACGTCGTCTTCAACGCAAACGGTCTTGCCACGTTTTTGCCCTTTGATGCCACAGCCAAGGTTTAAGAATTTAGCTTGGTCGCTCAATGCCAGCTACCAGCACACCTCTTTGTGGAAACACTTGAGTCTGAGTGACGACAGTGTCTGCCATTGCCTGAGCATGGATCGGGTCTGCTGGCCGTGTTTTGCTGCTGAATCATTCCTTTCTGGAGTTGGCTGAGATCTGTACTCTTGCGACAATGAGCGCAATCTGGCAAGCAGCTTGGCTCCATATGTTCCGTTGGAATTCTTGCCGGGGGGCAGAAGTGGACATGGGGCATATGCGGCATATGACGCCCGTGAAGCCCGTGATCAAGTCTTAAAAACCCGACTTAAAGACATCAGATTCATTAGGTGTTCAGACATCTTCAGGTTGGGTGGTTGTCTACACTTTAGGGCTTAAAGGGACAATGGCAATCAAGCGGTTGTTGCTACTCCAAGCCTGTATGCTGCGCTATTCTAACCCTTCTCGCAATAGTGGTCTTGCTTGGCTGCAGCAGAAGCCGTAGAAAGAGCCACTGAACAAGCTTACAAAAGGCGGATGATCCTACCAAACGCTTGTTGAAAAGCGACAAGCCCAAAAACGTAAACGCACGACTTGCCAGATCAAGTGCGCAAACGTGGGCTCCCTGCTCAGGTGTGGATCTGCTGACATCACAGCTGTTTGCTGGTTCTCAAGCAGATTCTGCAGCGACGTGTCTGCATTCTGCGCGTTTCGATTGGGATCTTCTGAATTTGCATGGTGGCCAATCAGGTTGAAATACACACGCTACCTGCCAAAGATGACCCCTTCGAGTTACCTGGTTGTGTTGCCACATCGCCCTGCGATGGCTCTCCCGTACAAGCTATGGAGGCGGGCATTTTGGTGGCGCTGTTCACAAGGGCAGGAACGAGATCAGCACGTGCTGTCGGATTGGCTTCACAAGGAGATCGAGATGGACAAGAACTACCGAGCATTCGCCTCGACCTGGCTGCAGCAAGCAAATGCCTCCCGCCCCGTAAATCAGCCACATCAGCCAAAGCAAGTGCAATGGCGTGCGCAGACGTAATTTCAGAGAGCCGGGGGTTTCAAAGATAGAATCCTCTGAGGTGTCATGGAACCGAGAAAATTTTGACTGCATCCTAACGGCGAGGTGTGCAGGCAGGGGGCGAATTCCTTTGTCGTCCCCTGGAGTGTTTGGGTGTTGCACTCCGGTTGCACTGGGTTGCACTGGGTTTCAGTGCGAGGCTTGGGCCTGCCCACTGCAATTCACAACGAGCTTGCCGATGAGGCTTGCAAGCGCAAGCCCGACAGTAGCCAAGCATAGCCAAGCAGTTTGCCTGTGCTCCTTGCATACATTTGCAAACTCTGAGAATCAATGAAAATCACCATTGCTGTTGCACCAATGCAGAAGGCGTTGTATTGGGGATGGCGGCAGCAAATGGCTCCGGCTCCTTGCTGATGGAGATGTAGCACGTGACTGTCTAGGTGCCAGTAGACGCAGGGGTCCGTTCAGCTTGGTTGCAGCAACTGGCGACAGAGGTAGAAAGGGCAGAGAGGGGAGAGCGAACAGAGGTCCGCACTACAAATTGGACGTCTCTGGTGGCGTCAAGGGCGTCAGCGCCTCATTTCTGCAACTGAGCTACCCTCATAGGTGTTTGATGTGTTTCTCAGCACGAGCCACGATCGGAGCCATTCGTGAAATGAAAGCAGTAGCAGCATCGACAGTGTAGCACAAAGGGAGTACACATATGCACGGATCACCAGGCTGGAGGCTATAGCCAACAAGCTCAAGATGGCATCTGATGGACCGAAGCTGGCCGTGTGGTCTACGCATGACAGCACCTCGTTCATGCTCAGCCTTGGTGCCCAGCATCTGCCATGCAATGAAGTTTCGTGACGTGCGAGGCACCATGATCTACCTGCTCAATGCACTTGGGGGATGGGAAGCTTGGCTTACAGCGTTTTTACAGAGGTTGGATGTGTTTGCCATGCGTTTTTTTGCTTGTTGCTTGCAGCCCGTATGAAGTCCCTTGTCAACGCGCCCTGCAACCTTGCAGTTTTTCAGTCAGACGCACCGACGCCCAGCCGAGGACGGCCGGTGGCCAGGCGGCTCTTTGTACTGAAACTGATGCTCATAGATTTTCGGCCGATCCGCTTCTGTGGCAGGCTACGCTTCGGTCGTGGTTTTGGAGCTCTACGCGAGCCCCAACAAGGGTGAAGGGGAGACACTTCTTCGCGTGGTGCGCGATGGGGAGCCCCTAACTCTGGGAGTCTGTGGGGAGGCGCTTCAGACGGGGGTTTAGATGGGTTTTTTTCTGGCGGAGACACACGGCGGAGACACGCGAACGTGGACAGGGCTGCCATCAAGACCAACGCAGTCCGGGTTTTGCTCGCAGGTTCTTTGTCCGCTGTCTCGCTTCCTGCAGCGTGGTGGCATGGGCATGACCGCCTATGGGCGATGGTAACTACGGAGTTTTATGTCGTAGCAGGTTGATGTGTCAGATGTAATTATGTGAGTGTGAGTGTGTGTGCGCGTGTGCGCTCGTTGTTCAGCGGAGTCGCGGAGCCAAGGGCTGCAGTGGAGTCCTGGCAGAACTGGGGCTGTGCCCCTGAGACCAAGGTTTTCGAGGAACTCTACGAGGCCAGGCCAGGGCTGCCTTGGGGGGGCAGGGAGGGTGGAAAGAAAAATCCGCAGCATGCTTGCGCAGCATGCTTGCGCACTCTGTGTGTGTGTGTGTGTTGCCCCTGGAAGGGTTCATGGCTGGTATGGGCCCTGCTCAGTTTGTTAATGATTTTGGCCGCGCTGTTCGGAGCCTTGGTATAGCACAGGACAGCGCAGGAAACCACCTTTTTTTGTGAGTGCAGTGGCCCATGCACTACTATTGCACTGCTTTGGGCAATTTGGGCGCGCCTAGGGTTGCCATGTCGGGGCACTACACTCACTACAGTGAGGGAGCCATTGATCGCGTGATGACGCAGCCGGGATCAATCTCGCAGACTGCTGTCCTCGCATGAAAGAAGCTGCACTGCTTGCAAGAACTCATTGTTTGGGAGCACATGCACAGACCAAGCGTTGACATGCGTTGACCATAGTTCCCTGAAGGTCTCAGAAGCCGAGGAGCCTTAGTCTGAGTAACTTCGCAACATGAAAGCACGGCGTGCGTGGCCTCGCGGTCTTACAAGCTGTTGTGCATACCACGGAGGTTCCGAAGCGAAGATGAGCTGGATTTGCCAATGTGACATCCGCTGTGTTGCATGCCACGTCTTGATCTAGGGTGAAGCGCGCCAACGTTCTTCTCTGGCGATTTCCATATTTCAACAGAGAGGTCCATGTTCCTATTCAAAATGACACAGCTTGCACAAGCTACATCTTGAACCCGTGGCAACCAGATAGCCAACAGATGAGCTGCGGCAATTGGCGTCAACAATTCAGAGCTTGCGTTAATGCGAGAAGTTTGCAAAGAAAAGCCCGGCGTCAGAGAAGCATGAAGACGATGAAGACGGCGCAAGCCGAAGCTTGCATTGCCGGGCCTGGGCCTGATGCGCACTTGCTGCCGCCATCTCTCAAAACGTAGCTGGCCGTCTGTTGCAGCGGCAAGAGAAAAGGCTGGGGGAGCGTCTAGACGGTCCAGACTTGAGGGGAGGGGCTGCATGTCCGAATCAACCGCGAACATGAGAGAAGAAGCGGCGTAAAGTGACAACAAGTGCAAAACGCAGTGCTTCTTCTGGCTCCTACTCAGGTGGCCTGGTGCCCACAGGAGGGATTCATACCTTGTACGAAACGAGAGCGTCGAAAAGGAGAGGACACATTGACAAATTGATGTTCAGACCAAGTGGCCCTGATCAGGCCGCAGCCATGGCGAGCTCGGATTTCGAAGAGATCGTCAAGAGGCCAGAGACGAGTCTGCCTTATTCGTAGTCGGCCATCATAAGCGCAGCGTATCAGCTGTAGTGAGAAGGCGAGACGAGTCCCACAGCCACTGTAGCAACTGTTCAAGAGAGGAGAGGTCCAAAATCTATGAAGTTGGGGGAAGCCGGGGGGCGAATTCGACATCCTGCTGCTTTGAGCCAAGCCTTAGAATACCCAGGGCCCAGGGCCACCCTACGGGTAGCAGTGGGTTTGGGCAGTGATAGGGGAGAAGATGCAAACCCTAAGCCCATCGAAGTTCTCGTCCTGCTTCTTGCGCCTCATCTTCCGGAAGGTGCTTGGAGGCTCGAAGCTCGAAGCCAGGGAAGCCCGTTCAGACCGGCTCTCAGCCTGGAAGACGCCAAGTTGCTAAGGGGACCAGAATGAGCGCCTGCTTGCGTGCCTGCTGAGTTTTGTGGTCCGAGGTTTGAGGAGCAGGAAATCAAGGCTCTATGCCTTCAGGCATGTTCCATCTTCAATGCGAATGAAAAATCGTTGAGGGGTTCCTGCGCTGTGACAGAGACCCACGTTTTTGATGCGTCGGGCTGTGGCCAGGTTCGGAGCATTTTCCTCTCACAAAGCCCATTCCTGGAGCTGGAGGCTCCTCTCCAAGCAGGACAAAAAGGGAATCCGTGAAAGCCATCTGTTCACTGCTCACTTTAACTGAGGCCCCAATGAACATCTGTGGAGACGTTCACGGGCAGCGCCCTGAATTTTCTGTGCTGCCTCTGAGCTATGTTGGTCATGAAGCAGCTTGTGCAAGCAGCCTTCAGGCAGTTTCATGACCTGCTCCGAATGTTCGAGTACGGAGGGTTTCCGCCCGCCCCTCAGAGACGACGGGAAGATATTGGGTAGACCTTTTTGATCCAAGCGATTCCGAAATGCAAAGGCCCAATAGCAACTACCTCTTTCTTGGCGACTATGTGGATCGAGGCGAGTGTGTTGCGAATGCTGGAATCTGAGAACATGTTTAGAAGCACGTGCGTGCGAAGAGGACACCGCTTCTCTCCCCGTATATGACATAGTATGATCTGAAAGAAACTGAACAACAGGGCAGTTGCTCTACTCCGCAGGGAGATGCAGGGAGGAGCGCATGCACTCGTAGTCGTATGAGCACTGAGCAAGCCAAAGGTTAACTTCGAGTTTAAGTTTAACTTGTGACATTTGCCATGTTTTTTTGCAATTTGTTCGGTAATAAGGCTTATATGGCTTTAGGTTAAAGGGGCTTGTGTGTTATCTCACCATACTTACGGAAAGTTTACGGAACAATTATGCCGACTGCATAAAGAGGACTAGTCAGGAGCGCACGGCTCATTCAGTACAAAGGTCAGAGCACAACGTGAGGAGTGTGACGGGTGAGGAGTGGACATCCGCGAACGAAGAATGCAGAGTATACATCTGGCGAGGGAAGCGTTCAGGGCTTAGTTGCGGTGGAAGAATGACAAATAAGAGTGTTTAATCATTAAATCGCGATTGTCATGATCCTGGCATTGTCGCAATTGATCGCATCCTATCGAAGAGATCCGATTTGGGCCAAGAGTTGTTAATGCACGACTTGATCTTGGCTTTAGAAGTACAGCAGTGCAAGTCTGATGAGATGTCGCTCCGAATCTCGTTGCTTCTTAGCTCATAAAACTTTCTTGTTTGAGCTTTTTCCGGGGATTGGGGCGAGAGGTTTGGAGCGAGGAGACCTGCTGCAAAATCATAGCCGCAGTAAAAAGAAATAGGAGCATGAGAAGTCATGTGACGCTGTAGCAGTCCCGCAACCACAGCAGCTGGAGCAAAAAGACACAGTTGCTGGACAAGTAGGGAAACAAGCTGCTGAGATCTGCCAATATTTGCTAATATTTGCTGGGTTGTGCAAAGCAGGCAAGCAGAGCCTTGAGACCATTGTGCTCCTCTTCGCATACAAGGCAGAAGCTTGAAGAAGCCTCGCCACATTTGGGCCAGCAACCATCCAATCGATTGAAGGCATTGTACCCAGAGAATTTCTTCTTGCTCCGTCCGGCACTCGGAATGCACGAGACTTTGCTGTCAGACTCATGTTTTGCTTCTCCACAGGTGGCAACCATGAGAGCGCGTCGATCACGCGTATCTATGGATTTTATGACGAGTGCAAGCGGCGCTTCAACATCAAGTTGTGGAAGAGCTTCTGCGATGCCCAAGTCTAAGATTAGCCACTTCCACTCCAAGATGCTCTCTTATGCTCTTCATTCAAGTTGTGCTCTCTGTTGTACAATCCTTCCAAGGTGTTTAACTGCTTACCGGTTAGTGCACTCGTTGACGAGCTGCTGCCTTAGTGCCAAATCTTGGGGAATCTTGAAGTCGGTCGGAGAGCAAAGGGGCCACTTGAGTGCCACCACACAACCGCGGCCCAAGGAAAGTTATGTGCATGCACGGGGGCCTTTCACCAGAGCTGCAGCACTTCGACCAGGCCTTTTCTGATCGGACGGGCCCGGTAAAAAGCACTATGGTGTGAAACGGAGATGGGAGATCATGGGCAAAAGTATGAGCTTGATGCGCCGCGCAGATTCGGAAGATTGTGCGTCCCACAGATGTGCCGGACTCCGGCTTGATATGCGACCTGTCCCAGTCTCAGCAGATACGAGCCGTTTCGTGTGGATGAACCAACGTTGCACCTTCGACTGTGAGAGGCTGTTTTCGGCATGAGTCAGGATACTTCTTAGACAATCACGATCAAATCAGGCTAAACGTCAGGCTGTAAGCCTTGTTTGCCCAGGCTGTGGTCGGATCCTGACAGGCCAAAAAAAGAGCTGCATTTGCCAGTTTTTGGGGTAGTAACGAAGTAACGAAGTAACGAAGGTGGGCATCAAAGGAGGCGGCCCTCCAAACTCTTCTCATAAACACAGCAGGGTCTCAGCCGGTCTAAGCCGCTCTCAGCCCCGTGCTGTAGAGACTGCTCGCATCTGCACCACTACTACTACCACTACCACTATTGCTACTGCTACTGCGACGACGACGACGCAGACGACTACTAGTACTAGTAGTAGTAGCAGCAGCAGTAGTAGTAGTACTACTACTACTCCTACTACTCCTACTACTCCTACTCCTACTACTACTACTACTACTACTACTACTACTACTACTACTACTACTACTACTACTACTACTACTACTACTACTACTACTACTACTACTGCTACTACTACTACTACTACTACTACTACTACTACTACTACTACTACTACTACTACTACTACTACTACTACTACTACTACTACTACTACTACTACTACTACTACTAGGCGTCACGTTCTTAATTGATCGCAGGGGTTTTGTGGCGTGCAATTTTCGTGTTAAGAGACGAAAACCTCGGTATTTACAGTGTTTCCTGGCTTTGTCCGTTTACGGACACGAAAAATGGACGTGTAAAAAGTCCCGCAAACTACTTTCAACTACTTTAGGCGCAGGAGGAAAACATCGGTATTTACAGTGTTTTCGGGCTTCAAAAACGGTCAATTACAGGGCCTACTTTGCGCAGACGTGTTCTCAGAACAGAGGAAAAGACCGGTATTTACAGCGTTTCGCGGGTTTTCTAAGATGTGGCCAAACTTGTCCTTAAACCCGAACGCCTCCAGCAAGCCGAACAGTCGTGCACCCTGAAATCCGAAACCCCGAAACCTGAAGCAAGCCCAAGAGTCGTGCACCCTTAAAATCTCAACCCCACAGCGTCAAGCACGTCCCCAGAAAAAACACAAAACATCTGGAGCCTGAAACCCCAAACCCCATGTGTACCCTGAATGACAAAGCAGTCCCACAGTGCACCCCCTTAAACCTTAAATCCATAGAAAAAGCCCAAAAGTCCTTTCACCTTACAGCCTCAACCCCAAACCCTTCCCTTAAACCCTCAACCCCAAATCCCAAAAAAGCCCAGAAGATCCCCAAACCCTCCACTGTGAATCCCAAACAGCCGAAAAGATCCCGAAACCCTCCACTGTGAGCCCAAAAGGTCTTACCCTTAAACCCTAAACCCCAAATCCCAAAAAACCTCAAAAGGTCTCTACCCTCAAGCCCCAAACCCTAAACCCTCCACTGTAAGCCCAAAATGTCTTGCCCTGAAACCCTAAACCCCAGATGCCAAAAAAAACCAAAAGATCTGTAGGCTGAAACCTCAAACCCCATATTTCCACTGGAAGCCCAAAAGGTTCCCAAAAAAGCCCAAAAGATCTGTACCTGCAAACCCTAAACCCTCCACTGTGAGCCCAAAAGATCTTGCCCCTAAACCAACCAAAAAAACAGAGGAAAACAGTAGACAGCGTGGTCAAGCGTGCACAAAGCCCAGCACGACCCCCATGTGTGCACAAAGCACAGCACGTAATTACCCCCCCCCCCCACCCCCCCCCACCCCCCCCAACCCGTCAAAGGCAGAAAAAACCAGAGAAAACGATAGAAAAAGTTAAAAAAACAGCAGAAAACACCATGATCAGTTAAGAGCGTGTCACCTACTACTATACTACTACTACTACTACTACGACTACTACTACGACTACTACTACTACTGCTACTACTACTACTACTACTACTACTACTACTACTACTACTACTACTACTACTACTACTACTACTACTACTACTACTACTACTGCTACTACTGCTACTACTGCTACTACTGCTACTGCTACTACGACGACGACTACTACTACTGCTACTACGACTACGGTGCAACCCTATGGTTTGCCCGCGCTTGTTTTTGGAAGGTACATAAAACATGCGCAGGCGCAGCGTTTCTGGCCTTTGCCGGCCTTTCAACAGTGTTCTTTTTTTCGTTTTTTTCTTCATAAACGACGACCCTCTGCGGGTTTCCCTGCGTTCCGGACTTCGCAGAACCCTATGGTTTGCCCGCGCGCGCGTCTTACGGTTTGGGCTTTGGAGTGTTTCAGGCACGAGTCCAGCACGAGGGCTTCGGTGTTTTGTCGTCCTGGGCTTCAAGGAAATAACACTGCTTTCGGGCGTGGGTTCAGGGTTGAGGTGTAAGACAGTTTACGGTTTGCCCGCGTCTTCTTCTGCTTGTGGGCAACGAACAGCCAAAGCCTAAACCTTAAACTCCAGAAGTTCTTGGTCCTATTTCATAGCTCAGGATTTCGCAGACGACTCGTCTTGTGGCCACTACACTACTGACGCAGTCCCGTGCTTGTTGGGTCGCGCGGCCACAGGTCCGCGGTCTGCAGAGGCGGACACGGCCCTGGCATACGGGAAGCGGCGCAGACGCTGGCCACCTGCTTCGGAGGCAGAAAGAAAGCCTCCTCAGCGAGCTGCCCAGCGTCTGCGCCCCGCTTCCCGTATGCCAGGGCCGTGTCCGTCTCTGCAGACCGCGGACCTGTGGCCGCGCGACCCAACAAGCACGGGACTGCGTCAGTAGTGTAGTGGCCACAAGACGAGGCGTCTGCGAAATCCTGAGCTATGAAATAGGACCAAGAACTTCTGGAGTTTAAGGTTTAGGCTTTGGGCTGTTGGGTGCCACATGGTTCATGCTGACATACTGCGGCAAGAGCTGATTCAAGCATGCTTGTCCAAACCCATGCTTGACCACTGTGTGTGGGCAAACCACCCGGTTGGGGCGTACGACTACTACTAGTACTTCTACTTCAACTACTTCTACTACTTCTGCTACTACTACTACTACTACTACTACTACTACTACTACTACTACTACTACTACTACTACTACTACTACTGCTACTACCGCCAACACGATGACGACAACGACTACTACCGCTCTACCACGACCACCACCACCTACCACTTCCACTGCCACCACTACGAACTTCGACGACGACTGCGACTGCTACTGCCACTGCCACTACCACCACCATGACTCTACGGCGAGAGGAGAACACCAGACGACAGCAGTTGAACTCTGCACTGGGCTTTGCTGGTGCATCACGACTCAAGGCAATCAGTTTGGACTAATTTGTGTCAAATCGACATAGGCATGAACATGAATCTACATCGCCATTTGCTACATTATCTGATCTTTTCTCGGTACCGAGCCATGGCTGCGGTTAGTTTCCGTGACGATTATTCCATCTCCCCCTTCGGTTCGGAGGATGGCAACGAGAGTGACAAGGAGCTGGGTCAGGATGGCTACGAGCGAGACAAGGAGCTGGGTAGGTAACATTGGTTTCATGGGTTCTCGGGCTGGCAAAAATCTGCTCGATAACATTTCCCCCAGCGTTTTTGATGTTATAAGGTTAGCATTGGACTGCCGGGAGGACCAGAAGCTTGATACAGGTGCAGCACAGGAACCTGTTCTGCGTACGTCTTCGATCAACGTTCGGAAGAGCCGGGAGGACCAGAAGCTTGATACAGGTGAGGCACAGGAACCTGTCATGCGTACGTCTTCGATCAACGTTCGGAAGAGCCTGCGACACATACAGGATAAATACACATCGCTGCGTATCCTAAAAAGTGACACTACAGAGCTCGACAATGAAATCAAAGGTTTTACAAGATGTGCAGCATGTGCCTCCGATTGGAGATTTAATTGGTTTGTTTTGCTGGTTGTGACCTTGAACCTGGTGATCATCTCTGCAGTGGAAGCAATTTGGGAGTATGATGAGATTGCCATGATTTCCCTGACAATTGAACGGATTGCCCTGACATTCTACATCATTGAGCTTATCATTCGCATTGCTGGGGGCCAGGTCCGTACTCGTCCGTGGTGGGTCCTGATGGATTTGACTCTTGTCCTTACTGGCGTTCTTGTGCTCATCGTGCCTGCCGAGCTATGCACTATCTCCGCATGCAGCATCGCCCAGAACCTTCTTCTGACGGTGCGCCTACTGCGTTTGCTGAAACTAGTACAACTCACAAAAGACAAACTATCAAATAATGCGATCTGGATCCTATTCGATGGAGTCATTCACTCGATTCCAGCCATCCTGGCCACAACGTGTTTCATAGCGACTGTGATCGCCATATTCGCAGGCATGCTCAACGCGGCAGTTCGAAAAGATCCAGACTTGCTGGCTGACCCTGCACTGGCTGAGTTGATCGAAACCAACTTCGGCACCTTTCCCCGTTCCGTACTTTCGCTGGTGCAGTTTATTTCGGGCGATGGCTTGGCAGATCTCTACTTTCCGCTGATCATTGCAAAGCCAGTGCTAGCCCTGATATTCATGCCTCTAATCCTGATTGTCACAATCGGGCTTATGAGCCTAGTGCCGGTAGTCTTGTTTGAAGGTGGGAATAAAGAGAGAAACCGGAAACAATTAGAACTGAGAGCACAGTATAAGAAGATCACGACACACATTGTTGACATGCTTGGGTCAAAAGTTTCACGCCGTTCTCAGATGGCGGAGGTGCTTCAAGAGCCCCGGTTCGCTGAAGACCTCCAAAAACTGCGCGCTGAAGTCAATCTCGCAGACCTCTGGAAGGTCTTGTCAGAGAGACTCAACCCCGATGATCCTAAAAACAGTGACTTGGGTGTTGAAGAGTTCCTTGAATATGTTTTAGAGCTTACAGTCTTTGACATGCCTGTGAGTGCTATCGAAACCGTCGCCTTGCTGCGCCGGCTGCACACGAAAATGGATCAAAAGGTCGAGAAACTCGACCAGAAACTCCAAGCTCTTCAGCAGTCCTTGGATGATAGATTTGAGAGCCTGTTCCAGAAGCTGGACCAGCATTCCGTGGGTACTGTCAAGGCGGCACTGTAAAGTTGTTTGTCAATGGCGACCGGGTGCATCCCGCGGTGGCCTTAGGCCCCAGGGGTTGCCTCAAAGCTTGGCAACTTCTCTTCCGAAGTAGCAACTGGCAATTTCTCTGACCTCGTGTGGCAAAAAGTGCTTCCGGTTGTACCATCGTCATATTAGTCATATTACTACTGAGATGTGAGAAGCCTCGCAGGGACTACGTCGGCTGGGCTGAGAATGATCGGGGCGTCTCCTACGTGTTTGGGACCCTGGGGCAATGCAAGCTTGAGTTGAGTTGAGTTGAGACTGAGACAATGAGAGTGTTGTGTGACAAGGGGAAAGGTTGGACCTCAACTCTTACTCTAAGAGAACAACTACTCTCGCATGAATGCTCAAGGGCCAGAATCGGCCAGAAGCGCGCAAGGAAGGAGTTGCGCTCTGAAAGGTCAGAGGCAGGAGGATCCGGAGGATGGGACGAGGAGTTGCGATTAACAAGGCAGATGAGGAGATGTGAGGAGGCAACGAGGCCACGTCTGCCAGACTGCTCGCGCAGGAGACCACGCGAACATTGGGGTAGCCATTCACAACAGGAACAGAGATGGCAAGCAGACACGATGTCGAGAAGAAACTGCCACAGCCGGACGATGCTTGACAACAGTCACCCTCGGAAAAGCTCGCTCTTGGTTCGAACCCCCGAGCATCATGAGCATCAGCTGGTGCCGCTCTGGCTTTCAAACCCAACCCGCGAGCATCATGAGCATCAGCTGGTGCTGCTCTGGCTTTCAAACCCAACCCCGCGAGCATCATGAGCATCAGCTGGTGCTGGCTCTGGCTTTCGAACCACCCAACCCCGCGAGCATCATGAGCATCAGCTGGTGCTGGCTCTGGCTTTCAAACCCAACCCCGCGAGCATCATGAGCATCAGCTGGTGCTGGCTCTGGCTTTCGAACCACCCAACCCCGCGAGCATCATGAGCATCAGCTGGTGCTGGCTCTGGCTTTCGAACCCAGCCCCGTGAGCATCATGAGCATCAGCTGGTGCTGGCTCTGGCTTTCAAACCCAACCCCGCGAGCATCATGAGCATCAGCTGGTGCTGCTCTGGCTTTCAAACCCAACCCCGCGAGCATCATGAGCATCAGCTGGTGCTGGCTCTGGCTTTCGAACCCATCATGAGCATCAGCTGGTGCTGCTCTTGCTTTCAAACCCAACCCCGCGAGCATCATGAGCATCAGCTGGTGCTGGCTCTGGCTTTCAAACCCAACCCCGCCAGCATCATGAGCATCAGCTGGTGCTGGCTCTGCTTTCGAACCCAACCCCGCGAGCATCATGAGCATCAGCTGGTGCTGCTCTGGCTTTCAAACCCAACCCCGCGAGCATCATGAGCATCAGCTGGTGCTGGCTCTGGCTTTCAAACCCAACCCCGCGAGCCTCGTGAGCATCAGCAGGTGCTGGCTCTGGCTTTCGCACCCAACCCCGCGAGCATCAGCTGGTGCTGCTCTGGCTTTCAAACCCAACCCCGCGAGCATCATGAGCATCAGCTGGTGCTGGCTCTGGCTTTCGAAATCTTTCGAACCCAACCCCGCGAGCATCATGAGCATCAGCTGGTGCTGCTCTGGCTTTCAAAACCAACCCCGCGAGCATCATGAGCATCAGCTGGTGCTGGCTCTGGCTTTCAAACCCAACCCCGCGAGCCTCGTGAGCATCAGCTGGTGCTGGCTCTGGCTTTCGCACCGAGCATCATGAGCATCAGCTGGTGCTGCTCTGGCTTTCAAACCCAACCCCGCGAGCATCCTGAGCATCAGCTGGTGCTGGCTCTGGCTTTCAAACCCAACCCCGCGAGCCTCGTGAGCATCAGCTGGTGCTGGCCCAACCCCGCGAGCATCATGAGCATCAGCTGGTGCTGCTCTGGCTTTCAAACCCTACCCCGCGAGCATCATGAGCATCAGCTGGTGCTGGCTCTGGCTTTCAAACCCAACCCCGCGAGCATCATGAGCATCAGCTGGTGCTGCTTTGGCTTTCGAACCACCCAACCCCGCGAGCATCATGAGCATCAGCTGGTGCTGGCTCTGGCTTTCGAACCACCCAACCCCGCGAGCATCATGAGCATCAGCTGGTGCTGGCTCTGGCTGTCGAACCACCCAACCCCGCGAGCATCATGAGCAGCTGGCTTTCAAACCCAACCCCGCCAGCATCATGAGCATCAGCTGGTGCTAGCTCTGGCTTTCGAACCCAACCCCGCGAGCATCATGAGCATCAGCTGGTGCTGGCTCTGGCTTTCAAACCCAACCCCGCGAGCATCGTGAGCATCAGCTGGTGCTGCTGTGGCTTTCAAAACCAACCCCGCGAGCATCATGAGCATCAGCTGGTGCTGGTGGCTTTCAAACCCAACCCCGCCAGCATCATGAGCATCAGCTGGTGCTGGCTCTGGCTTTCGAACCCAACCCCGCGAGCATCATGAGCATCAGCTGGTGCTGCTCTGGCTTTCAAACCCAACCGAGAGAGCATCATGAGCATCAGCTGGTGCTGGCTCTGGCTTTCAAACCCAACCCCGCCACGAGCATCATGAGCATCAGCTGGTGCTGGCTCTGGCTTTCAAACCCAACCCCGCCACGAGCATTATGAGCATCAGCTGGTGCTGGCTCTGGCTTTCGAACCCAACCCCGCGAGCATCATGAGCACTGGCTTTCGAGCCCAACCCAGAGAGCATCATGAGCATCAGCTGGTGCTGGTTCTGGCTGTCAAACCCAACCTCGCGAGCATCATGAGCATCAGCTGGTGCTGGCTCTGGCTAAACCCAACCCCGCGAGCATCATGAGCATCAGCTGGTGTTGCTCTGGCTAAACCCAACCCCGCGAGCATCATGAGCATCAGCTGGTGCTGCTCTGGCTTTCAAACCCAACCCCGCGAGCATCATGAGCATCAGCGGGTGCTGGCTTTGGCTTTCAAACCCAACCCCGCGAGCATCAGCTGGTGCTGCTCTGGCTTTCAAACCCAACCCCGCGAGCATCATGAGCATCAGCTGGTGCTGGCTCTGGCTGTCAAACCCAACCGCGCGAGCATCATGAGCATCAGCTGGTACTGCTCTGGCTGTCAAATCCAACCCCGCGAGCATCATGAGCATCAGCTGGTATCATGAGCATCAGCTGGTGCTGCTCTGGCTTTCAAACCCAACCCAGAGAGCATCATGAGCATCAGCTGGTGTTGCTCTGGTTTCACACCCAACCCAGAGAGCATCATGAGCATCAGCTGGTGCTGGCTCTGGCTTTCAAACCCAACCCCGCGAGCATCATGAGCATCAGCTGGCGCTGGCTCTGGCTGTCAAACCCAACCCCGCGAGCATCATGAGCATCAGCTGGTGCTGGCTCTGGCTTTCAAACCCAACCCCGCGAGCATCATGAGCATCAGCGGGTGCTGGCCCTGGCCTCCGAACCCACCCCACGAGCATCATGAGCATCAGCTAGTGCTGCTCTGGCTTTCGAACCCAACCCCGCGAGCATCATGAGCATCAGCTGGTGCTGCTCTGGCTTTCAAACCCAATCCGGAGAGCATCATGACCATCAGCTGGTGCTGCTCTGGCTTTCAAACCCAACCCCGCGAGCATCATGAGCATCAGCTGGCGCTGGCTCTGGCTGTCAAACCCAACCCCGCGAGCATCATGAGCATCAGCTGGTGCTGGCTCCGGCTTTCAAACCCAACCCCGCGAGCATCATGAGCATCAGAGGGTGCTGGCTCTGGCTTTCGAACCCAACCGCGCGAGCATCATGAGCATCAGCTGGTGCTGCTCTGGCTTTCGAACCCAACCCCGCGAGCATCATGAGCATCAGCTGGTGCTGGCTCTGGCTTTCGAACCCAACCCCGCGAGCATCATGAGCATCAGCGGGTGCTGGCTCTGGCTTTCGAACCCAACCCCGCGAGCATCATGAGCATCAGCTGGTGCTGCTCTGGCTTTCGAACCCAACCCCGCGAGCATCATGAGCATCAGCTGGTGCTGCTCTGGCTTTCGAACCCTATCCGGAGAGCATCATGAGCATCAGCTGGTGCTGCTCTGGCTTTCAAACCCGACCCCGCGAGCATCATGAGCATCAGCTGGCGCTGGCTCTGGCTGTCAAACCCAACCCCGCCAGCATCATGAGCATCAGCTGGTGCTGGCTCTGGCTTTCAAACCCAACCGGCGAGCATCATGAGCATCAGCTGGCGCTGGCTCTGGCTTTCGAACCCAACCCACCGAGCATCATGAGCATCAGCTGGTGCTGGCTCTGGCTTTCAAACCCAACCCCGCGAGCATCATGAGCATCAGCTGGTGCTGCTCTGGCTTTCAAACCCAACCCCGCGAGCGTCATGAGCATCAGCGAGTGCTGGCTCTGGCTTTCGAACCCAACCCCGCGAGCATCATGAGCATCAGCTGGTGCTGCTCTGGCTTTCAAACCCAACCCCGCGAGCATCATGAGCATCAGCTGGCGCTGGCTCTGGCTCTGGCTGTCAAACCCAACCCCGCCAGCATCATGAGCATCAGCTGGTGCTGGCTCTGGCTTTCAAACCCAACCCCGCGAGCATCTTGAGCATCAGCTGGTGCTGGCTCTGGCTTTCAAACCCAACCCCGCGAGCATCATGAGCATCAGCGGGTGCTGGCTCTGCCTTTCGAACCCAACCCCGCGAGCATCATGAGCATCAGCTGGCGCTGGCTCTGGCTGTCAAACCCAACCCCGCGAGCATCATGACAAACCCAACCCCGCGAGCATCATGAGCATCAGCTGGTGCTGGCTCTGGCTTTCAAACCCAACCCCGCGAGCATCATGAGCATCAGCGGGTGCTGGCTCTGGCTTTCGAACCCAACCCCGCGAGCATCGTGAGCATCAGCTGGTGCTGCTCTGGCTTTCAAACCCAATCCGGAGAGCATCATGAGCATCAGCTGGTGCTGCTCTGGCTTTCAAACCCAACCCCGCGAGCATCATGAGCATCAGCTGGTGCTGGCTCTGGCTTTCAAACCCAACCCCGCGAGCATCATGGGCATCAGCTGGTGCTGCTCTGGCTTTCAAACCCAATCCGGAGAGCATCATGACCATCAGCTGGTGCTGCTCTGGCTTTCAAACCCAACCCCGCGAGCATCATGAGCATCAGCTGGCGCTGGCTCTGGCTGTCAAACCCAACCCCGCGAGCATCATGAGCATCAGCTGGTGCTGGCTCCGGCTTTCAAACCCAACCCCGCGAGCATCATGAGCATCAGAGGGTGTTGGCTCTGGCTTTCGAACCCAACCCCGCGAGCATCATGAGCATCAGCTGGTGCTGCTCTGGCTTTCGAACCCAACCCCGCGAGCATCATGAGCATCAGCTGGTGCTGGCTCTGGCTTTCGAACCCAACCCCGCGAGCATCATGAGCATCAGCGGGTGCTGGCGCTGGCTTTCGAACCCAACCCCGCGAGCATCATGAGCATCAGCTGGTGCTGCTCTGGCTTTCGAACCCAACCATGAGCATCAGCTGGTGCTGCTCTGGCTTTCAAACCCTATCCGGAGAGCATCATGAGCATCAGCTGGTGCTGCTCTGGCTTTCAAACCCAACTCCGAGAGCATCATGAGCATCAGCTGGCGCTGGCTCTGGCTGTCAAACCCAACCCCGCCAGCATCATGAGCATCAGCTGGTGCTGGCTCTGGCTTTCAAACCCAACCGGCGAGCATCATGAGCATCAGCTGGTGCTGGCTCTGGCTTTCGAACCCAACCCCGCGAGCATCATGAGCATCAGCTGGTGCTGCTCTGGCTTTCAAACCCAATCCGAAGAGCATCATGAGCATCAGCTGGTGCTGCTCTGGCTTTCAAACCCAACCCCACGAGCATCATGAGCATCAGCTGGCGCGGGCTCTGGCTGTCAAACCCAACCCGCGAGCATCATGAGCATCGCTGGCTCTGGCTTTCAAACCCAACCCCGCGAGCATCATGAGCATCAGCTGGTGCTGGCTCTGGTTTTCAAACCCAACCCCGCGAGCATCATGAGCATCAGCGGGTGCTGGCTCTGGCTTTCGAACCCAACCCCGCGAGCATCATGAGCATCAGCTGGTGCTGCTCTGGCTTTCAAACCCAATCCGGAGAGCATCATGAGCATCAGCTGGTGCTGCTCTGGCTTTCAAACCCAACCCCGCGAGCATCATGAGCATCAGCTGGTGCTGGCTCTGGCTTTCAAACCCAACCCCGCGAGCATCATGGGCATCAGCTGGTGCTCTGGCTTTCAAACCCAACCCCGTGAGCATCATGAGCATCAGCTGGTGCTGGCTCTGGCTTTCAAACCCAACCCCGCGAGCATCATGAGCATCAGCGGGTGCTGGCTCTGGCTTTCGAACCCAACCCCGCGAGCATCATGAGCATCAGCTGGTGCTGCTCTGGCTTTCAAGCCCGGAGAGCATCATGAGCATCAGCTGGTGCTGCTCTGGCTTTCAAACCCAACCCCGCGAGCATCATGAGCATCAGCTGGCGCTGGCTCTGGCTGTCAAACCCAACCCCGCGAGCATCATGAGCATCAGCTGGTGCTGGCTCTGGCTTTCAAACCCAACCCCGCGAGCATCATGAGCATCAGCGGGTGCTGGCCCTGGCCTCCGAACCCACCCCACGAGCATCATGAGCATCAGCTGGTGCTGCTCTGGCTTTCGAACCCAACCCCGCGAGCATCATGAGCATCAGCTGGTGCTGCTCTGGCTTTCAAACCCAATCCGGAGAGCAGCATGAGCATCAGCTGGTGCTGGCTCTGGCTTTCAAACCCAAACCCGCGAGCATCATGAGCATCAGCTGGCGCTGGCTCTGGCTGTCAAACCCAACCCCGCGAGCATCATGAGCATCAGCTGGTGCTGGCTCTGGCTGTCAAACCCAACCCCGCGAGCATCATGAGCATCAGCTGGCGCTGGCTCTGGCTTTCGCACCCAACCCCGCGAGCATCATGAGCATCACCTGGTGCTGGCTCTAGCTTTCAAACCCAATTCCGCCAGCATCATGAGCATCAGCTGGAGCTGGCGCTGGCTCTGGCTGTCAAACCCAACCCCGCCAGCATCATGAGCATCAGCTGGTGCTGGCTCTGGCTTTCAAACCCAATCCCGCGAGCATCATGAGCATCAGCTGGTGCTGCTCTGGCTTTCGAACCCAACCCCGCGAGCATCATGAGCATCAGCTGGTGCTGCTCTGGCTTTCGAACCCAACCCCGCGAGCATCATGAGCATCAGCTGGTGCTGGCTCTGGCTTTCAAACCCAACCCCGCCAGCATCATGAGCATCAGCGGGTGCTGGCTCTGGCTTTCCAACCCAACCCCGCGAGCATCATGAGCATCAGCTGGTGCTGCTCTGGCTTTCAAACCCCACCCCGCGAGCATCATGAGCATCAGCGGGTGCTGGCTCTGGCTTTCAAACCCAACCCCGCGAGCATCGTGAGCATCAGCTGGTGCTGGCTCTGGCTTTCAAACCCAACCCCGCGAGCATCGTGAGCATCAGCTGGTGCTGGCTCTGGCTTTCAAACCCAACCCCGCGAGCATCATGAGCATCAGCGGGTGCTGGCTCTGGCTTTCGAACCCAACCCCGCGAGCATCATGAGCATCAGCTGGTGCTGGCTCTGGCTTTAAAACCCAACCCCGCGAGCATCATGAGCATCAGCTGGTGCTGCTCTGGCTTTCAAACCCAACCCCGCGAGCATCATGAGCATCAGCGGGTGCTGGCTCTGGCTTTCGAGCCCAACCCCGCGAGCATCATGAGCATCAGCTGGTGCTGGCTCTGGCTTTCGAACCCAACCCCGCGAGCATCGTGAGCATCAGCTGGTGCTGGCTCTGGCTTTCAAACCCAACCCCACGAGCATCATGAGCATCAGCTGGTGCTGCTCTGGCTTTCAAACCCAACCCCGCGAGCATCATGAGCATCAGCGGGTGCTGGCTCTGGCTTTCAAACCCAACCCCGCGAGCATCGTGAGCATCAGCTGGTGCTGGCTCTGGCTTTCAAACCCAACCCCGCGAGCATCGTGAGCATCAGCTGGTGCTGGCTCTGGCTTTCAAACCCAACCCCGCGGGCATCATGAGCATCAGCTGGTGCTGCTCTGGCTTTCAAACCCAACCCCGCGAGCATCATGAGCATCAGCTGGTGCTGCTCTGGCTTTCAAACCCAACCCCGCGAGCATCATGAGCATCAGCGGGTGCTGGCTCTGGCTTTCGAACCCAACCCCGCGAGCATCATGAGCATCAGCTGGTGCTGGCTCTGGCTTTCAAACCCAACCCCGCGAGCATCATGAGCATCAGCTGGTGCTGCTCTGGCTTTCAAACCCAACCCCGCGAGCATCATGAGCATCACCTGAGCAGCCCTTTTTTTGCGGCCCTTGAGAGATACCTATATGCGGAAATAACTCCGGGCACCGGGGCGCGAAATGTGGCCGCGGAAGGACACGGAAGGGTTGCGGACGCACATCTCCGCGGAAGCTCCCGTGGAAGCGACGATAGACATAGTTGTGGTTTGAGTGTTTGTGATATTCCTGGAGGCTAGTGGGCGTGTTGTTTGATGTGGGTTTCGGATGTCTGGTTCAGTGATTCAGAGTGGGTTAGACAGAATTTCCTTGGTGTTTTCTGGGAATTTCGAGGTTATAACCTTTCGTACGAAAGCGATAGACCCAGTTCAGAACAAGGCTTCTATAGAGACCCCAAACTTCCTACACAACCCCAAAGCAAACAAGTCGGATTTTCAGGCTTGAGCGCCTCAAAACCAGGCTTCGAGGCCGTCGATCCGTGAAGTTTGACGCGAACTCGTCAGAAGCGCCGCGGAAGCTCCGCGGAAGCTCCGCGGAAGCCCGCGGGCCCATCTGAAGGCCCAGACTCTTCCTACTGAGTCCGCGCTCTTGAGAATAGATGGTGCAGCTGCACGGCTGCTGCCAGCTCAAGCTGCAACATTCTCATGGAAGGCGTGTCTCATCGTGTACTCGCATAGTTCCAGGGTAGCACACTATCCATCACTATGTAGACTCTGGCCACCGACCATGCATGCCTCCAAAGGCGGGCGTTACAAAACAGGTCGCGAAACCATGCACGCCCTTCCCTATCCACAACTTTTTCCCAGCAGTCTGCGCGTAGCAATCGACCCCCTTCGCACGCTTTGGACCACCCGACGTGTGTTCGAGTTTATATCTTACGGACCTACTCGCGGAAGCAAGTCTCTCAAAAATGCGCGAAATCAGTCCGCGGAAGCGTCCGCGGAAGCAAAGGAGAAGCAGACGAGCAGAAACAAGACTCGTGGAAGGACCGCGGAAGGGTTCCGCGGAAGGGTTCGTTACTTCATATCCTCTTCTAGAATAAAAAAACACGGCTCAGCTGGTGTTGCTCTGGCCTTGAAACCCAACCCCGTGAGCATCATGAGCATCAGCTGGTGTTGCTCTGGCTAAACCCAACCCCGCGAGCATCATGAGCATCAGCTGGTGCTGCTCTGGCTTTCAAACCCAACCCCGCAAGCATCATGAGCATCAGCTGGTGCTGGCTCTGGCTTTCAAACCCAAACCCCCGAGCATCATGAGCATCAGCTGGTCTGGTCTGGCTTTCAAACCCAAACCCCGGAGCATCATGAGCATCAGCTGGTGCTGGCCCGCCAGCATCATGAGCATCAGCTGGTGTTGGCCAGGGCTTTCAAACCCAAACCCCCGAGCATCATGAGCACCAGCTGGTGCTGGCTCTGGCTTTCAAACCCAAACCCTCGAGCATCATGGGCGTCAGCTGGTGCTGGCCCAGGATTTCAGCCGCATCAGCTGGACCTTGTTTGCTGCGGGGATCTTATTCTCGCTCTCGGTTCTTTCGCTCGCGTGAAGGCCCCAGAATTTCATGATTCAGAGGCAACACAGATCCCCCTTCGCAAAGACCGTGGAAGATTGCATACCTTCGCGACATGGAGTTCCCGCTTGAAGGTAAAAAAAAAGAAGGGGGTGAGAGGGAGTCGGAGTGCCACTCCTTCAAGCGTGCTGAGAAGAAGAAAGAACGAAGAGAAACGAGAGATGACAGAAACGAGAGAATCGCTCAGTTGCTGACAAACCTGGGCTTCGGCTCTGGAGGTACCGTTGGGGCAGCCTGGGCACTTGTCACTTCCATGCAGGACCGATGTTGTCGCAGCTTTCTTGAAGCGCTACAACCTTGATCTTGTTTGCCGGGCCCACCAAGTCGTCGAAGATGGGCGGCGCTGGCACTTTGCGATTTGCTTGTTGCGTCCGTTCTCTGGAAGGCATCTCATGTCATGTCGAGCCAGGTATGAGTTCTTTGGCAAGAGAAACCTCGCGCTTTGCCAAGCTGTCACAAGTCACCTGCAGTCCGGTGTCTTGTTGAGACCCTGTTGAGGTGACCCTGTTCAGCGCCCCAAACTACTGCGGTGAGTTCGACAATGCAGGGGCCATGATGACGCTTGATGAGTGTCTCGGCTCTGCAGCAGGTCAACTCCCATCCGCTGGACTTGTTTCCCACGGGGCACATCTGAGGACACTGATGTGCAAGTTCATCGTCCTAAAGCTGCCTGGCTCACTCTGAGGTCTGTAGGCCGCCACCAGCTTGGGGCTTTCCCCTGTGGTCTCCCCATATGGTTAGCATATTTAAGTTCTAGCAAACAAAAGCATATGCAATTCGCATGTGATTCGCGAAGATTTCTGCTTTGATTTGTGCCTTTCCCATACATAGAGAGAGCGAGAGAGAGAGGCGGAGGCGGAGGCGGAGGCGGAGACAGAGGCAGAGGCAGAGGCAGACAGAGATAGACAGTGACAGACAGTGACAGACAAACAGAGGGAGAGAGAGCGTGAGAGAATGAGACACAGACCCACGCGGTTGCCTAAGCCCAGCAGGAGCAGAAGAAGAAGAAGAGGAAGAGGAGGAAGAGGAGGAAACAGAAGAATAGAGACAGAACCCGGGGTTCCTTAAGCGCAGCAGAAGAAGAAAAGGAAGAAGAAGGAGAGAGAGAGAGAGAGAGAGAGCAACTCCCGAGAGGGGCTTCCTAAGCAGACCGAGAAGCAGACCCAGAAGAAGAAGAAGAAGAAGAAGAAGAAGAAGAAGAAGAAGAAGAAGAAGAAGAAGAAGAAGAAGAAGAAGAGCGAGGGAGGGAGAGGGAGGGAGAGAGAGAGAGAGAGAGAGAGACAGAGAGGGACAGAGGGGGACAGACAGGGACCGAGAGGGACCGAGAGGGACCGAGAGGGACCGAGAGGGAAGAGAGGGAGAGGGAGAGTGAGCGAGCGAGCGCAGCGTGGGCTGCAGTGAGAGCTGCTGCTGCGCGAAAATCGAAAACATGAGGCGCGTTTTGTTCCTTTCCTTCTCTTCATCCGAGGCCAACGGTCAAGAAGAAGTGAGTTGAAAAAAGAGCAGCGCCACCATCTCAGCATTGGTACTTAACGTCAAGCTTGGAGAGAGGCTGTGCATCCCGTGTGCGAAGTGTGCAGGTGTGCTGTGGTCAACGTCCTCTGAGCCTCGGAAACCCGAGAGCCACAGGTCATGACTTCTAGCTATCTGATTTATCTCACCAAGTTCTGGGGGGTAGTCGAATGGTTCGGGGACCAGTTCATTCCAGTAAGGGCCGTGCAAACTGAGAAGCCCGAGAACACCGAAGCCCTCCAAGAGCCAGCTGGAGAGAGGCACAAGAGACATCCTGAGACCACAGTTTTCAGACACAAATGAGATACCATCGACCGTGCATCACTCCAGCGGCATTCGCCCACCAACTTAGATTGGTGCAATGCACCGCAAATGCTGCCATTTACTGCAAGAGCTGTGCGCTGCGTCGGACCGCCCGCACAGCAAGAGGCTCTTGCATCAGGATTTGGCCAATATCATCCAATGTCTGTGAAAGCATGTAGGTTTCACGGCATGTCCTGAACCAAGGCTGCCTTAGGCTTGTCCGAGGCGCAAACCTCCATGGCTTCGCGCGGCATACACATGGCAACATATTGACATGCCCTACCTCACGGTGCAGAGCACACACGAAGCCATGGAAGCTTGCGAATTGCAGCAATGAAGCAACGGCTCTACGTCCCACTCGGACAAAGCCATAATTGGTTGGGACAGACTTTGGACAGGCAGTAGTTTTCCAGCTGACTATCATCACGAAGAACACCACAACCAGACAATGCGGCTCATTCACCCTAAATCCCTAAGTTCAAGCACAAGCACCTGTATTCACTGTATGTGGAGTGCTGCTGTGTGCCGAGACACCTTGAAGCTCGTGCTTTGCAGATCACGTGTGGTCAGGGCTTTGCAAAAGCAACGTCCGCGGTCCACCATTCCCGATATCAGGTCAGAACATGTACGAGATGTTTGACCGGGCTAGGCTCAGCTTCAGACTCTTCAGACTCTCATACCGTTCTGGAAGTTTAACCGTTCATTTTGTTTAGTTATGTCATGACTGTTCTGATATGTTATGAACTCTACAGCCGGGAGAGTCTAGAAAAGCTACACAGCATGCTGACCTTGTGACGCATCCCAGCTCCCAAGGTCGCGATGAAAAGCATGGCAGCATGATGGCAACAGACGGCTCAATGATTACACTGAATACGACTGCTTTCTCTGAGAACACGTTCCGTACGTGAGCCCTTTCAACTCAAGAAGTAAACAGGTGAATCAAGCCGGGACGGTGGGCTTGCCAGCTGTTCTCCCCTCCGCAATGGCGCTTTCATTGAGATGCCTGACGCAAGCTTCCAAGACAGTGGCGCAGGTGGTCTCGCCAGCATCGCCCAGGTCCTTGCAAGTGCCCAAAACTCCCAAGACGCCGAAGACACCCAAGACACCAAGGACACCGAACACCCCTATGACGCCACAGCGTCACGTGCAGGCGTTTGGGCTGTCTGAGGAGGCTATCAAACGTGTGCCGAAGGGCCTGAACCTTCAACGGTCCGTCCGTTTTGCAGAGACGTCATTGGAAGCTGTCCAGTTGCCTCTCAAGAAGGAGTGCGAAGGCGAAACTTCCAGTACTTGCGTGCCAACACCTACTCTGGCCGAGTTCAGGTCGAATCTTCCGGTCTTGCTTGGACGGGTACGCGCCCAAAATGGCAATGAGACGGAGATTAGCACGGATGAGAGATGTGAGAGCAGTGCGTTAGCTGCTCAACGTGCATTCCTTGCCCGACAGTCGCACCGCCAGAGCAGAGCCCAGAGTGAGTTCGTAGTCTGAATCGTAGTCTGAATCTATGCTGTAGCCCTAGCAGCAGCGTGGTGCAGCAGCGGCAATCTCCGATTAGGGCATCACCTTCTCTGCCGCTGCCATGACGATGCTGCTGGGTAAGCTGCTCATGGACCTTTCACCAAGTGGCCATGTACAGCCCCGGCTGCAGAAACCCATGAAACCCCTCAGGGCAGCTAGCATCAAGATGTTAATTGTACAGCCTACCGTGCGGGATCGGCTTTAGGACAAACTGAAAAAAGAAGGTGCTAAGAAGGGCCTAGCACATCATGGCGCCAAATGGACTCGACTTGACATGGCTCGACCCAGTCCTTGTGCAATTTGTGCAGTTCCGTTTTGGGTAATGGAGACACTGGAGACACATCTGGACAAAGCCTACACACAAATACACATAGTCCAGGGCGGCCGCAACATCTAGCAAGACCGTATAGCCTAGCGACTTACATCAAGTTACCCCTTGCGCAGAGAGGGGGGGCCTCTGGCTGCCTGTGCTGCTGCAAGGCTTTAAGGCACCTTGGATGTCTGATCACTTGGGAAAACCAAAAAGAAACCACATGAATCTGGACCGGCAAAGTCGCGCAATCGTTGTTTCTGGCGTGAGGCGCTGACCATAACGGACACCATGCTCTCTGCCTCCTCTGACCCATACTATGTGGCGAAGGAAGAGGTGGCCAAAGCCATGCAGAGGCTTCAAGGCCAGTCCAATTCCTGCACAGCTGCTCGTGTGTTAGAGCCTTAGGGCCTTGGGGCATTTCTCCAACAGGCATGCATCCGGAATGGCGACGGCTTCTGCAGACAGAAAACACCGCGCGGTCGGAACGTTTCAAGGAGCTGCACTCAGAGCTTGCAGGCCTGGGCTCGAAGGGATTCCGCGTGCCAAGTTCGTCCTAATCTGTGCCGCCCGTTAAGGGTGTTGGAAAGTAAGAAACATGGAACACCTAGAAGAGACTTCTGGTCATGTTGGCGAGGTGAACTTGAGCAACTGAGCCTGGACTTAGATGACATTCATGCCGCTCTTCTGCAAGTACTGTCTGTCTGCTCCGAGCACCCGTGAAAGTTCGGGCCTGGTAGTATTCAAACTTCAAAGTCTGACCGGACAGCATGAGCAGTATTGAGCAATGATTCGGCAATGATCCTGGTGATGTCTCATGGTTCGTTCCAAGACCTTCGCATGGTGTCAAGGCCACGATCAGCATGGTCGAAGGCAACCGTGGTACCTTCCAGATCAGCGACGCAGAGCTTGCAAGCCGCCGGCGCTTTGTGGCAGACTCACGTCAGACACTTGATCAGCTTCAGAAGGACCCAGAAAAAGGGCTCTGTGTGGGTTGAAATGGGTTGAAGGTGGACCTCTGAGCCTGACTCTGCCAGGATATCCGTGGGCCGCAGACGCGGGCGAAGCTGGAAAGCGACCAGAAGGCCAGCCACATGCTAACGAGCAATGAACACTAAGAAAGTAAGACAGACAAGAGACCACCCACATTTGCACGTCGGCCTCTGGGTCGGCGCCTCGGCGCAACTCTTGGCCTGATCATAGCCGTCATAGCCATGGAGATGTTGTGAGGCACTGCTCTCCAGTTCAGCCTCGAGCGCGCGTGCTCGTGACCCGCCTCACAAACCTCATCTGCAACGCAAGCAAATGCAAGCAAACATGATATTTGATTTGCATTGCGGCCCGCCTCGGCCGGGCCCCACGTTGCACCTTATCTTGCGGTGCAGGCTGCCATGCGCCCATGGCAATATAGGGAGTCCCTGCATGGAGGCCGCTGGAGGTTCAGAGTCGGAGGTCCCAAGTCCCGGTCCCGAACACAGGCTTTAAACAGCTGGACAACTATGGACTAGCGAACTTGCTGCCTGTGCGGTACTTCTGGTCACCCAATGGCGGATCTTGCAACCCGAAGCCTAAGCATCATGCATGTCTGACAATGTCTGACATTGGCACATATATACATTAAGCCCCTTGGATGCGCCAAGAAAAGGGGTCGCCAGAGGGTCCCAAGAAGGAGGCGTTTCTAAGAGGGGCCTCCTGCCCCGGCGTAGTGCCCACAGCCAAGGGTCGGTCGGCCATGGGGCTTTAGCCCAGTCGGGGAAGTCGGAAAACGAGGGGTGGCAACGGGGTGTTGAGACAGATTTAAGCCCGGGTTCCTCTCAGCAAATTGGGTGAGCACTTGGCCAAGCCGAGTCGGACAAGTTTACGTCTGGCATGTTTGGCATCTCATCGTTTGCATCCCAGGCGAGGAGCGGCAAAGCCGGGCGGTGCAGGAGTTCAAGGGATCTCAGAATGTCTCAGACACTCAGTGATGTGTGATGTGTTGTAGTGATCTGTTAGTGTTGAGCACTCGGCCTTGGCTCCGTGGCCGGCGCAGGACAACCAGGCATTCCTGGATAGGCAGCGACAGCAACAAGCGCAGATGATGGCCAGGCAGGATGAGGACGCATGGGGCTTGCCATGCTTTGCTTCTTTGCTTCTTTGCGTCTTTGCTTCTTTTTTGTTTTTTTTCTTTGCTTGGCGTTGGGGCGCATGGTGCTCCTAGGCAGAATGCATTCACTCTTGGGGCGAGGTTGCTGGGCTTGTCATTGCTGACCTCACGCCGTAAGCATTAGAAAGCCTAAAGCGCGCTGGCCTACTTCAGCAAGAGGGTAAGCCGGGTAAGGGAAAGAAGAAGGAGAATAACAACATGGTGATGCAAAGGCATGAAAGGCAAGATTCACGAAGCAACAGCCAATGCTTTGGACGATGGTGATGGAGCTTCGGACGCAACAAGCGGTAAATCCTTGTGGTACTGTTGGTGACGAAGGAAGCAAGGATTAGCGCCGTCCACGGAGACATTACAACTTGTTGATCTACAAACGCCCCAGACTTGCCCACATCTTTGTGAACAGTTTGACAAGTCCCTCGTCAACCAAACGCGCAGTTTCTGACGGTCGCAGCATGAGAACGGGTAGTAATCAGAACACGTGTTAACATACTGGGACAACTACTCGCACCTTTCGCCCCTCGCTGAAGGATCTCACGCACATTTTTCATCCTCATTTTCTGTGGGCGTGAGGACTTGACCGAGCTTTCACTAAGCGCGCAGAGGCTTGGCAACACTGCTCAGACACTGAACTGCATTACCTTTACTTTGCCTGTCATTGGCGTGGTTCCCGGATGTGGCCCACGCATTTCAACCCAGCAAGGATCCTGAATGTTGAGCTCAAAGAGCAGCAGAAGTTGCTTGAGGAGCTGGATGAGGTGCACATCACGAAACATGCTGAACATGGAGAGCAGCAGCGTAAGTAGCATGCGACAGACTCGGGCTAGGGCCATGCGCGAACAGGATATTGACAAGGAGGCCGAGAAGCTGAACTTTGCCGCCAACCTCAGCTGGCTCATGCTTGGTCATGCTCGGTTTACCTCCATTTCTTACCCCTCCAGAGAGTTCCCGTAGGTCATGAAGCGCATGGGGAAGCTTCTGAAAACAAGCGACAGCAAGCAGCCGCTCCCTCAGGAGTCTTGTTGTGCACTCGCTACACCTACGAAGTCCTACTACACCTCCTGCCAATCCAAGAATCAGGCTTTGCCTCATCATCGGGCTCAGCTGCTTGGTGGCGTTCCTCCTCTTCCTGCTCATCAACACCTGATGCATCCTGATGTATCCTGATGTGATCTGATGTGGTTGCAGTTTCGGTGGCCATGCGTAGTGCCGACCGGGTCCGGGCCGCAATTGCGCAAAATTGGTACAGAGGAGCGCAGTGCCAGCCCTGACGCCTTGTCAACTTTTTGACATTCGGTGGTAAATGTGGTAGCAACTTGATCCCCATAACATTCCCATGGCAGCTCAGCAAGTCTTTTGGATTTTGAAGCGGGATGGGGCGACCGAGAAAGGTTAAACGAGGGATGAAGCAAGGTGATCGACTCGCTCTCCTTGCTTCTCGTGCGTCGGCAGTTAATGTTTTTGGCGAGACTGCTTCCAGCAGCTTGGCCAAGCCAGCGGGACAAAAAAGACAGCCTTCCCGCCTCAGCATGCTGTTCTGAATCGTTTTCGCATTAAGTTGACAAGTTGCATATCAGCAGATCTGATTGTCATATTTGTGCAAGATGAGCAGTCCACTCCCACGAAGAAGTGAAGAGCACGCAACTGCTCGCATCTCAACTCCTGTTGTGCACCAGAACCCGTGAGGCGCAGTCCGATACTCGAATCCCCGACCCAAGCACCAGCATCAGAGCATTGCTGCAGCTTCCAAGCCATGTCGCTGCCCAAAGAGGATGATTACCATACGATGGAACTTTCGAGGCCCTGTCAGCCACTTGAAGTCCAACTGTGAACTGCCCCTTTGCTTCTCTCCGTAGCCATGGCCTGTCAGGCGAAGCATCCAGATCTCTGACCTGCAAGAGGCACGGAGAAACACTGCAATGCCAGTGAGAGCCATTTTGGTGCATCAAGCGTGGCATATCCTTGTTGTGAAGACCACCGCCATGGCAAGAGGAGCTGGATGGCGGAAGGGAGCGACAGAGACAAGCGGAGGATGCACTGAGTTGTATGCACAGCTTCTACGTATAGTGTGTGTGTGTGTGTGTGTGTGGCTGTGTGTGTGTGTTGTGGCTGCGCGTGGCTGCCTGAGGCTGCGCGTGGCTCTGCGTGGCTCTGTGTTTCTCTGTGTGGGTGTGGGGTGGGTGTGGTGTGTGGGAGCGTTTGGCCTCACGCATCCGCCAAGCTCATTCCCACCCGACCAGATCTCCATACAGTTGTTGCTGGCGCTTGTCAGCTCTGCACATTGCGATTGTGCGGCGCAGGATCGGTCTGCAACCTTGGAGAGACAGATAGAAAAGCTGAAGGCAGCATGGCGCAGAATCTGGCGTCCACAGTACTTGGACTTTTAGTGGACTCCAGATCTTCTCATGGCAGGTGGAGATCTCCATCCGCAAAAGCAAGACCCAGGATGCAGGGCTGGGGCCGGGGCTTTAAAAAAGGCTCCTATAAAGTGCGGGATCCTTCACCCTCCTTCATGCGTCGCCAGCTAAGCGTGACTTTGGTTTCAACATTTACGAGAGGAGATGGACGACCAGGTGGCCGCTGATGAGGCCAATATCCTGAGTATTGTCATGAGCCTTGTTGTGTGACTGCACGGGCATACGGCGTGGCTTAAAGCGGCGTGGTGCCTCTGGATATCGTAGTGCTTTTTGCACTGATGCAGGCTGCCTGCCTGAAAAACCAGGGTCTGCTGCAGGCAGCGTCCGAGGCTTGCAGTTTCAGATGAGCAAGAATTCATGCACCTTCGAGATACTTCACAATCGTACTCGCAATCATGCCCATGCTCAGCGTTCTCCCGGCCAGGCAGCACAGGCAGACTTGCTACGACTCCAAGCAGAGCTGGCGCCTTGCCTCGAAACGGAAGGAAGAGGGCATTGCAAGCAGCACGATGGTGATTTTAGTGGCAGGCCGAGGCTGAGGCAGCTGTGGAACAAAGCGAAGCGCAGGCTGAGGTGGCAAAGTGAGAGGGGGACCTCAGTGGGACCTGGGTCGATTGGCAGGTTGTCGTGACTTCCGCGTGCTAGAGTCTTATAGCATACAGCATAACTAGGCCACTGCATTGACCTCTCAAGCACCAGAAGCAGGGCCTAATCGCCGCCTCATGCAGGCAAGGAAGGCAGCAGATGCAGCGGAGGAGGAGGCAAATCTCAAAGCTGCACATGTACTGTAGCAGAATGCCATGCGAGAGGGATGATTCACCGTACACCAGGAGAGACGACGCGAGGCTGAAGAAGCAAAGCAGGCGCAGCCCTGGACTACCAAGATCTAATGCGCGTAAAGGGAATTCAATGTTGCCATGACAATAGTGTCAGCGAAACATCACTTTTGGAGGCATCACAGCTGGCTGCAGCCCAGGAAGCAGCGCAAGCTTCACAAGCTGACGTTGACAAAGTTCAGGCAGGGAGAGATGAGCTTGTATGAGCTTGCACGGTGCCAGCATGTGCAATCGGAAGTGTGCCGTCAATGGGCTGCTCTGGTGGCAAGGCCGAACTCCGCGACCTGGAGTCGCATCCCAAGGACGAAGCGCAAGTCACAACATACGTAGGAAGAAATAGCAGAAACAGCACACAGGAAGATGGACTCTAGTGACTACACAACATTGCTTCATGAATGTGACGCATGCTTCGGCTCTCGGGGTTCATCTTGCCTAAGGGTGACTTTGGACATGGAGAAGAAGAGCACCAAGGCAAGCGGCAAGCCCTTGCTTCCATGATTTGATTGACAAAAGCACTCAGCTTTTCTTCTATGCCGACAGGAGCTGAAGGAGTCTTTGGTGGAAGCAGAGGACGGAGTTGAAACGCATGCGAGCGTATGTCGAACGAAGTTTCGAACAGACGGAAGTAGGGAGTGTCGTTGACTGAGATGTGGCGTCCGGCACTGCAGAGTCCACGCACAGCAAATCAAGATCCCACGAGCGCAGGAGAGGAGAGATGCTGCCCGAGTTGAATGTGACCGCTTGGCTAGAGTCTTGGAGGCGCAAGCCGAGAAATCTAAGCTTGATTCAGGGCGGGTTGAGGGCCAGGAGCTTTGGCAGTCCCTCCTGAAAAACGAGATCATGTTGTTCATCAAGTGAGCTGAGAGCGGAGCTGACACTGGCAGCTCCCATAAGTGACAATGCAAAGTGATGCACACCACACAGAATTCAACAACGCACCAGCGGTTCATTCACGCGCACCGAACAAGTAGCAAGTTGCGAAAACATCGTCTCTGCCGATGGTTTCATGGTCCAGGGCAAGCACCAACCGTGTTCAAAAGTTGCGAACGTTTTTTCAGATTCGCTTCGCCTCCCACGCGTCGGCTCTTCAAAGTATCCACTTTCCATCATGCTTCACATCGCAATAATTAGTGCGAAGGATCGCATCCAACAAGTCCGGCCATTCGCACGCGCTGGCAACACGGACGAAATCGTCGTGCGGGCATAGATGCTCTGCTCTGGCCATTCGTGCGCACTGGGGACACAGACGTAATCATCGTGCGAGCGTGGATGCTCTGCCGACTCGCAAGCACTGGCAGCATGGACGAATTCATAGTGTGGGCCATGTGTCCAGCCACATCGTTTCTTTACAGCAGCTGTATCGGTCTTTACACTGTTTTTAGACCGTGACCCACACGAAACACTCCAAATACTAATGCGAAGCCAAGGTAAGAAAGGTGCAATACAGCGGGTGCTCAAATCACTGCGCCGCCGATGTTCATGTCACCCGATGGAAACGACATGTGCGCGGCGCACGTAAACAATCTGCCGGAGCAAGAAAAGTTCGTTCCTAGGGGCATTGCACCGATGGCCAGCTGGCGGATGGCGGTGGTCGGAACCTCTCGCAAAAGGAGGATGGCAACTCCGGCCATGGCCTCTTCTCCGAACGCCCTCCGGCATACCTGCTTGAAAGGCTGACTCCGCCACGCAAGACCGGTTGCCGCTACAAGGATATGTCCGCTTGGGTTTGCGGTCCGTTCTTGTGAACAGCTCTGGATCTCCTCGGCGGTCATCGTAAAACTGTCCACGTGTTGCGTGTTCGTCCAGGCTGTAGGCCGCCTTAAGTTGCGGGGCAGTCGCATCGCTCTGTGTTATTCTGTGTTCGGTGATCAAGGAGATTGGAAGTGGAAGTGGCCGCGTCTGCGTGCTGTGTTCTGTCGACTGGTGACGTGATGATCTTGACTGGCAAACATGTCAATCGAACGCTTTTTTGCAAGGCAAAGCCAGGCATATCCATCTTTACATGCTACCTGACATACGTGGTCTCAATGGTGGAGTTGGTCAGGCGCTAGGCTCCAAAGGTGAGCTTCAGCTCCTGCGAGAGGCAAGGTCTGGTGATGTTAGCATATTCCTGGGATCGTGCTGTCTTTGTGCCTTTTCTGACACTTTTCTCTGCTGCCTTTTGTTGCGACAGGCTCTCACAAGCAAGATCGAGGCGCAGCAGCGACACACACAGGAGAGGGTCAGCATAGTGTCAGCCTGTCGCTGTTGAGTCCGTTGAGTCTACTTCTGTGCAAGTGAGGACTTGCGAAGCCTAAGAGCCAAGGCAGGGTTTGAGAGAGCGCGGTGGCCTCATGACGCCAAGTCCTTCAGACACGTTCCAGAAGGCCCCGCCTCGATTGGCCAATCTGCTGAGCACTTCAGGAACAAAGAAGCAGCTCTGAACGAAAGCCGCAGGACGGCTTGCGCCATTGTTGCGCACAGAGAAGATGCCCCAGCCCACGCCGCCCCAGCGAAGGATCCTGTCACAGACGCCGTGCCAGCTCGCCAGAGCCCTTTTGGCTCCAACACGCCTCTCATTCCGTTGCGACTGCTGTCGAGGACGATACTTCATCGCGGCTTGGTACGTCTTCACTCGCAGAGGCCGTCATGGGTCCGGAACAGGGACCAAAGCCTAGCGTGTTGTCCTGGCACTTTGTGAGGGTTTGAGGGCCTTGATATTGTACTGGTATTCGATGGGGGTTAAAGACTAAGACCTCTCGGCGGCCCATGTCAGAACCAAAATGTTCATTCTGTCGCATATGGACGTGTCCAAGATGTTGTCATCGACCACGCATGACCTGCACTTTGGAGCGCGATGCTGAACTCGCCATGGCTTCGGAGAATAAACACAGATTGTTTTATGGGGCCTCTCTGCAGTCGCGGCCATGGGTGGGCACGCTGGCCGCATGCCACTTCACATGGCAAAACAAGACCGTTGACTGGTCAGGCGTAGTTTATATATCCTTGAAGAAGACAGGCCAATAAACAGACACAACCAGGATGAAACAAGCATTCCTAGGGAATGTCCACGATTTCAACCTTGCTTTGGAGGCCAGGCGCCAGGCAGAGACCTCGCGTACGAAGAGGTGCTGAAGCTGACCTCATGACCTCATGCATCCAGACATGGAAAACAGTGTTTTTGCACCAGCTAGCAGTCCTCCCCTCATCTTCGAAGTACGCAGGCTCGAAATGGAGGCTGAAGCCAAGCAACTGGACAAGGAGGTGTCGGATCTTCAAGGCTAGCAGCCCTGCATGCAATGCACAACGTAGCGCGGCAGTCTGCGCAACGGTTGAGAACGTCCCATGCCCGAAAGGATCTTTCAAACTGGACCTGGAGCAAGAGCACTACGAATCCTTGAAGAAGGACGCTTCTTCTTCTGCTTGAGCAGCATGCAAGTATCACCATGTATATCACCCATGATTGCGAAGCTCCACATCCAGAATCGGGCCCTCCGGCTCAACCAGGGGTCCAATCACGCTATCCGGGAACTAACTTCGTTTCACCACGGCGCCAGAGGGAGACCAATATGCAACATTTTTGCAAAAGAGATTCTTGTGTTTGTCTCAGGTATGAAGTCCTTACATCCTGATTCCTTTGAGTTCAGGCCTTCCTCCGGCGTTGCCCTTTCTCATCGCAGCTATGCAGTCATGCGCAGGCGTGCAATCGTGCAGACTCTTCGGTCCTTCATCATGCAGTCTCACGATTTAAGAACAAATCTATTCTGCTCTCAGTGCCTAACGCTATTTGCCTTGCGGCCATGGGTCTCTCCAACCTGGTGGTATTTTGCATAGCTGGCAGCCTTGCCCGCAAGCATCATGAGCCAGACAGATGCTTGGTGTGATTTGGCAGTTGAGCCTAGCTGCTTGCATGGCTCCGGCATGCACCCCATCAATCATGTGATCTTTTGTGCAGAAGGTGCTAGGCCGCTAGTCTCTTGCTCGCTCTCGCACGATCTTAGCAGAAGCCTTCGAGTGAGCCTTTGTTGCTTCAAAAAATGCAAGGACCTACGCTTCAGAAATTTCAGCCGAAGCCGGCCAAGCCGGTGCTGCTGCTGCAACGGAGTATGGAGCGGGCGGCAGTGGCGACGCTGTCCTCACTGCTGCAGGGCATAAAATTTGTTTTAGGTCGGGCGCGTGCTCGTGCGCCCCCCGCGTTTGGGTACCGGGTAGGTTTTGACCCAAATTCGGTTTCCTTGGGGGCAGGAGGGGTGGCATTAATAACGTGCACAATCCAATACGAGCCTACACCCCATACACACCCCAAAGCAGAGCAACCCCAAAGAACTCTTATCCGGAAGGGGGTGGGGGGGGGGGGGGGGGGGACAGGGGAATAATGGCAAGACCAGGCAAAACCCGGCAGCCATACGACCCAAAAGCAACACTCCAAAGCAGTGCGACAAAAATAGCTGTCATTTAGTATTGGGGGTTTAGGATTTAAAGGGTGGGTACAGTGGTGAGGAGACCTGCTGCAAAAGGGCGGGTACTAATGCCTAACACCAGTGCTCGGGAATCGACATCAGTGCTTGAGCCGGCAATGTGCCAATTGCAAAGGGGTCCGACACGGCATCTCACGGCCTGCTTCTTTGGGAGGTTGCTTGTGCCAGTGCCAGAGATGCAGACTCCGATGCCTCCACCACTCCCTCCGCAAACCCACAGCCAAGAAGAGCCCAAAGCAAATCACAGAACGATCTCATGGGTTCATGCAGACGTGGACAGGATTTCTCAGCCTCTTTGCTTGCGTTGTGACACTAAGGTTGCACGATGCTTCGGCAAACTCTAGCTGCGTGGACTGCAACCAATGCATGGCCGCAGAAATACGACGAAATACTCCTGCTTCATTTCGCTTCCCCTACAGTTGGCCTCCGAGGCCATGCGAAAGCCGAGATGCAGCAAAAGGACCGGCAGAAGATCGGCACCGGAGCAATACGAGCAAACTGTTCAGGCAATCAAGGGTGCACGTTTCAAAGCCGCGCCGAAGCCCGAAAACGTTTAGCGTCGAACACACACACACACCATGAATCCAGCAAGCCCCCAAGTTCTAGCCGCCAGATCCATCAAGTCATGCGTCTTGAGCAGGTGTTGCCCCGTGCTTGCCATACGACCTCACAGACGAGCCCATACGCAACTGTGCTTAGTTATACGGTTGCCGTCAAGTCTTTGCTCATTTCAGTCCTGCCCTGCTTTGATCGCCTGATGCCCGCATCCGGCAACACGCAGCCAAGCTGTTGCATGCGCGGCTGCATAAAGCGGTTGCAGAACTTAGGCCCCAGGTTGCAACTCAGATGCAACAACGTTGTGTGTGTATGCGTGCAGCCATGGTTCCCTTGCATATTCAACGAACTGACCGTGATTGCTGCATCTGCACCGTGCAACCTCATTGCCATAGCAAAAGTGCAAGATAGTGCAAGAAATGATGGGATGTCAAAGCTTGCAACCCGAGGTCTTCACATGTCGGCCTTGCTGTCAAAAGCAAGGCTACAGCGCAAAAAGCTGCGGACCCCAGCTCAGGGCGACAGCAAACCTGTCGCATCCTCTCGGGCCTGCATGGTTGGCATTGTCTATAGTGAATTCAAAGTCGGTTTCCAAAGACATGATATTTGTTGGGGCTGGCTGTCGCAAATGTTGCAAGGATCAGGCCTCCCAGCCCGTGGGAGATCCGCTGACGGGGGAAGACGAAGACCTGCAAACAGCTTACAGCGACGAGGACTGTAGTTCAATCCAAGAGTCATCACCCGAGCAAACGTGCATTGTCGAGGTGATGCCTGGCATTGAAAGATATTATATACTGAATCCCACATAGTTCCAACACATCTCTCAGGACGCGCGACAATGGAGCAAGATGCTCCCCTGTGAGCTGCATCTTGCAGGCCCCTCTGTTCTATTGCTTCCCTGCACCGAGCAAGTTTTTGGAACATTGCCACACATGCGATGAGATCTCGCAGTCTCGTAAGAGCACACAACACAAGGGAAACTTGGGGTAGCGGAGGCTTCACAAGCGTGGCCTTGCAGTCGTGTCGTCGACGTGTTGCGTTTCTGCCTCGTAAACTGAGGTCTTGATGATGTTGATGATGTTGGGGTTTGGCTTTAAGTGTTTGGAGGCAGAGTTGAGCCTGCCGTCGCCCACTGGGGTTGCAAGCTTCTAATGGGCCTGTCTGTTCGGTTCGTCTGCAGTAGGCTTGCTTCAGTCGCGCTCTGCCTGTTCAGCTTCCAGCCTGAATGCTGGGGTAGCGCAATTGGACTCTGTACTAGTTGCCTTGACCATGTACACATAGCTTGGTGTTGTGAGACGTCCTTATGTGTTTGTGTTGTGGGAAGCGGTTGATGTCCACTGGAGGTGAGATCGCAGAGAACGAAGTTGATGTGTAATTTCACAGGGTCTGAAGTTGTCCTTGAAGTATTCTTCGCTTTGATTCTTGCCTGCCTTGTGCGAGTGTGAGCATCGAAATCCCCTTCCGGGACAGGTCCACAGTGAAGAGATTAAATCTACCGAAGCCTTGCCGTGCGTGGAAGCGAGGCTTCAAAACCCCTCCCGGATGCAAAAGCAACATCACACAAGATCACAAAGCGACCTGAACCCTTCATCGAAAGCACGATTTCTTGACTCGTACATTCCAGCACATACAATTACGGTTCGGGAGCAGGACCCTCCCAGAGGACGCTTTGTTTTCTGGCGGCAGATGGGTATAATGAATATAATTAAGTCAGGACTCATGGCAAATGCTGTGTTTCTTTGGCGCTTGCTCAAAGCAGGCAATGGTCGCGTCCTGCAGGAACAGGGTTGCGTGAGGGCCATAGCGGCTATAGCGGCTATAGCATCAGGCCTTACTGGTAGTCTGACTCGCCACAGAGAGACGATTGCTGTGTCCTTCAAATGGCAGGCACTACAATTCAGGCGCTGCTGGACCACTACGCTGAAGACTCTGATTCCGAAGTTTCTGGGCTGCTAGGACTGGCAACCCTGCGTGCGAGTAGCGCGGGTGCTTCATACCATGGGAGAGCAGCAAGGGTGCGCCAACGCTAGCAGTCGAATCGCGAGTTCGTCCTGGTCTTGTGCAATTATTTGTTTATAGTCCTGCTATTCGTTCACGTTGGAAAGCATGATCTGCAGAACGGTACTGTCTCCAGGACATTCGCTTGGCTCCCACTCGCTTTCCGCATTGCTGCTGCAATTCAGAGGCGAGCTTTCCAAGGCACTCGGAGGGATGAAAAACCGATTAGGCTATCAGGGAGAACATTCCCTGAGAGTTGGGTTCGGCCGGTCCACACTAACAGTCAAATAACGCCGTGGCCTTATAACACACAGGCCAAAAATAGCACCAGGAATCCCAGTCAATTTTAGCATTTACCGGGTGCTTCTTTTTGTGGGTCTGCTGGTGGTGACTGCTAGTCACATACCAACAGAAATAGCACCAGAAATAGCACAAACAATAGCACAAAAAAATGCACCAGGAATAGCACAAAAAATAGCACCAGAAATAGCACCAGAAATGGCACCAGGAATCCCAGTCAATTTTAGCAGCTTAGCATTTACCGGGTGCTGTTTTTTGTGGGTCTGCTGATGGTGACTGGTAGTCACATGCACCAGAAACAGCACAGAAATAGCACCAGAAATAGCACAAACAATAGCACAAAAAATAGCACCAGAAATAGCACCAGGAATAGCACAAAAAAATGCACCAGAAATAGCACCAGGAATAGCACAAAAAATAGCACCAGAAATAGCACCAGAAATAGCACCAGGAATAGCACCAGGAATAGCAGGAATCCCAGTCAATTTTTGGGCAGTTACCGGGTGCTTTTATTTGTGGGTCTGCTGGTGGTGACTGTTAGTGTGGACCGGCCGAACCCTACCTGAGAGAGTTAACACCTCCACCATCATTTCATCACTCTCCAGATGTTAAACTAGACATGTTCTAAGAATCCCGCCGCTTTTCTCTTTGCTTCTTTTTTTTCTCTCTCTCTCTCTCTCTATCAGTGAGTCAGGCGTGCAAGGTGAAGGAAGACCACATCCTGATGCCTCTCTGCTCTTGCAGTTTATGGCAGAAGTGTCAGCAGCAGATGGCCTTCTTTGCTTGTGCTTGCACAGCTTTTCGGTGTGCATCAAAATAGCGTTCCATCGATGGATCTTCCCATTTTGGGGCTCTGAGGAATTCCATCTATGGCCGGTTCTTACGACCTGGTTCTTCAGTTTCAGCGATGCTGAAATCTCGGAGCAGACTCTCGCCTGACTGGCCAAGAATATGCAGTGAGCATATTGGTTTGTACAGAGATCGAAGATGATCGAAAGGGTCCCAGCATCTCGAAAGTCGAAAGGCATTGGTCCGCTCGAGTCCACGGGCACAAGCTTGGTCAGCAGCTCCGTGCCATACAAGGAGCGGTTAGGAGAGGAGGCAGCTCTGCAAACTAAGACACGTAGGGCCTAAGCTAAGTTCCGAGCTGCACAAATGGGCTGCACAAATGGGCTGCGGATTTGCTCTGGAAGGTGGTCGTTCGCTTCTTCGTGGTGCCGGAGAAAGATGGCGATGACTTTACAAAAGTGGTCAACTCGCTGCGAGACTCGCAGCTCCCTGAGTCTCTGCAGAGTCACTGCAGAGTCTCTGCAGAGTCTGCAGAGTCTCTGCACTGGGGGGGGGGGGGCATGCAAGAAGAGCATCTCTTTCTGGATTCTGCTCATTTCTGCTCTGCCAGGCTGGCAAGCAACAAGAGCAGCCTGTTAAGTGGGAAGCTCTCTGCTGCTCGGAATTGATAGGTGTGGAGATGGCTTTGATCATTCACAAGCACTGTTTCTCCCAACGTTCCTAAGGATGTGGTGAGGCATTCATCCCTGACCATCGGCTACCAGGCTGGGCGGAGAAATTCAAGAATAGGAACAAGGACACATGGAGAGATCTGGACACATGGAAGAGTTCTGGAGTTTACATCTAACATTGGAATGCCGGCACACGGGGGAAACGTGGCTGCCTGCCTTGTTAACCGCTGAGTGGCTGAGAGCGCCGCGACCCTCTTGCTGGCCTGTCGTACTGCGCAGATCTGTGCAGCCTTGTTTTGCTTCGCAATGTTTCGTGCCACAGTGCCACACTGTGAGGCCAACATCCTTTTGCAGGAGTCTTTGTGGAAAAGTTGTGATTTGCGGAATCCCGTGGCTCTTTGTGAGGAAGTAACAGCAGCTGGAGCGCGTGCGAATGTGGGTCAGGGGCTAGCCACGGCACACCGTGCACAAACCGCATTAATACATCGACTGTGACCACGCACACCGCTGCCACAGACCTCCGTCCCACCAAGGGCGAAACCGCATTGCTGGGTCGAGAAAGTTTCCGAGAAAGGGCAGCCAAACCTGTCACCAAACAGGCCAATGCTGTTGTTTAAGCGCAGATGCTTGTGCGACCTCCTTGTTGGGCCTCACATGCCTCACGAGCAAACGCACGGATACTGGACATCCGCCATTGAACGTGCATGACAAATTCCGGACACTGTTTGCGCGGGCGACCGCAACTCAGATTGACGCATCGCAAGAAAACGACCTTTGCAGCGTTTAGCACCATCGTAGTGTCCGCATAGCAGCATGGAAGCTGCTGCCAAGGAGAATGGTTTAAACAGTGTAACACTGCACAAGCCTTGGCATGAGTTCCGTATTGTCAAAAGAGCGAAGTGGAGCACTTACTTTTATCTTTTTTTTGTGAAGCACGTGGCGACGAGCTTGGTGGTGCAGTTCGTTGCTATGCCAAGCAGGCCTGAGGCATAAGAATGCCCTATAATGCAACTGCACCTAAGCGAAATCCAACACAGCCACATTAAATCATTAAGCCACCATGCAAGACACGGACGCGTTCATGGCGTTTTTTGGGTTTGTTTGCTTGGATCTGAAAAGCGCCCAGTATCGCCACATCTTACCGCTAAGTCAGATAAAGTCATCATTACCTTCGAACGTATCCAGGCCGCTGCGTCGCGTTTCGAACTTGATTCGGACTGTAGGATCCCTAGGCAAAAACAGCCATGGCACGGCAAATGCTTTTGCTTTGGGCGTCGCTGTGTGGGCACCATAATCCCGCTTGTGCCGATGCAGCCGCGCCGGGGATACTGAGCAAAATCTTTCTTCTATTGCCCAAGCAAGCTAAAGCGTAAACACAACACCAAGGACGTGGCGGGCTTCACCAGCATCCCGATGGCTTCTAAGCTGATGATGTAGGGCTACTCAAGGGCTTTCGGGAATCGGGTGCTTCTTTGAACCACTGAAGATGCTACGAGTCGACGACTGTGAGATGAGTTGTTATTTTCAAGGACAAGCTCTCAAACCTCGCGCTGCCGTTTGCCATCTCCGCCATCTTCACCGGCATACTGATCTGGCTTGCCGGGTAAGACCGGTTAATTGCAAGGTGGAAAAAAGTGGGCGGCAACCGTAACAGGTCCATAAGGAAGTTTTGACTGTAGGGGCTTGCGTAAGAGCGCACGTTTGCCATGGCAAGCCGCTTCGCTAAGTCCCATACCGACGATGCTTACGATACCTACGATCTTGAACTTGGAATGTTCTGCTTTCAGGAGCTTGACGGGGTCCGGGAAGATCTACAAGCTGCCAGAAGGCAGCACGTTCGCAGTCGCATGTTGTTGAGTGCGATCACTGTCAAAGGCATCTGGGCAGCGAGTGAGCAGACTGGGTGCTGTCCCCACAACTGAGCGACACATGTGCGGAAGAGATACGCAGCATTTCTTCAGAAGAGAGCAGAAGGAACACAGCCCGTCGCCCATGTCGGAATGCAGGAACCTTCTAAGACAAATCCTTGCATTCACTTTGCGTTCCAGTGCAAAACCGGGCTTCGATGAGAAATAACAACAGTCAACTAAAATTCTGTCAAACATCAACATTTAGCTAGCGTTTCAAAACAAATACAAATACACAGTAGGAGGCTTATTTTGAAGTAGTATGTCAAGTGAATATTTCGAACGCCAATGCGAAATCCAAGCTTTTACCATAATCATTTTTGATTCGAAAAGATAGCGTGAAAACAAAAGACAGGAACGCGCACTAACAACCTGTGAATTAAGTCGAAAAGATATGTGTCTCGTTGGAAATCTCGGAAACTATTTTTTTCGGATTGTTTAAGTAGAAGCCCAATATTGTATACGAGTTTTCTTATCAAACAACAGAGCTTTGACTAATGATAGTCAAAAGTGGAGCGGGTTCAGTAAAAGTCGAAGTCACAATCTAACATTTGTTTGTGTTTTATCAGAGGTCTACCTGCAAGAGCAACCGTTAATTCGTAGTCTAGCCCTAACCCAAAAAGCCAGAACTGAAATAGAGCTCTACGTAGAGATGGATTTCAGAGACCAACATACATCCTTTGCACACATCCTTGAAATTCTTGGGTTCCAGTGCAAAACCGGCTATGTAATCGAGGTTTCGATGACAATCCATGAAAAACCAAAGATTGAACTATGATTTAGTTAACTGCCTAGTTGAAATCCAATCAAGGCTCGTAACTATTTGGTTAGCACTCAAGTGAGCAGGGTTCGACTTCAAGCTCAATATTAGCTTGAAAGCCACTCAGAAATCGGCTATAGTAGTTGCTATTAGCTTAGGTTTCTTCAAATCGAAGATGTACTGCACTTTCTCATTCTCAAAAGTTCATCTACGGCGGCTTGAAAAGGCGGCAGAGGTGGCGGCTATCCCCCCTTCCTTTACTCTCAAAAAGCGAGGAAGCCGATCGAAGAACATAAGTACACCAAAACCAAGAATACCTTTGAAACCAGGCCCTTCATGTTATGCTGCCGTATACTATCTTACATATGGCTAACATGTGCTGTCCTTCTCTATGCTATATTGTCTTGGATCTTTGCTTATGTTGTGCCATGCTTTACTGTATCATATTGGCATATTATATGACACCTAATGTTGCGATATTGCTATATCTTGCCATGCCATACTATGTGCTATTGTATTGTATTTAAGGCTGATTGACGTTATGCTTACTGTATCATTTATTCATATTTTAAGGGGCTGCGCCCATGGGCGGGCAGCGCACGTAGAAGCCCGGGGCGAGCAGTTTCTAAGCACGTTGAGGCCCCTAAACTCCCTTAAAATCTCTAAGCGTTAATTCTAAGCGTTTTTCAGGCCCCTAAACTCCCTTCAAATCTCTAAGCGTTTGAGGCTCCTAGACTCCCTTAACGTTTCTAAGCACTTTATAAGGCCCCTAAACTCCCTTTTCCCTAGCCCCGGGCTTAGACACGTCGCTTATGCCCGCCCTTTGGGGGGCATCATGCTCCTGATGCGCCCCCGGGGTCCCGCCCCGGGAGCCGCTGATGCCCCTGATGCGCGCCTGGGGGTCCCGGGCTGGACCCGCTGATGCTCATGATGCGCGCCCTCTGGGGGCCTCCGTGGCGACGCAAAAAACCACGAAAAAAAAAAACCGTTCACCGGCGGCACGCGGGGGTCGGCGGCACTGGCGTCCGGCCTAATTCTGCTTCGCAGAAGGCCAGAGGCCAGCAAGGCTATTCCCGGGACGACCGGGCTAAAAGGTCCGCATTTGCTCGGTCCTTTGGGGACCTCGCGCTGCCCGATTTTTAAGGGGCTGCGCCCATGGGCGGGCAGCGCACGCAGAAGCCCGGGGCGAGCAGTTTCTAAGCATGTTGAGGTCCCTAAACTCCTTTAAAATCTCTAAGCGTTAAGTTTCTAAGCATTTTCAGGCCCCTAAACTCCCTTCAAATCTCTAAGCGTTTGAGGCTCCGAGACTCCCTTAACGTTTCTAAGCACTTTATAAGGCCCCTAGACTCCCTTTTTCCTAGCCCCGGGCTTAGACACGTCGCTTATGCCCACCCTTTGGGGGGCATCATGCTCCTGATGCCCCCCCGCGGTCCCGCCCCGGGAGCCGCTGATGCTCCTGATGCGCACCTGGGGGTCCCGGGCTGGACCCGCTGATGCTCATGATGCGCGCCCTCTGGGGGCCTCCGTGGCGACGCAAAAAACCATGAAAAAAAAACCGTTCACCGGCGGCACGCGGGGGTCGGCGGCACTGGCGTCCGGCCTAATTCTGCTTCGCAGAAGGCCAGAGGCCAGCAAGGCTATTCCCGGGACGACCCGGGCTGAAAGGTCCGCATTTGCTCGGTCCTTTGGGGACCTCGCGCTGCCCGATTTAATGGCTACCGCCAGTGCCGCCGACCCCAAATTTTCCAAGGTGTGGGGGGGGGGGGGGGGGGGGGGGGGGGGGGGGGGGGGGGGGGGGGGGGGGGGGGGGGGGGGGGGGGGGGGGGGGGGGGGGCATGCATTAATGGGGCCCTTTAAAGTCATCTGATAGGGGCAGGGGCCATGGGGCCATGCGAAACGTGCATCCATGAGGTGTGGGTGGTGGGAGCCATGTGGGATCATGGAGCCATGAGCCAGGAATGCAAGGGTCAAGGGCATGGGGGCCATGCGATGGACATGGGAAGGGTGCATGGCGGGGGGGTGAGAGCGGGGAGGGCGGAGCGGGCGGGCATGCACCGGGGCCTTAAAGCAATCCGATAGGAGCATGGGGCCACGGGGCCATGGGAAACGTGCATGGGGGGAAGGGGTGTGTGGGTGGTGGCAGCCATGTGGGATCCTGGGGCCATGAGCTGGAGCCGGGGTCGAGGGCATGGAGCCGGGGTTGAGGGCATGGGGGCCATGGAATGGAGCGGGCGGAGCGGGCGGAGGGGGCGGGTTCAAGTCATCTGATAGGGGCATGGGGCCACGGGGCCATGGGAAGCGTGCATGGAGGGGGAGGGTGTGTGGGTGGTGGCAGCCATGTGAGACATGGGGCCATGAGCTGGAGCCCCTAAAAGAATGCCAAAACATCCATGAGGGAGCGGGCGGAGGGGGCGGAGGGGGCGGGGAGAGCGGGCGCGGGAAGGGTGCATGGAGGGATGGGGTGGGGAGAGCGGGGAGGGCGGAGCGGGCGGGCATGGATTGGGGCCCTTTCAAGGGGCATGGGGCCACGGGGCCATGGGAAGGGTGCATGGAGGGGGAGGATGTGTGGGTGGTGGCAGCCATGTGGGATTGATAGGGGCATGGGGCCACGGGGCCATGGGAAGCGTGCATGGGGGGAAGGGGTGTGTGGGTGGTGGCAGCCATGTGGGATCCTGGGGCCATGAGCTGGAGCCCCATGATCGAGGTGTGGGACCATGGGTGCCAGGAGGTTCCTGGGGCCATGAGCTGGAGCCGGGGTCGAGGGCATGGGGGCCATGGAATGGAGCGGGCGGAGGGGGCGGGGAGAGCGGGCACGGGAAGGGTGCATGGGTGGGAGAGCGGGGAGGGCGGAGCGGGCGGGCATGGATTGGGGCCCTTTCAAGTCATCTGATAGGGGCATGGGGCCACGGGGCCATGGGAAGGCCATGTGAGACATGGGGCCATGAGCTGGAGCCCCTAAAAGAATGCCAAAACATCCAGAGAGCGGCAAGACTATGGGTCTTCACTAGCGCCTCCCCCGCTCAAAGCTGGGGTCGGCGGATAGTTATACGATTTTCTTATTGTACTTAATATGATGTGATTTTGACTGATATTACTTATAGAAATATATCATGTTCAGCATTGTTATGTTGTTTTGTTCTGCTGGATCATGTTTAAACAAATCAGAACATTTGACATTGTATGAAGCCAGGGTATAACACCTATTTAGACATGATATTCTAGGTCATAGGAGCGCGCACACCCGTCGAGGCCCGCATATACAGCCCGCAAGGCCCCTTGGCCCGCGGGTAGGATGTAGCGGGTGCCTTCGCATACACTCTTGGGCAGGCGTCTGGCCCGGTCGGAGGAGGCAGCCGGCTTGAGTAGCTGAGCATCATGGGAAGACAGAAGTTTGAGAGCGACGCTGTCATGTCAGATGTTGGTGCGTCCTATCCATGCAACAGGCTGCGGAGCAAAGTCGCCACAACTTCCTCCTGGCACAGCATAGCACCAAGCGAAGCGTCCAGGCACGGCTTCTGACGACATGTACGGCTTGTTTACATTCGGCTGTGCTGTTTGCTTGATCATGTTGCGCATGCAAGAGGCTTCTAGCAACTCATCTTGTGTTGCAGCGCCTAGTGAGAGGCTTCTGTACGCAGTGGCTCGGATCTGCTAGGATTCGCCAAGCATTCGTGAGTGCATAAAGCACGACACGGAGAGGTACTGCGGTCGAAGTTGGAGGACAAACAGCTTTGCTCGGTGCAGCACATCCCGGTAGCACATTCTCATCGGGATGCGCGGGAGTCTATAGCAACCCCGGGGAGATGTGACATGCTGGTAGGTTTAGTAGCCGCTTCTTCTGGCTGTGACGGAGGAGCTGTGGCATGGTATCCAATCGCTACATGCATGAGCGGAGGCCTACTGCCTGTATCCAGCTGGGCTTTGAAACTCTTTGTTGCCCTGGCCAGTTTTCAAAGAAATGCCAAGATCTGACACTTGAACGCTGGCAGGATTAAGCGAAAAAGCCTCGTCATGCTCAGACTAGCTAAACAGCTAGCTGGTTGTCTTCTTGACCTCGTTCGTTGGAAGGTATTTGTGGCTCACAGTGGCACACAGTGTCCTTCACAGCTGCAATCGAAAAGATGCGATGCAAGGGAAACACGCATACGCAAAGTATACACAACGGACTGAGGGTTCATTGTTCTGCCCCTGACATCCAGGGCAAGTGCCCATGCAACGCGCGCACCGGGCATGGACATCGCCATGCTTCGCCTTGATTTCTGCAGCTCCTAGTCGGCACTTCCACCTCTGGCATTGCCTTCAACAAATAGGTTAAATAGGTAGCTGGGCAGCTGGGCATGGTGCCATTTCATGGGAGGTGCTGCTCGTCGGCAGACCTGGTACATCAGGCACTGCCGCACCGCCATTGCGTTCCCCGCAGATATTTGATCAGATCTGCATGCGAAGCTCAAGACTGCACCATCTTCGATGATGCATGTTCCATCGCACACTGTTTTTGCCGATGCTTGGCGTATACTACATACATGCCACGGTCGTTTTGGCACATGGGTGGTTGCCAAAATTCTGGTCTCTTTTTGAATCCCTATGATAATACGGAACCTAATATTTAGGCCACCGCAAAAGGGAGCATCATTTTGACAAACACCCACATAGTGCTTAGCAGAAGCACGGTGCTCGCGCAGTGTCTTGTCATGTGTGCCATAGCCACTGGGCCCCACTGGCTGAAGAGCGAGGGACGAATAGTCAAAACAGGATCCACGACACGTTCGATGTAATCCCCCAGATGGACCAGTTTGCAGCCCCCCAAACCCCACAGTGGTGCGAGGCTGCTAGGCCTGCGGCAAGAACCCCCTCCCTTTCGATGAATGCAATACCTTGTCGTCTCGTTCTTTCAGACCATTTGCACAGATGGCGCTCGCTGACTTGGGGCCTTGATGTGCACCCATATGGCTCCGATGCACATGCTTTGGCTTGCACTGGTTGTGCATTGTGGTGGCTATGGCTACATGCAGGAGGCCAAAGCGGCCAGAGCTGCCCCAATGTGGCTGCGAAAAGCTGAAAACATGTCTCTTCTCATCCATCACATGTGTAGGCAACTGCTCCACCAGCAACTGGTCGAGGACTCCATAGACCGCATAGACTACGCAAGGCAAATTTGGAGCCTTGCCTGTCCTTGTGCGAGCCATGGTGAGCCAAGTGGCAGGAGCCTATGACTTCGGAGCTCTGAAGTCATCTGGCAACTCCTACTCAACAGAGAAGCTGCTTGGCACCTCTGGTGCCATGACGGTCCCATCCTCATGTTGGAGCCTTCTACTTGTTCCAGAAAGCACATGGCCAGCTTTTGAATCTTGCAGCGGGGGGAGTACGAAAAAAAAGAGTCTAGGGCCGCCGTTCGTGGATTCAGTTCTGAGGTGACTCGATTCCTTCGGGGAGGTGCTCAGCACAAATTTCTCAAACATGAATCAATATCTATGAACCAATATCTATCCGAACGACTGCCTCCTTGACAGCTCTGTTTGGACCTTTGGAATGTCGACTTTGGACAGGATCACTGTAGCACTGGTTCCACAATGTCTTGAACAAGCGGTTTGCAAGCAAAAGGGTTGGGGCAGAACGAAATTCCCAAGGAAACTCCAACCTCTTAGCATGTTTACACTTTGGCAGGCCTCGCCTTCTCAGCATGCGGCATCAGTTACCTCATGCCTCATGCATCCTCGTGGCTGGTGGTCTCCACCAGACTCATTGGTCTGTTCCATCCTTTCACCTTGCCAATGGCCCCGTCGCATCCGTCCGCAGCTCCGTAGTCACTGTAGTCAGTCCTCATCATCCATGGCATGCACGGCGAGATCATCATGAGAAGTGCTGCGAAAATCGGTAGTCGCCATACGAGCACACAGCCATGAAGGGGCAGAAGCAAGTTTGCCCAGCGGGTGTGTAGCCGACAAGTTGCGCTTTTGTAGCCTTCCGTCTTCCAGCCAACACAGAATTCTTATTCCTGAGGCCAGACTTGGTGAGCTGCTGATTCATGGTGAAGCTGTGGAGGAGACTCGACACCTTCAGAGCATGTGCTCCGCAGCTAAAAGAGGCGGCGCTGGACCAACATCCCCAGGTTCTCAACGTGCCATCCCGACTTCTTCATCGACCACCAAAGAAGAAAAGCTGGGCACTCTACAACCCATCGCTACTTCCCTTGCGTGCCATAGCTGCAGAATGCGGGAGTCTTTGAAGAAATCTGTGGTCCCTATTCTCAACAAACTGCTTTTGCAAAAGCTGCATTCTTGTAATGCGGTCATGCTGTCCTCTGTGACGGATTCGCCACGATAGTTTGTCAAGTCTCCTGGCTGATCCACTTTCGCTTCGTTAAGCATGGAATATAGCGGAATCATGCAAGATGCTGAGGCTGGCGTGGCAAGGACGTTTTCTTGGTGACATACAGGCAAGCGCGCGCAATAATTTGCCTGCAAGAGCACCAGGCACACGACTTATGTTTCAGACCTTAAGCTGCTTTTGACAGGGCGGGAACGTGGAACCTTTGCAGGTGGGACGGACGTGGCGCCTCGACTCAGACCCAGTGGTGTTGCCTTGAGCTCACTGCTTCAAGTGCTCTGTGAGGTTCTCCCGTAGCCTCGCTGCCAACAGTTGAAGGTCGGAATCAGGCCAGGCCATGTGGCATTATGCGACCACAGAATGCACGGTATCCTGCAACTGATTCTCCATGCTGTCTCGTCTGAGCAAGATAGCAACAAGCACTCAAATATGCGCAGCCCGCTGGGTGGCACATTCCATTAAAGGACCTTTGTGTGTCTGAGTTGGGCACCTCAGCTGGCTTGCAATGCAATAATGCAAACGCCTGCAGCCCTATCATGTCCACTATCTTCGACAGTCTTCCTTTGAAAGAGCTTTCGAATCTGGAAAATGCAGGCCACCAGCCGCGTCATGGCAGTGCTGACCTTACACAGCTGTCCATGACACAGTGAGCACATGGACTGCTTGCTGTACTGGTTTTTGATCGGTGAGATACTGGTAGACACTGGACTCAGGCTATCGTGCTGCGTGACTTCTCGCCTCTCGTGCCGGTGCACCTTGGAGCAGGGGGTTCGTCAAAAATCCCCGCCCTTGTCTGCCCTTGTTTCAAGTCTTTGTCCATGGTAGCCCGGAGACACCCCAGTGCGCCTGCCAGTTTTCCACGTGACAGACTCACGGATGTGCACTTTTGATCGGCATCCCTCCTCCCTCCCCACATTTGCCATTTGCCACTGTGAGAGTCGAGTCAGTAAAGGGGGGGGGGGGGGATTGGGGGCCTGGCTAGCCGACAGCAAGCCCAGGGCCCCAGCTTCCATTCTTGGCCACGTGAAACCTCATCTTGGACAATGGGTGGCACTATTCACTTTTCACTGGCCCAAGGCACGAGATTGGAAATCAGAACTTTCAGGAGCATTCCTGCACACATTCGACAGGCGCAAAGGGCAAGAAGGGCTGTGCACAGAGGTCTCCTTGATTCTGCCATCTCTGTGGTCATGCAGGCATGCGCCGTGTTGGCATCGACGATGGGCGCTTGCTTTCTTTGCGCGGCAAGCCGTTTGTGCTGTTTGCCGGCGTGGCGCCGGCGCAGCAGGCTGGCGAAGCGACCGTGCTGTGAGATGTAAGCTCTGCACAAATCTGCACAAGCTCAACCGTGCAAAAAGAGATTTAGAGGCTGAGCATGGCCGTGGGAGGACTACCCTTGTCAGCACCGGCAATACCTCTGTCCGCTAGAACTGCCGGACGAGGCATCCGAGAACCTCAAGGAGCTCAAGGCAGCTTGGCAGCATTGGCACATGTGGCGCTTTGGCTATAGCTTTGCACATTCTATAGGGGCCAAGTCGTGTTTCTTTCACGCTCCCGCATTCTACTCGCCAACGAGCTTTGAAGCTTCGCAGGTGAAGTGCAGCGAGAAGGTGCTGCTGACCTTTGTTCCTCGGCTTTGCGAAGAAGTGAAAATGACAAGCCTTTAATTCAACGCAGCATTCAAACATATTCAAACATCTGCAAGATTCTTAAGCAAGATGTTAGAAGACTAAACTGTGCAGAAACACGGCTGCCGGTGTCGACGCTCCCCCATGCCGTGACCTTCGAACAGCACCCTTCTTTGAGCGGACTTTAGCGCCGTCAGTGCTCGGCCAGCTTCCAGAGGCAAAGTTTCTCTTTGGGGCACAGCACGGGGCCATGGCCACAGCTGTTAGAACCCGGTCCTCCAAAAACCAGTGGGCCACATGAGCCATCTCAGATCATCCCTTCCCCCTAAAATTAAATCCCACAGACAGCTAAGTGTTGCGAAATGACTGGGAGGGAAGGGAGGGCTGAAAGGGAAGGGAGGGAAGGGAGCTTCAGGATGTTGGTTGGTTTGAGGGTTTAGGGAAAACCTTAAGCCCTAACGGTTTAGGTTTGGGAAAGGTTCATGTTTCTGCTCAGGCTTCCGACTTGACCCCCCCCCCCCTTAACCCCCCCCTAACCCCCCCCCTCTCTCTGTAGAGTATTCAATAGGGGCAGGCACGGATTCGGGATTTTTGGGTCATTTTTTTCTCTATTAGGGGGCTATTAATATTAGGGGGAAGGGATTAGGCTTTGGGCATTTGGCCATTTTCAGATGTTGGCATGAAGAGAGCTCGGCCTCAGGACTTTGCGGACCAACTGTCAGAGAAGATGCTCGCACAAGAGCGGCTAGGACTCGAGGTTCAACTTGGAGCAAAAGTAAAGTATACACTGTGTGGCGTACCGTAATGTACCGTTGCCGTTATATACCGTGCCTTTCTCAGTTCTGCTTGGGCTTAAAGCTCGAGGCTGAACATCCAAGGAAGCGTGCACCAGAAAAACTGGATGCCTTTCGTGGTGGGTGATGAGCTCTTCTTGATCTTCACGGTCGTCGCCCGTCTGTATGGTGTTGCACGGGGAGAGGAATGATGACAGAGACTATGAAAGCAGCGCGTCACGCTGTTCCAGGAGCCTCTGCGCGTGATGCGAGTGGATACCCTGACGGGACGCTGCGTTGAGGTCAGCTTGGTACTGCCCTTAGAGCTGGAGAGTTTTTTTTCTCGCCGTCTCCCAAGTGAAGCAGGCTGGCCGTAAATCTTCCAACGGGTGCGTAAGCCTGGGTCCAGGTACGGACTCCGGCGCTTTCGGCTCTCCACAACTCCCAGCGCGACGAGTTTCGTGGGCAACTAGCTTAGAAAATCTTAGGAACCTGCATCAAGAAGATGTAAGTTGATGTAAGCTGGGGGCAGCAGAATATCGTGAGCCGAGCCCAGGCATGGAGGACCGGCGCTTGTTCCTCTGCCGCCCAAGCACGGTGGCGGTTTCCTGGGGCTGGCTCGGGCTGCTTGGCGCCAAAAATCCGCTGCAACTTCTGCGATCACGGTACTGTACCTCATGTGCAAGCCGGTTTGCATGTGCAGTCAAGTTGCTGCGCCTCCCAGACACGAAGCAAGGGTAGAAACGGAGGGCATTTATTTCTGCAATGTTTGTTGTTCTGATTGTGGACGCCAGTTGGTATGTTGGTCCGTTGGTCTGGCTTAATTGATCTTAATTGTAACGCTTGCGCGCGCCGCCTCGGCAGCCGGGCCGGCCCAACGCGGGGTGTAGCGTGCGCATTGCAGAAACGGAAAGCCTAGTCATATGTCACTTGGTTTAGCACCACGCCGTCATAAGTTCAGGAGTTGTTGGTCCTCATGATGGGTTCTGCGCAGTTGGGTTCTGTCAAAGCAGCGGGCCCCATGATCGAGAGAGCACAGGCGAGCGCGCGGGACCTGCGTTCGCCCAATTGATGCAGATATGGGTAGCCCACTGGTGGTAGCCCAGTTGCATCGACATCGCGGAGCTGGTGCAAGGACGCGAGCGCGGCAGTGAAACAACGTCGAGAAACCAGAGCTCATGCATCCAAAGGACCAAGTTGCGACCAGTCCGGAGGGAAAGAAACCCGTACTCACCCCTGTTACGACCTGCATTGCTGGCGCATGTTTTATGCGCCCTGCGCCCATGAACATCTTGAGAGCTCGCAACCTGGTCTCTTCATGCTGCTTGCAGTTGCAGCGCTTGCTTTTCAAAGCAATCCTGGGAAGTTCGATGCATCAGTCAGTCCCACATAACATAACGGTCGAAAAGGCCAAGATCGAATCTCTAGCCTGAGATGCGTGCAAGATCGTATAAGCGTGCTCCGATTGGAATCATTGGCACAGCTTCCCTGACAGGTGGTGGTGGCGGCGCTGTGGGGCTAGAAGGATTGATGTCGAAGTTTTTGACCGCCGCGCAAAATCATGTTCCACCTATGGTGCTTCGTGGTGTAGTCAGTCTAGTGCGGGTGTTGCGGGAGTGTGGAGGGGGTGTTGTTGGGGACGTGGTGGGGTGTGGCGGAGGTGCGGCGAGGGTGCATCGCTGGGGGGTGCATCGCTGGGGGGTGGGTGGGGGGCCTGGTTGACAAGTTGTTGGCCTCTAAAATGTTGAGAAGCTTGAAACGGCTTCGTGTTGGAAGGCCTAATCTTCTCATGCCAGCTCTCCAGCCCCTCCATTCACAGCACTCTTTGGCAACTCTTTGGCAACAGGAATCCACAGACACTGTAGCATGGCCAACGGGCGACAGCTCTCGTCGTCTGGGCAACGTTGCTGTGCGCTTGTCGATCAGGGATTGACACAACACCTAAGCGCAGTTTGTTACAACTCAGAAGGGCCACCCAAGACCCAAGGCATCTGCCAGGATCATAATGAAGAGCGCCATGGAAGGGGCAGCGGAGCGAGATAGAAGCGCAAGCAGGTCATCTAGGTGGATGGCCTAAGTGCCGCTTCTGCTCGCACATCGCCGAGGTACAAGCTGGCAATTTGCTTTATACGCACTTCTTCTTCGCACTCAAAGTGCCCCAAGATCCGTCTGCATCAGATCCATTTGTCATCTCTCATGCGTGGTGGCCCAGCTACACCGGGATTTGCAACTGAACAGCCTCTCATCTATCTTATCTCTCACTAGACTGAGCTGACTGCAGCAAGGTCAGCCGTCTTTTGTGCATCGAGTCGTCGCCGCGGCCTAAGCCCAGAACTGCAAGGGCAAGCGTGTTTTGAGCCATTTGAGCCTCCAGCCGTTCAGCAAGTTCGGTAAGTCTCAGGCACGAAGGCCTCTGCGAGGTGATTCAGTTTGTGGGCGGCATCTTCATCGACGAAGACCAGTTGGTGCCAAGTGTCGTTTAGATCTTGTTGGTTGTTTGTATGTTTTGTGGGCATCACGCTGGAGGCTCACGAGCTGTGGCTGCACCCATCACTCATGTCAGTTGTGGGTGGCGTTTGAAATCGGAGGTGCTCACATATGGAGCCAATGACTGCGCGATGCGGCTGCAGTGAGAACTCATGAAATTCTGAAAGCTTTGCGGCTTTGCGTTGTTGTAAGAAAACACCAAGGAGCCACGAGTGACAGCTCTTCCCTTGAGCCATGCGTTGGCCATGCTCCGACCTGCGGATTTCAGATCCGAGCTGTGAGCTTGGAAAAGGGTCGTCTGACGTCTCTGCTGTCAACCTGCTGCCTTAGACGAGCCTTAGACTCTTAGACAATCATAGCCCAGTTCTCCTACTGTAAGCTGGGACTGCAGGCTACTGCCTGAGAGGTCGCATCCACCAGGAGGCTTGGAGCAACCGAGCCACTAGAGGACTTCAGAGCCACCAGCCCGAATCAAGGAGACCTGGAGACCTGTATGAAGAAGCCACTAGTCACTAGCCGCACTAGGCCATACCTTGGAAACGGAGCTGCAGCTTCCCTTTTTGGAGGCATGGCGGGAAGCCCGTTCAGACAGGCTTAGCCAGCCCAGCTACATCCGACAGGACTGCCTTGCACAGTAGGATGCTCGATATCACCGGCACCACGTGATACACACGGAAGTTAGTCTTGCAAGTTGCCAGTGAATGTGTTGTGCATACGCCAGGCTTCGGCCAACGAAGCAGACGGGACATTTGGCATGTCTTGATCATTGTCGATTGCTCCTGCGCTGGAGGATGGAAGCTTGGATGAGACTCTGGCGAGATTGGCGCGCCAACACATGCCCGTCAACCCCTCGCCAGACATCCAGGCCACTACGGTACATGCGAATAATACGACATGCAGCGACAGTTGGTTCTGAGCCGTCTGTGTAAAGCCTTTTGCAATGTGCAGCATTGCTATCCGCAGCTCACGAACGCATACCGGCGTCATGGTCCTGCCCGAACCTGCTGAGCCAAAGAAGCCAAAGCAGCTGGCAACGCGGCGAAGCACTGAGATGGAGGAGCATGACCCAGCGGCCAGCGGGAATTGTCTACTGAAGAAACGGATGGAAGCCATGAGTGTTTTTTTGTTTTCTCAATCCACCGACCATCGGATGGTTCGGCAGCCGAGCATACCCTGATGGTGCTTGTAGTTGCTGAGTCGCGGGCTTCCCTCGATGAAGCGAAGTTTCGAGCTTCATGAAGACGAGCCCAAGAAGTCCTCTCTGCAGAGCGACACAGCATCAATTGTTGGGGGGTCTTGACTGTGCAGGGTCAGCTGCGAGTACTCCACGCCGACCCGCCAAGAGCTCAAGTGTTGCAGGGAAGTCTGTCAACAACGTAACGTAACAGGCTGTATGCTGTGTGATGGCAGGGCTGTGATTCTTATCCCGGATCTCTGGAGCAAAGAGGCCGGACAATGACTGTAAAGGTCAACCAAACCAAATGAAAGCAGTTTAGTCAGAATATGCTGTCTAGACCAACGGCGTTGGGCATATGGAGGCCTGTGAAAAGCTGGTCTTTGCCGCAAAGTGCAGTGATTGCCACAGCAGAGTGTACATTGCATGAAGGTAGATGTTCTCATGATGCGCATGTGGCTCTTCTAAGGTGGTGCAATGCGGCAGAGACTTGGCGCATTTGGGGCCGTGGAGCTCACTGTTGTTGCGAACTTGCGAATGTCAAATTGACTCTGCCAGGTCGAGCTGCAGTGGCTATGGCGTTGCACCCGGTGAGGCGTGGGCAGCGGGACCTTGCAGTCGTTAGTGAGTAGACTGAGTAGGTCCAGCAAAGTCCGATTGCTGAATGGATTTCCACCCGGTAGTTTCTCGCGTCCAGGCAACCTTTATTGACCCAAAAGCAAACCGACAGTCCCGGACAGCCCAAGCCTGAACCGAATGTGCAGGCGCAAGCTGCCAGGACCAGCGGCAGTGCCTGCCTGGCAGGGTTCGCCGAAAGCGCATTGTTTGGCCTCACGTCGTGACATTCAACCAGGTGCCTTTTGGCCTTGCCTGGCAGGTGGTCCTGAAACCGGAGGTGGCGCGCAGGCCTTCATCCTGCATCCTCAAGCATCCCATGTTGCTTGACATGTTCTTCTCCGAGTCATGCAAGTGGCACGGCTGAGAATAAACACCGATCGGGCTTTTATGGCATGTGGCTTTAATCATGCCCGATAGGCATGTGAAGTTGATATTGAACATGGCTCGAACGGACGGAAGTCTGCAACAGACCTGTTCCGTTAGTTTCGAACGAAGAAGCTCCGACATTGACCTGGCATGCTTCGCCTACCCTCCCAGAGAGAAAGCTGGGCAAGACTCGCAAAAAACGATCCGCAAGTTGCGCAATTCCCGACAGGTTTGGTGCCGAGCCAATGGTTCGGAAGCTGTTCCGCGATCTCTTCGGAGTCAGAGGCTTAGGGGATCGTAGTGGGCGGTAGTGGGGATCTTCTCAGACATTTGCAAATTGCAAGCCTCCTCAGAATCCTTTTTGGAGAGACTGCGTCGTGAAAGGCTTTTGCTTTAGGTCCGTTTTCGGCTTCATTCCTCGCGAAATCCGGGGATGATGCTGGGCTGAATCCCACGTCAGAACACATTAGTCTTTAGGAGGATTACCAGGAAATGCTGTGGAAATCCATTTGATGTGAAATGCAACAAAAGCCCAGATCATGAGATAACATCCAATAACAAGCACAAAAAAACAAGACAACAGAAAACACAGAGATCACAGATGCACGTTGGGCTAAGGTGCTGGGTGTCGGCGGCTCCGACACAAGAGCATACACCGCAGAGTATCCGCAGGCGCTTGGGGTTAAAAGTAGTGCTTGTCAGCCCATGGATCTTTGCAATTTTGCACCGTGCTTTATGAGAAGCACCAAGGTCGTGCGGTATGAGCGCGGCCAGCGCTTCGACTTGCATCAGGCACTCGCAACTCGTGGAACATGAGTATTGGCTGAACAAAGCGGCCCCGTGTGCGCGCATGCATACTTGTATAACCAGAAGATATCACACGTAGAGTTGGTTGGTTGAGGGCTCAGGGGCCTCAGGGGAGGCGGACGCTGGCTTGAAATGCACACCCCAGCAGCCGCGGGTTGGTGTGTTGCAACAAGCCCATACTAAGCCACGCGGGACCAGAGAACATTTACCATGAAGTTTTGAAAAAATCCCGTGCCATTTGGAGTTGCCCGTCGATACTTTGGGGTCAACATGTGTCGAGGCTCATCTAGGCCCAGGCAAGCAAGGTCGCACTCAGCATGAGGGCACCCAGGCTCGAGCAAGTCTAAGCCCTTGATTTGCTCCAGGTGAAGTGCTGCTGCTTGTCCCAATGCCGGGTCCAATCAATTGAGCTCCCAGACTCCCCGCCAAAAGTCTTAGGGGCGAATAGCTGTAGGATGGACAACCTCCGACGTCCCTTCAACGACTGGGCTGACTGGACTGCATAGCCCGAGTCTTGGTGTAAACCCCCTCTGCCTTCTGTGAATCTACGAGGGTTCAATGACCAGATGTCTCCTACAGATGCGAGGAGCACCCTGCATGTCACTCGATGTCCGCCACCTAGCTCCGGCTAAACGAACTCGGCTGCGTCCTGATTCATTGTTGGGCTCGACCCGACTCAATCCCAAATATTTCTTACTGCGCATCCGGGCGCATCCATCTTCCTCTCCCTCTCTCTCGTTTGCGCATCGTTTTGCCATTGTTGCTCATAGACTTCCCTCTGCATGCCCATAGGCGCAGCGATGCTGATTGGTCTGGATGCTCTGTGCACTCTGAACCAAAAACCCGCATGGAAATGAAAGCTTGACGGTGTTCATGCCTGACTAGACTCACTCATGGAATTCGGGGGATCTACCCCGAAAAAATCTAATTTCAGACAATAAGTTGAACCTCGAGGGGGTTCACCCTCCTGATTGCATTTATTTAATAGTGGAAGAACTTCATCTCAGAGTCCACCGCAGTTACTGCAGTCAGCAACTGCCACTAGTGGAGAACCATAGCTAGGTATTTAAGGATGACAGGGATGCTTGTGTCCCTGATGTTGGTCTGCGGGTGAAAGCTTGAGGTCGACGTGCACACATCGCTCGACACTCCTAGCGCTCTTGGTCGCGTCCAGCATGAACGCGGTATGCACTGCTTATTATGCAGTGACTAACAGCAAAACAGAGGTATGAGGTTGTGCGAGGTTGGGTCGTAGGGTTCTACGTATGTCGGTGAGCTGGGGTGGTCTTAGAACATCGTGTCGTTTGAGGAGTAATGCGGCACGAGTGACGTGTTTTCTCGTGTCTGATCGTGTATAGTTGGTCTGACCATGGAGGGGCGGGAACATTGCTTCATGGGCATAGGGTGGAGCCTCTGATCGCGCATTGTTTCACAGAGGGAGCTGCTGAGCTGTACCACGACACCTTGCACAGGATGCATTCGCATGGGAAGAAGCTCAAGAGGACTGGAGACTCATTTTTGCTTCACAATAGTGGTCGTTCGTCCTTGTGTGACATGAACTGCCAGATCGTAGGATGGTTATCAGCGCCACGCCACTCTCTTGGTGTATCTCAACGATGTGGAACTTGGCGGATCGACGAGGCTAAGTTTTAAGGAATGCAGCAGCTGTCTCTCGCGGCTCACTCGGACCTGCAGGTTTCCAGATCTTGCTCTGAATGTTCAACCGAAGTGTGGCCAGGTGCCCTTTGTCTGGAACTTTGGTAATTTCGTCATTCACATGCGGCGTGCGAGGCGAGCGTTCTTTCGACAACTAAGAATGAAAAAAATCACTCGCGGACCAGTTGTTTTCTGTCATCGGACAATATCGGACAAGCCGTTTCAGTTCAGCTCGGTGGCCCACTTTGAGGAAACAATCGCTTGCAAGCATGGCAGAGAAGCGCAAGCGCGAGGACATTGTGACCTTGGACCTTGTCATTGCCACGCGTGAGAACACGCAGAAGCTTGGCTACTTCGTTGACGACACCGTCGTGAACCCTGGCTTGGGCATCCCCTTCTACAAGACCGTGCTGGAGGGTGCAAACTACGAGCATGCTGATTGGAAGGACCAGGCATGCGTCCGTACCTCGCAGATCCACTGGCGAGAGGATCACAGTGTTTCCTGGCTGGAACGGCACATGGAAATGACCCAGGGCTTTATTCTCCTTGGGAAAAACCCAGGGCTCTTCGTCCTGGGCGAGCCGACCCATGACCGCGACGATTTGGACGAAAAGGGCCGAGCGAAGCCTGATCCCGAGCGAACCAAAGCATACATCATCCCGGCAGGAATGGGCTTGATCCTGAAAAAGGGGACCTGGCACGACTTCCCAGTGTCGTGCGGTCCGCCCGTGACTGCCTTTATCCTGAACACAGAAGAAGTTGTTGCGGCCCTTGCGTCCATGCCAAAGCCAGCGCCCATGAACCATGGCGATTGCTTCAAGCTTCGTATGGCGGAACACTTTGACTTCACGCTCAAGTTCCCTGATCCCCGCCCTTTCGTTCAAAGACACGGCCTGGTGCCTAGCCCAGTGGCCATGCCTTTGATGGGCAAGGAGGGCTATGGCACCGACATGGTGCGACAGGAGGTGAAGCCTGGATGGGCTGGTGGCAAGAAGGTCTTCGTAGTTCCCGTGGTGAACGTGGAGGTCTTTGTCCCTGGCAGCGGAGGACCGTCCATCCAGCCCCATTTGCAGTCGATTCCGGAGGTTGCCAACCGAGGCTGGCGGGATTACGGCAATCGCCGCGGCCTGCAGCGGCTGTGCGCCATGTTCAAGGAGCTTGGGATCCCGGCGACGGCCGTGGTCAACAGTGAGGCAGCCAAACTGGAGCACGTGGCCAAGGCGCTGAAGGAGTCGGGCTGGGAGCTCGGTGCACATGGTCTGAACAACTCCTCGGGTGCCGCCAAGCTTAGCAGGGGTGAGGAGGAGGCGTATTTCAAGCAGACCCTGGACGACCTTCAGCAAAGCCTGGGCGCAAGGCCCAAGACCTGGCTGACTCCAGGCTTTTCCGTCACGGAGCGCACACCGGAAATAGCTGTGCAGTCTGGCATTGAGGCGTTTCTGGACTTTGTGGACGAGGACGTGCCGTACTACCTCTCGCACGAGAGTGGGAAGCGCACGCTATGCCTGCCCTACTGCATGGAGACCAACGACTTCTCTTGCGTTTTGACAAAGCACTTTGATGGCCGGCAGTATGCCCAAGCCATTGAGGACCACGTCCGCCAGCTGGCCAAGGAAGACGGAGAGAAGGTGGTGTGCTTGGGCATGCACACGTTCGTGGCTGGAACACCTGGGCGAGTGCTCGCCCTCACGGAGGCGCTTGGGCGCCTTCAGCAAGTCCCGGGCGTTTGCTTTGCCACCACAGCCGATGTCTGCGTGGCCATTCAGAAGAATGCTTGACGATTCAGACCATGCCAAAAGAGAAGGTGGTGTAGAAGGGTGTAGACAGTGTAGACAATCGTCTATGTTTTGATGCGGTGTCTTTGGGAGCCCATGCTCACCAGAAGGCATCACGCAGAATTGCGTTTCCCTAGCAACGCAGAGTAAAGTACTCCGACGTGACAAGTCCTGCTGGTATAACATGTTTAGAATCAAATGCGTTTGTAGATACTTCCAGCTTGCACAAGAACATCAAGAATTGCTCTGCAGTTTTGTTGCTGCTTGCCCTTGGCCGAACTTGTTGACGAAGGGCCTGTGGCTCCGGCATTCTGGGTGCCTTGCATCCACGAACTCTTGCAGCCTTTGGTCACATGAGCGCACGCGTACCTGGCGCAAGCGCCAGGGGCCAGGAACATGCCACACTAAACAAACAGTTTTCCTGCAAAACGTCGTCCAGACTCGTTCATCTCGTGCTTGCGACATGTGCTTGGTGCATCCTCACACCTCTTGCCCTTCAAAAGCATTGGCACTGCCTGCATCTGCCCGCAATGGCTAAGAACCTGAGCCATTCTGGCTTCAGAAACAGCGTGTGCCCCTGTGCCCGACAGCACCCGTAGCACCCGTTCATCGCTCGCTGCAGCCACCCGCGACCATGCCGGAGAAGCGCAAGCTCGAGGACACACTGACCTTGGACCTCGTCATTGCCACGCGTGAGAACACGCAGAACCTCGGTTACTTTGTTGACGACACCGTCGTGAACCCTGGCTTGGGCATCCCCTTCTACAAGACCGTGCTGGAGGGTGCCAACTACGAGCATGCTGACTGGAAGGACCAGGCATGCGTCCGCACCTCGCAGATCAACTGGCGAGAGGATCACAGTGTTTCCTGGCTTGAACGGCACATGGAAATGACCCAGGGCTTCATCGTGATCGGGAAGAACCCGGGGCTCTTTGTCCTGGGCGAGCCGACCCATGACCGCGACGATTTGGACGAAAAGGGCCGAGCGAAGCCTGACCCGGATCGCGTCAGAGCTTACATCATCCCAGCAGGAATGGGCTTGATCTTGAAGAAGGGCACCTGGCACGACTTCCCAGTGTCTTGTGGACCACCTCTGTCTGCATTCATCATCAACACAGAGGAGGTCGTAGAGGCCTTGGCGACTATGCCAAAGCCAGCGCCCATGAACCACGGCGATTGCTTCAAGCTTCGCCTTGCGGAGCACTTTGACTTCACGATCAAGTTCCCTGATCCCCGCCCTTTCGTTCAAAGACATGGCCTGGTGCCTAGCCCCGTGGCCATGCCTTTGATGGGCAAGGAGGGCTATGGCACCGACATGATGCGACAGGAGGTGAAGCCTGGATGGGCTGGTGGCAAGAAGGTCTTCGTAGTTCCCGTGGTGAACGTGGAGGTCTTTGTCCCTGGCAGCGGAGGACCTTCCATCCAGCCCCATTTGCAGTCGATCCCGGAGGTTGCCAACCGAGGCTGGCGGGATTACGGCAATCGCCGCGGCCTGCAGCGGCTGTGCGCCATGTTCAAGGAGCTTGGGATCCCGGCGACGGCCGTGGTCAACAGTGAGGCAGCCAAACTGGAGCACGTGGCCAAGGCGCTGAAGGAGTCGGGCTGGGAGCTCGGTGCACATGGTCTGAACAACTCCTCGGGTGCCGCCAAGCTTAGCAGGGGTGAGGAGGAGGCGTATTTCAAGCAGACCCTGGACGACCTTCAACAAAGCCTGGGCGCAAGGCCCAAGACCTGGCTGACTCCAGGCTTTTCCGTCACGGAGCGCACACCGGAAATAGCTGTGCAGTCTGGCATTGAGGCGTTTCTGGACTTTGTGGACGACGACGTGCCGTACTACCTCTCGCACGAGAGTGGGAAGCGCACGCTATGCCTGCCCTACTGCATGGAGACCAACGACTTCTCTTGCGTTTTGACAAAGCACTTTGATGGCCGGCAGTATGCCCAAGCCATTGAGGACCACGTCCGCCAGCTGGCCAAGGAAGACGGGGAGAAGGTGGTGTGCTTGGGCATGCACACGTTCGTGGCCGGAACACCTGGGCGAGTGCTCGCCCTCACGGAGGCGCTCGGGCGCCTTCAGCAAGTCCCGGGCGTTTGCTTTGCCACCACAGCCGATGTCTGTGTGGCCATTCAGAAGAATGCCTGAGCGGATGAACCGGGACTGTACTCGGAAGTGGACGTCGAAATCCATGACTGCTTGAAAAAGCGTCGTTTTGAGACTCGTTCTTTGTCTTTGGGCAGAAGAGTTGTGAAACACTTCTGTTTTTGATACCGGATCTTTGGGCAGGAGAGTTGCCGGACAATTCTTCTAGTTGCGGTGGCCTTGGGGTCCTCCCATTCACCCAAGGGCACCACGCAGACCCCTTGTGCTTCTCTTGCAAAGAAGCTCTCGGAGGTTCTGTTTGTTGACACCCGAAGAGGCTGCAGAGCATGCCGCATGCCTTATCAAGATCTTGCTTAGAGGTTTGCATGGTTTCTATCTTGTCTGGCCTGGAGCTTGGACTTTTCATTCGCAGATGGGTGCCGTGCGTCCATTCTGCCTCGAAGTCTCTCGGACCATGGTGCTTGAATGGCCAAGGGCTGTAACGATCATGGGTAAAGTTATGCTAAGCTGGGCCAGAGACAGGACCCTTCTTTGTTTAGTAGCTGAGTACCGGTGAGGTTTACAAGCTACAAGAGGGCCAGGAAAGGTGCATGTGCCAAGGGCTCCGTCCAGAAGTTGCACAACAAGAATCCGCAGACCTCGACTTGAAAATGCGCTGCCTGCAGCATCGCATTCTGCCAGATTCCGCCGTTCGCACGCAGATGCGCCAATCCTTGTGCCACGTCAGCCATTCTGGCTTCAGAAACAGCGTGTGCCCCTGTGCCCGACAGCACCCGTAGCACCCGTTCATCGCTCGCTGCAGCCACCTGCGACCATGCCGGAGAAGCGCAAGCTCGAGGACACACTGACCTTGGACCTCGTCATTGCCACGCGTGAGAACACGCAGAACCTCGGTTACTTTGTTGACGACACCGTCGTGAACCCTGGCTTGGGCATCCCCTTCTACAAGACCGTGCTGGAGGGTGCCAACTACGAGCATGCTGACTGGAAGGACCAGGCATGCGTCCGCACTTCGCAGATCAACTGGCGAGAGGATCACAGTGTTTCCTGGCTTGAACGGCACATGGAAATGACCCAGGGCTTCATCGTGATCGGGAAGAACCCGGGGCTCTTTGTCCTGGGCGAGCCGACCCATGACCGCGACGATTTGGACGAAAAGGGCCGAGCGAAGCCTGACCCGGATCGCGTCAGAGCTTACATCATCCCAGCAGGAATGGGCTTGATCTTGAAGAAGGGCACCTGGCACGACTTCCCAGTGTCTTGTGGACCACCTCTGTCTGCATTCATCATCAACACAGAGGAGGTCGTAGAGGCCTTGGCGACTATGCCAAAGCCAGCGCCCATGAACCACGGCGATTGCTTCAAGCTTCGCCTTTCGGAGCACTTTGACTTCACGATCAAGTTCCCTGATCCCCGCCCTTTCGTTCAAAGACATGGCCTGGTGCCTAGCCCCGTGGCCATGCCTTTGATGGGCAAGGAGGGCTATGGCACCGACATGGTGCGACAAGAGGTGAAGCCTGGATGGGCTGGTGGCAAGAAGGTCTTCGTAGTTCCCGTGGTGAACGTGGAGGTCTTTGTCCCTGGCAGCGGAGGACCGTCCATCCAGCCCCATTTGCAGTCGATTCCGGAGGTTGCCAACCGAGGCTGGCGGGATTACGGCAATCGCCGCGGCCTGCAGCGGCTCTGCGCCATGTTCAAGGAGCTTGGGATCCCGGCGACGGCCGTGGTCAACAGTGAGGCAGCCAAACTGGAGCACGTGGCCAAGGCGCTGAAGGAGTCGGGCTGGGAGCTCGGTGCACATGGTCTGAACAACTCCTCGGGTGCCGCCAAGCTTAGCAGGGGTGAGGAGGAGGCGTATTTCAAGCAGACCCTGGACGACCTTCAACAAAGCCTGGGCGCCAGGCCCAAGACCTGGCTGACTCCAGGCTTTTCCGTCACGGAGCGCACACCGGAAATAGCTGTGCAGTCTGGCATTGAGGCGTTTCTGGACTTTGTGGACGACGACGTGCCGTACTACCTCTCGCACGAGAGTGGGAAGCGCACGCTATGCCTGCCCTACTGCATGGAGACCAACGACTTCTCTTGCGTTTTGACAAAGCACTTTGATGGCCGGCAGTATGCCCAAGCCGTTGAGGACCACGTCCGCCAGCTGGCCAAGGAAGACGGGGAGAAGGTGGTGTGCTTGGGCATGCACACGTTCGTGGCCGGAACACCTGGGCGAGTGCTCGCCCTCACGGAGGCGCTCGGGCGCCTTCAGCAAGTCCCGGGCGTTTGCTTTGCCACCACAGCCGATGTCTGTGTGGCCATTCAGAAGAATGCCTGAGCGGATGAACCGGGACTGTACTCGGAAGTGGACGTCGAAATCCATGACTGCTTGAAAAAGCGTCGTTTTGAGACTCGTTCTTTGTCTTTGGGCAGAAGAGTTGTGAAACACTTCTGTTTTTGATACCGGATCTTTGGGCAGGAGAGTTGCCGGACAATTCTTCTAGTTGCGGTGGCCTTGGGGTCCTCCCATTCACCCAAGGGCACCACGCAGACCCCTTGTGCTTCTCTTGCAAAGAAGCTCTCGGAGGTTCTGTTTGTTGACACCCGAAGAGGCTGCAGAGCATGCCGCATGCCTTATCAAGATCTTGCTTAGAGGTTTGCATGGTTTCTATCTTGTCTGGCCTGGAGCTTGGACTTTTCATTCGCAGATGGGTGCCGTGCGTCCATTCTGCCTCGAAGTCTCTCGGACCATGGTGCTTGAATGGCCAAGGGCTGTAACGATCATGGGTAAAGTTATGCTAAGCTGGGCCAGAGACAGGACCCTTCTTTGTTTAGTAGCTGAGTACCGGTGAGGTTTACAAGCTACAAGAGGGCCAGGAAAGGTGCATGTGCCAAGGGCTCCGTCCAGAAGTTGCACAACAAGAATCCGCAGACCTCGACTTGAAAATGCGCTGCCTGCAGCATCGCATTCTGCCAGATTCCGCCGTTCGCACGCAGATGCGCCAATCCTTGTGCCACATCAGCCATTCTGGCTTCAGAAACAGCGTGTGCCCCTGTGCCCGACAGCACCCGTAGCACCCGTTCATCGCTCGCTGCAGCCACCTGCGACCATGCCGGAGAAGCGCAAGCTCGAGGACACACTGACCTTGGACCTCGTCATTGCCACGCGTGAGAACACGCAGAACCTCGGTTACTTTGTTGACGACACCGTCGTGAACCCTGGCTTGGGCATCCCCTTCTACAAGACCGTGCTGGAGGGTGCCAACTACGAGCATGCTGACTGGAAGGACCAGGCATGCGTCCGCACTTCGCAGATCAACTGGCGAGAGGATCACAGTGTTTCCTGGCTTGAACGGCACATGGAAATGACCCAGGGCTTCATCGTGATCGGGAAGAACCCGGGGCTCTTTGTCCTGGGCGAGCCGACCCATGACCGCGACGATTTGGACGAAAAGGGCCGAGCGAAGCCTGACCCGGATCGCGTCAGAGCTTACATCATCCCAGCAGGAATGGGCTTGATCTTGAAGAAGGGCACCTGGCACGACTTCCCAGTGTCTTGTGGACCACCTCTGTCTGCATTCATCATCAACACAGAGGAGGTCGTAGAGGCCTTGGCGACTATGCCAAAGCCAGCGCCCATGAACCACGGCGATTGCTTCAAGCTTCGCCTTTCGGAGCACTTTGACTTCACGATCAAGTTCCCTGATCCCCGCCCTTTCGTTCAAAGACATGGCCTGGTGCCTAGCCCCGTGGCCATGCCTTTGATGGGCAAGGAGGGCTATGGCACCGACATGGTGCGACAGGAGGTGAAGCCTGGATGGGCTGGTGGCAAGAAGGTCTTCGTAGTTCCCGTGGTGAACGTGGAGGTCTTTGTCCCTGGCAGCGGAGGACCTTCCATCCAGCCCCATTTGCAGTCGATCCGGAGGTTGCCAACCGAGGCTGGCGGGATTACGGCAATCGCCGCGGCCTGCAGCGGCTGTGCGCCATGTTCAAGGAGCTTGGGATCCCGGCGACGGCCGTGGTCAACAGTGAGGCAGCCAAACTGGAGCACGTGGCCAAGGCGCTGAAGGAGTCGGGCTGGGAGCTCGGTGCACATGGTCTGAACAACTCCTCGGGTGCCGCCAAGCTTAGCAGGGGTGAGGAGGAGGCGTATTTCAAGCAGACCCTGGACGACCTTCAACAAAGCCTGGGCGCAAGGCCCAAGACCTGGCTGACTCCAGGCTTTTCCGTCACGGAGCGCACACCGGAAATAGCTGTGCAGTCTGGCATTGAGGCGTTTCTGGACTTTGTGGACGACGACGTGCCGTACTACCTCTCGCACGAGAGTGGGAAGCGCACGCTATGCCTGCCCTACTGCATGGAGACCAACGACTTCTCTTGCGTTTTGACAAAGCACTTTGATGGCCGGCAGTATGCCCAAGCCATTGAGGCCACCACGGGGAGAAGGTGGTGTGCTTGGGCATGCACACGTTCGTGGCCGGAAACCTGGGCGAGTGCTCGCCCTCACGGAGGCGCTCGGGCGCCTTCAGCAAGTCCCGGGCGTTTGCTTTGCCACCACAGCCGATGTCTGTGTGGCCATTCAGAAGAATGCCTGAGCGGATGAACCGGGACTGTACTCGGAAGTGGACGTCGAAATCCATGACTGCTTGAAAAAGCGTCGTTTTGAGACTCGTTCTTTGTCTTTGGGCAGAAGAGTTGTGAAACACTTCTGTTTTTGATACCGGATCTTTGGGCAGGAGAGTTGCCGGAGTTGCGGTGGCCTTGGGGTCCTCCCATTCACCCAAGGGCACCACGCAGACCCCTTGTGCTTCTCTTGCAAAGAAGCTCTCGGAGGTTCTGTTTGTTGACACCCGAAGAGGCTGCAAGCATGCCGCATGCCTTATCAAGATCTTGCTTAGAGGTTTGCATGGTTTCTATCTTGTCTGGCCTGGAGCTTGGACTTTTCATTCGCAGATGGGTGCCCGTCCATTCTGCCTCGAAGTCTCTCGGACCATGGTGCTTGAATGGCCAAGGGCTGTAACGATCATGGGTAAAGTTATGCTAAGCTGGGCCAGAGACAGGACCCTTCTTTGTTTAGTAGCTGAGTACCGGTGAGGTTTACAAGCTACAAGAGGGCCAGGAAAGGTGCATGTGCCAAGGGCTCCGTCCAGAAGTTGCACAACAAGAATCCGCAGACCTCGACTTGAAAATGCGCTGCCTGCAGCATCGCATTCTGCCAGATTCCGCCGTTCGCACGCAGATGCGCCAATCCTTGTGCCACATCAGCCATTCTGGCTTCAGAAACAGCGTGTGCCCCTGTGCCCGAGCACCCGTCGTCGCTGCAGCCACCTGCGACCATGCCGGAGAAGCGCAAGCTCGAGGACACACTGACCTTGGACCTCGTCATTGCCACGCGTGAGAACACGCAGAACCTCGGTTACTTTGTTGACGACACCGTCGTGAACCCTGGCTTGGGCATCCCCTTCTACAAGACCGTGCTGGAGGGTGCCAACTACGAGCATGCTGACTGGAAGGACCAGGCATGCGTCCGCACTTCGCAGATCAACTGGCGAGAGGATCACAGTGTTTCCTGGCTTGAACGGCACATGGAAATGACCCAGGGCTTCATCGTGATCGGGAAGAACCCGGGGCTCTTTGTCCTGGGCGAGCCGACCCATGACCGCGACGATTTGGACGAAAAGGGCCGAGCGAAGCCTGACCCGGATCGCGTCAGAGCTTACATCATCCCAGCAGGAATGGGCTTGATCTTGAAGAAGGGCACCTGGCACGACTTCCCAGTGTCTTGTGGACCACCTCTGTCTGCATTCATCATCAACACAGAGGAGGTCGTAGAGGCCTTGGCGACTATGCCAAAGCCAGCGCCCATGAACCACGGCGATTGCTTCAAGCTTCGCCTTTCGGAGCACTTTGACTTCACGATCAAGTTCCCTGATCCCCGCCCTTTCGTTCAAAGACATGGCCTGGTGCCTAGCCCCGTGGCCATGCCTTTGATGGGCAAGGAGGGCTATGGCACCGACATGGTGCGACAAGAGGTGAAGCCTGGATGGGCTGGTGGCAAGAAGGTCTTCGTAGTTCCCGTGGTGAACGTGGAGGTCTTTGTCCCTGGCAGCGGAGGACCGTCCATCCAGCCCCATTTGCAGTCGATTCCGGAGGTTGCCAACCGAGGCTGGCGGGATTACGGCAATCGCCGCGGCCTGCAGCGGCTCTGCGCCATGTTCAAGGAGCTTGGGATCCCGGCGACGGCCGTGGTCAACAGTGAGGCAGCCAAACTGGAGCACGTGGCCAAGGCGCTGAAGGAGTCGGGCTGGGAGCTCGGTGCACATGGTCTGAACAACTCCTCGGGTGCCGCCAAGCTTAGCAGGGGTGAGGAGGAGGCGTATTTCAAGCAGACCCTGGACGACCTTCAACAAAGCCTGGGCGCCAGGCCCAAGACCTGGCTGACTCCAGGCTTTTCCGTCACGGAGCGCACACCGGAAATAGCTGTGCAGTCTGGCATTGAGGCGTTTCTGGACTTTGTGGACGACGACGTGCCGTACTACCTCTCGCACGAGAGTGGGAAGCGCACGCTATGCCTGCCCTACTGCATGGAGACCAACGACTTCTCTTGCGTTTTGACAAAGCACTTTGATGGCCGGCAGTATGCCCAAGCCATTGAGGACCACGTCCGCCAGCTGGCCAAGGAAGACGGAGAGAAGGTGGTGTGCTTGGGCATGCACACGTTCGTGGCCGGAACACCTGGGCGAGTGCTCGCCCTCACGGAGGCGCTCGGGCGCCTTCAGCAAGTCCCGGGCGTTTGCTTTGCCACCACAGCCGATGTCTGTGTGGCCATTCAGAAGAGAATGCCTGAGCGGATGAACCGGGACTGTACTCGGAAGTGGACGTCGAAATCCATGACTGCTTGAAAAAGCGTCGTTTTGAGACTCGTTCTTTGTCTTTGGGCAGAAGAGTTGTGAAACACTTCTGTTTTTGATACCGGATCTTTGGGCAGGAGAGTTGCCGGACAATTCTTCTAGTTGCGGTGGCCTTGGGGTCCTCCCATTCACCCAAGGGCACCACGCAGACCCCTTGTGCTTCTCTTGCAAAGAAGCTCTCGGAGGTTCTGTTTGTTGACACCCGAAGAGGCTGCAGAGCATGCCGCATGCCTTATCAAGATCTTGCTTAGAGGTTTGCATGGTTTCTATCTTGTCTGGCCTGGAGCTTGGACTTTTCATTCGCAGATGGGTGCCGTGCGTCCATTCTGCCTCGAAGTCTCTCGGACCATGGTGCTTGAATGGCCAAGGGCTGTAACGATCATGGGTAAAGTTATGCTAAGCTGGGCCAGAGACAGGACCCTTCTTTGTTTAGTAGCTGAGTACCGGTGAGGTTTACAAGCTACAAGAGGGCCAGGAAAGGTGCATGTGCCAAGGGCTCCGTCCAGAAGTTGCACAACAAGAATCCGCAGACCTCGACTTGAAAATGCGCTGCCTGCAGCATCGCATTCTGCCAGATTCCGCCGTTCGCACGCAGATGCGCCAATCCTTGTGCCACATCAGCCATTCTGGCTTCAGAAACAGCGTGTGCCCCTGTGCCCGACAGCACCCGTAGCACCCGTTCATCGCTCGCCGCAGCCACCTGCGACCATGCCGGAGAAGCGCAAGCTCGAGGACACACTGACCTTGGACCTCGTCATTGCCACGCGTGAGAACACGCAGAACCTCGGTTACTTTGTTGACGACACCGTCGTGAACCCTGGCTTGGGCATCCCCTTCTACAAGACCGTGCTGGAGGGTGCCAACTACGAGCATGCTGACTGGAAGGACCAGGCATGCGTCCGCACTTCGCAGATCAACTGGCGAGAGGATCACAGTGTTTCCTGGCTTGAACGGCACATGGAAATGACCCAGGGCTTCATCGTGATCGGGAAGAACCCGGGGCTCTTTGTCCTGGGCGAGCCGACCCATGACCGCGACGATTTGGACGAAAAGGGCCGAGCGAAGCCTGACCCGGATCGCGTCAGAGCTTACATCATCCCAGCAGGAATGGGCTTGATCTTGAAGAAGGGCACCTGGCACGACTTCCCAGTGTCTTGTGGACCACCTCTGTCTGCATTCATCATCAACACAGAGGAGGTCGTAGAGGCCTTGGCGACTATGCCAAAGCCAGCGCCCATGAACCACGGCGATTGCTTCAAGCTTCGCCTTTCGGAGCACTTTGACTTCACGATCAAGTTCCCTGATCCCCGCCCTTTCGTTCAAAGACATGGCCTGGTGCCTAGCCCCGTGGCCATGCCTTTGATGGGCAAGGAGGGCTATGGCACCGACATGGTGCGACAAGAGGTGAAGCCTGGATGGGCTGGTGGCAAGAAGGTCTTCGTAGTTCCCGTGGTGAACGTGGAGGTCTTTGTCCCTGGCAGCGGAGGACCGTCCATCCAGCCCCATTTGCAGTCGATTCCGGAGGTTGCCAACCGAGGCTGGCGGGATTACGGCAATCGCCGCGGCCTGCAGCGGCTCTGCGCCATGTTCAAGGAGCTTGGGATCCCGGCGACGGCCGTGGTCAACAGTGAGGCAGCCAAACTGGAGCACGTGGCCAAGGCGCTGAAGGAGTCGGGCTGGGAGCTCGGTGCACATGGTCTGAACAACTCCTCGGGTGCCGCCAAGCTTAGCAGGGGTGAGGAGGAGGCGTATTTCAAGCAGACCCTGGACGACCTTCAACAAAGCCTGGGCGCCAGGCCCAAGACCTGGCTGACTCCAGGCTTTTCCGTCACGGAGCGCACACCGGAAATAGCTGTGCAGTCTGGCATTGAGGCGTTTCTGGACTTTGTGGACGACGACGTGCCGTACTACCTCTCGCACGAGAGTGGGAAGCGCACGCTATGCCTGCCCTACTGCATGGAGACCAACGACTTCTCTTGCGTTTTGACAAAGCACTTTGATGGCCGGCAGTATGCCCAAGCCATTGAGGACCACGTCCGCCAGCTGGCCAAGGAAGACGGAGAGAAGGTGGTGTGCTTGGGCATGCACACGTTCGTGGCCGGAACACCTGGGCGAGTGCTCGCCCTCACGGAGGCGCTTGGGCGCCTTCAGCAAGTCCCGGGCGTTTGCTTTGCCACCACAGCCGATGTCTGTGTGGCCATTCAGAAGAATGCCTGAGCGGATGAACCGGGACTGTACTCGGAAGTGGACGTCGAAATCCATGACTGCTTGAAAAAGCGTCGTTTTGAGACTCGTTCTTTGTCTTTGGGCAGAAGAGTTGTGAAACACTTCTGTTTTTGATACCGGATCTTTGGGCAGGAGAGTTGCCGGACAATTCTTCTAGTTGCGGTGGCCTTGGGGTCCTCCCATTCACCCAAGGGCACCACGCAGACCCCTTGTGCTTCTCTTGCAAAGAAGCTCTCGGAGGTTCTGTTTGTTGACACCCGAAGAGGCTGCAGAGCATGCCGCATGCCTTATCAAGATCTTGCTTAGAGGTTTGCATGGTTTCTATCTTGTCTGGCCTGGAGCTTGGACTTTTCATTCGCAGATGGGTGCCGTGCGTCCATTCTGCCTCGAAGTCTCTCGGACCATGGTGCTTGAATGGCCAAGGGCTGTAACGATCATGGGTAAAGTTATGCTAAGCTGGGCCAGAGACAGGACCCTTCTTTGTTTAACAAGTTACAAGAGGGCCAGGAAAGGTGCATGTGCCAAGGGCTCCGTCCAGAAGTTGCACAACAAGAATCCGCAGACCTCGACGTGAAAATGCGCTGCCTGCGGCGTCTGCCGCTGTCGCAGTTGGTGCAAGCTGCTTCGACCGTCACGCTCAGAAAGTCGAAGAAGAGTCGTTCGAATTCTGCTTGCATTTGGTGTTTTTGCTCACGCAGAGTTCGGCTCTCTCAGGCTTGGACAAAGAAGCCATAATTTTCCACAGCTGACATCCTCACAGAGAGGCCGCCATGGCAGAGAAGCGCAAGCGCGAGGACATTGTGACCTTGGACCTTGTCATTGCCACGCGTGAGAACACGCAGAAGCTTGGCTACTTCGTTGACGACACCGTCGTGAACCCTGGCTTGGGCATCCCCTTCTACAAGACCGTGCTGGAGGGTGCAAACTACGAGCATGCTGATTGGAAGGACCAGGCATGCGTCCGTACCTCGCAGATCCACTGGCGAGAGGATCACAGTGTTTCCTGGCTGGAACGGCACATGGAAATGACCCAGGGCTTTATTCTCCTTGGGAAAAACCCAGGGCTCTTCGTCCTGGGCGAGCCGACCCATGACCGCGACGATTTGGACGAAAAGGGCCGAGCGAAGCCTGATCCCGAGCGAACCAAAGCATACATCATCCCGGCAGGAATGGGCTTGATCCTGAAAAAGGGGACCTGGCACGACTTCCCAGTGTCGTGCGGTCCGCCCGTGACTGCCTTTATCCTGAACACAGAAGAAGTTGTTGCGGCCCTTGCGTCCATGCCAAAGCCAGCGCCCATGAACCATGGCGATTGCTTCAAGCTTCGTATGGCGGAACACTTTGACTTCACGCTCAAGTTCCCTGATCCCCGCCCTTTCGTTCAAAGACACGGCCTGGTGCCTAGCCCAGTGGCCATGCCTTTGATGGGCAAGGAGGGCTATGGCACCGACATGGTGCGACAGGAGGTGAAGCCTGGATGGGCTGGTGGCAAGAAGGTCTTCGTAGTTCCCGTGGTGAACGTGGAGGTCTTTGTCCCTGGCAGCGGAGGACCGTCCATCCAGCCCCATTTGCAGTCGATTCCGGAGGTTGCCAACCGAGGCTGGCGGGATTACGGCAATCGCCGCGGCCTGCAGCGGCTGTGCGCCATGTTCAAGGAGCTTGGGATCCCGGCGACGGCCGTGGTCAACAGTGAGGCAGCCAAACTGGAGCACGTGGCCAAGGCGCTGAAGGAGTCGGGCTGGGAGCTCGGTGCACATGGTCTGAACAACTCCTCGGGTGCCGCCAAGCTTAGCAGGGGTGAGGAGGAGGCGTATTTCAAGCAGACCCTGGACGACCTTCAACAAAGCCTGGGCGCAAGGCCCAAGACCTGGCTGACTCCAGGCTTTTCCGTCACGGAGCGCACACCGGAAATAGCTGTGCAGTCTGGCATTGAGGCGTTTCTGGACTTTGTGGACGATGACGTGCCGTACTACCTCTCGCACGAGAGTGGGAAGCGCACGCTATGCCTGCCCTACTGCATGGAGACCAACGACTTCTCTTGCGTTTTGACAAAGCACTTTGATGGCCGGCAGTATGCCCAAGCCATTGAGGACCACGTCCGCCAGCTGGCCAAGGAAGATGGAGAGAAGGTGGTGTGCTTGGGCATGCACACGTTCGTGGCCGGAACACCTGGGCGAGTGCTCGCCCTCACGGAGGCGCTCGGGCGCCTGCAGCAAGTGCCGGGCGTTTGCTTCGCCACCGCGGCCCAGGTATGCGCTGCCATACACAACCTGTGAGTTTCTCGCGAATGGCTTCCCCCAAGACCGATTGAGCCGGAGCTGCTCTAAGAACGTGACCCGGTGGTGCAAACATGTGCATAGCGATCATTCGACCTCTTAGCGCAGTGACCCTGCGAGCCTGTGCTCGCGGTTGCCGCGGAGGGTGTCAATTCAGATCAGAAACAGCACCGCCCTTCGTTCCAAGGCAGATCAAAAGGGAGTTGTGTCCGTTTGTCCCGCAGGTTTCCGTGATGCTTGATCAGTTCATGAAGTTTCTACATCTGGCATTTTGAGATATAAGCTCTTTGAAGGGCCTTCTCTTCTTCCCCGCCTTTGCTGGTGGCTTTGCTCCCAGACTGGTGCTGGTAGGACCTAGGGCCTAGTCGGTGGCCTAGTGCTGTTAGTCGAAGCACAGCTCAGGTCAGCCAGATGAGCCGAGAACTCAGACAGTAAAGTTTGTCCATCGGACGTTGACCCACGGAGAGTTCGGCTTCAGGCTGCATCGTC